CAATTTCCGACGCCGTTGCGCGTAGTTCTATTGTGCTTTGCAACTCAGTCTCTGCAGATCGCATTGTAATGGCTGCGTCAAGGTTGCTTCGTGCTGTGGCTGCATTCGTAATACTATTGTCTTTTGCAGCTGGATCTCGTAAATCGTATTGGAGTGGCTGCATGAAGGCTGCGAAATGGGTTTGTTAGCAGATTTTCTCCATTTTGGCACTAGTGTTTTTTTGTTGGACGTACGTTTAGAGCAGTGTGAAGTGTCGGGCGTGAAGAGTGCAGTGTGAAGTGTGAAGGAAGCAGTGGGAAGTGAGAAGTGTGAAGTGTGGAGTGTGAAGTTTCAGTTTGGAGTGCGAAGAGCGCAGTGTGAAGTGTGAAGTGTGAAGTGTGAGGTTTGGAGTGTGAAGGAAGCAGTGAGAAGTGTGAAATGTGGAGTGTGAAGTGTGGAGTGTGAAGTTTCAGTTTGGAGTGCGAAGAGCGCAGTGTGAAGTGTGAAGTGTGAGGTTTGGAGTGTGAAGGAAGCAGTGAGAAGTGTGAAGTGTGAAGTCTGAAGTGTGAGTGAAGTGTGGAGTGTGAAGTGTGAAGTGTGAAGTGGTGAAGTTTTGGAGTTTGATTTTTAGTGGGAATTAACGCAGTGCGAAGTTGAATGTGAATTGTGGACTGTTGCCGTGTGGAGTGTGCCGTGCGCCGTGCGCCGTGGTGCAGTTTGGCGTGGCCGTCCGCCGTGCGCCGTGCGCCGTGTGCAGTGCGCCGTGTGGCCTTAGTGGACTGTGCAGTTGGAGTGCGCCGCGCGCAGTGAGAAGTGTGAAGTGTGAGTGAAGTGTGGAGTGTGAAGTGCGAAGTGAGACTGTGACGTGCGCCGTTTGTATGTGGCAGTGAGAAGTGAGAAGTGTGAAGTGAGAAGTGTGAAGTGTGGACTGTGCAGTGTGGAGTGCGAAGAGCGCAGTGTGAAGTGTGAAGTGTGAGTGAAGTGTGGAGTGTGAAGTGCGAAGTGAGAAGTGTGAAGTGTGAAGTTTGGAGTGTGAAGTTTGGAGTGAAGTGTGGAGTGTGAAGTGTGAAGTGAGAAGTGTGAAGTTTGGAGTGTGAAGTGTGAAGTGTGCAGTGTGAAGTGTGAAGTGTGAAGTGTGAGGTTTGGACTGTGAAGTGTGGAGTGTGAAGTGCGAAGTGAGAAGTGTGAAGTTTGGAGTGTGAAGGAAGCAGTGAGAAGTGAGAAGTGTGAAGTGAGAAGTGTGAAGTGAGAAGTGTGAAGTGAAAGACGTGTGAAGTTTGAAGGAGGCAGTGTGAAGTGAGAAGTGTGAAGTGAGAAGTGTGAAGTGTGGACTGTGAAGTGTGGAGTGCGAAGAGCGCAGTGTGAAGTGTGAAGTGTGAGGTTTGGAGTGTGAAGGAAGCAGTGAGAAGTGTGAAGTGTGGACTGTGAAGTGTGAAGTGTGAGTGAAGTGTGGAGTGTGAAGTGCGAAGTGAGAAGTGTGAAGTGTGAAGTTTGGAGTGTGAAGTTTGGAGTGGGAAGGAAGCAGTGAGAAGTGAGAAGTGTGAAGTGTGGACTGTGAAGTGTGGAGTGTGAAGTGCGAAGTGAGAAGTGTGAAGTTTGGAGTGTGAAGGAAGCAGTGAGAAGTGAGAAGTGTGAAGTGAGAAGTGTGAAGTGTGAAGTGTGGACTGTGAAGTGTGAAGTGTGCAGTGTGAAGTGTGAAGTGTGAAGTGTGAGGTTTGGAGTGTGAAGGAAGCAGTGAGAAGTGAGAAGTGTGGAGTGTGAAGTGTGGAGTGTGAAGTTTGAAGTTCGGAGTGCGAAGAGTGCAGTGTGCGGTGTGAGGTGTGGAGTGTCGAGGGAAGGACACGGTCGGGACAGGTTGTCTTTGAACTATAGGTCATTTATGTTTGGGAAACTTCCGCCGCCGGCTTGCCCGGGTCTATGTTATATATATATAATTATATATAATTATTATTTGTATATAATTATTAATATATAGAAATATATATATGATTATGTGCAATCTGATTTTACATTTGTACGCACATATATGAGCGCACGTACATACATGAGTGCATACATGCAAGAATACGTTTACTATGCCCAAGCCCTGTGATTGTTTTGGCAAGTCTGTGCCTGCAGCACTTACAGCTGCTACCTACTTTGTTGTGTGATGGAGGGATGTGCTTGGCTGCTGCCAGCTGGCAGTCTAAGAATGGATTGCTTGTAACCCTCCCTCCCTCTCAACCTGTGGCAGGTTTGTGCCTGCACCACTTAAAGTTGCTGCAGGCTGTGGCACAGCTGTGGTGTTTGATTGTAGAGATGCGCTTGGCTGCTGCCAGCTGGCAGTCTAAGAATTGCTTGCTGCGCTATTCTCGCTCCAAACTGCGAATATTGATAAAGATGTGCTGCGTGGTGGCAGTGCTGTGCTGGAGTGGGCCGTTTCGTTCCAGACCCCGTTCCATACCCGTTCCAGACCTGGACCACCCATGTACCACCCCTGACCCACTGGTGAACACATGGCAGGTTCTCACATAGACTGCTCGTAAGCCATCCTTTGCGCGTGGGTTATGGGAGGGTAGAGTCTTGCTATGCAGGGACACAATCTGCCCCATAGGGACCTCTGAGTTTTAAGAGTAGGAGGTGGGACCTGCGTGACAGGTCTGAAGCTGAGTCGACAGCTTCACATGGTAGCCAGTGGGTGACACTGGCTACCGGTCGTGTCGTATCTCGTGCACGAGCACTAGCCATGCAAGGCAAACCTGCGTTGAACAGGTGTACAACAAGGATGTCGTGCAGATGAGGAGTAGCTTCAAGGTGCATATCCTTGAGATGTATATTATATGTGTTACATATAATGTATATATATATATTTATTTATTTATTTATGTATAGCCTATATTTCATCACACTCCAAAGGCCCGGAACAAGACTAGTTACGAAGCCCCTTCGTTCCATACGTCCGGAACACCGCGGAACGTTCCATACACAATTTTGACTCGGGACCTATATATATATATATATAGGTATATATTCTTTATATATATGGTAAATATTCTTTTATATATATATAAATATATGCATAAAAATACATATACATAAAAATATTTATATATTTAAATGAATACATATATTGTTTTTGGCAAAAAGTGAGCTCCCACTGTGTGAAACGATAGGGAACCTTGAGGAGCGATACCCCCTAAACTGATGACCATGGAATCAGTACCATGTTTAGACCGTCGCACATATATCTTTATTATATCTTTATTATTTATTGATTCGCAGCGTTTTACAAGGTTCTACAGTACTACAAGCTCAACTTTCCTCCACGGCCCAAGGAGCAACTGCAAGACGTCCAGGACATCCGCGCCTCGCGCTCGGCCTTTGCGGCGCTGCTGGCGGATCGCCGAGTGGTGACCTGGGGGGATGCCTTCAATGGCGGCGATAGCAGCGAGGTGATGCACCTGTTGGAAGATGCTGGGATCATCTGGGATCTATGATGAAGATTGATATGAAGATTGATATGAAGATTGATATGATTGATGAAGTATGTGGATGGGTATGGATGGGTCAAAACCTATTATTATCAATTATTATCATATTCGGGGGAATAAACTGAATAAACATCCGTTAACCAGTTATTTTTAGGGTATCTAGGGTGCCAGGGGTATGAAAGTGTGATAGTTTGATGATGTTTGATTTATTTTTGGACATACTTAAAGCATATTGAAGATATTTCAAGAGGTGTCAAGTGAAGTTTGATCTATGGGGTTGGCCATGAACCTCTTTGAGTCGATGAGCATTATTAGATGAGCATTGTGAGATGTTCGAGGCACAATGGCTTGCCAACATGTAGATATGTCACAGAGTCATGTTCTGCACCAAAATACTGTGATTCGTTCTCAGGATATTGTCCAACTGGAGGCTTCGAAGGGTGCCTTCTCTGCTCTCCGGGCAGATGGTCGGGTGGTGACGTGGGGTGATGCGCGTTCTGGCGGTGATGCCAGCAGTGCGCCTACCTCCTGGCGGAATGGAGACTGAGAACGGCTGGTTGATGGAGGCATTTACACACAGGCTTCTCTTTTACACGCAAATGCTTTCTCGGGTGACGGTGCTGCGGCTGCGCAAAAACACCTGGCCGCAGTATCAGAACCCTGATCCTGTGCTCTTGTGGGGTTGGTGTGGCCACTGCAACAATGCTTTCTTCAAGGCAGGATTTGAGATGGCAGAGATGAGATGGGAACCAGCTGAAATCTACAAAGATCAAAGGAGATGACATAATGCTGGTATTGAGACTCTGGATCTGTGCGAGGCCTTGATTTGCTTCATCTTGAAGCTGCACCGAGGAAATGTTGTAAATCAGATGTGGTTCTGAGTTGCTTTGAGACTTTCGGATGCTCTGAGAGGTTGCAGGGAGAAGACACCAAAGCCAAACCTTCAAAAAGGGGGACAATTCCAACCTTACGTAATTTTGATCCTGATATGAAGCGATCGTCCAGCTGCTCTTCGGACCATGCGGATTGGATAGAAACTGCAACGCTGTGCCAGTCCGGTCCAGCTAGCCTTGCATCTCTGAGCTATCCATTTTGAGCACAATGAAAAGCTTTCTGGTAAAACCACCATGTTTCTGGATAGATTTCTTCTCTGTGGAACGCCCACGATCTTGGCAATCTGGAACTCAGATCGTTGGGCCATTGAAAATGAAAGGAACAAGCGTGGACGCTTATGGTCCATTTGCATCTCTGAGCTTGAATCATGTTGCAGAAAGAGCTATTGCCTGCATAACTTGGACACTTGCTTTGGAGAGCTTTTTGCCGAAGCGGACTATATAAAGGGAGACATGGCCGTCATAATCGGATGGTTCAGTGCTACAGAGTACCCTCCAAATTTTCCAAATTTAATATTCCTCATCCACCTTTTCTGAGCAGTACCCCAAAAATCATGGTCACAGAGGATCAAACTAGACCAGGAAGCCGCCCAAATGGAGGTAGTGGAGAGTGCATCCCGAATCCCCAGATAGTGTGGTCATCCATGGTGATCCCAAGGCGCTACTCATTGGACGTGCAACAGATGCAGGTGCTGGGTTCTGGCCTCACAGCCAGGGTAGCCCAGATTTAGCAATGTGTGATGTTCGGCTGGTGGAAGCACAGAGTGGGATTCATCATGATCCAAAAAAACTCTTCAAAACATTCAAGACGTACTCTTTCGAATCAAAGTGACATTGACCTAATTCAGATAATATAGGGCATGGCACGTATGTCTCAAAATGAGGGACTCCCAGTTTGGGATTGTTAAATACAAAACAATTTTGTGGATTTTTATAGGTTGGTTGATACCTTACCCATTTTGTGAGCCCCCTTTGAAGATATATGCACTGCACAATGATCAAAATTGTCCCTCTTTCTGTCAGGGAACTCTTGAATTGTTTTGTTTTCTGTGTGTGATCAGGCTGTGACGTATTCTAGAACGAAGGTTGAGGAAAAAATCAGACTTCGTGCCCGAGGTTGCAGGAACTGACGGGACGTCGGGGGGCCTGTTCTTTCAGGATATTTCAAGGGGCCTCTCTGATGGGGCACCGGGCCTGGAACAAGGAGCCATGACACCAGTAGACTCAGTAGACCATGGCAATTCACGTCATAACGCGTCACGTCATTGTCACGTCATAACATTTTGTCATTCGTGGCAAACCAAACAGGTCCGGGAGCAATGAGAGCCTCTTGGACAATCCCACCGCCTTGGCTCTGTCTGGAGATCGTCTCTACGTGGCTGATGCCAGGACTCGGATGGTGTCGAGCTCGAGCTGGAGTTGATTTGGTCAACAATAAACCATCCCCAATTCCATCAGACATATCCAGATATAGGTGGTAGATACATGTTACATGTAGATACTAGTAGCCACAAATGGTAGGTCTGGTAGGTCAAATGCATTCTAATAAGGGTGGATTTTTGGCTTTATCACCATGAGTCTGAACAATCAACAGCTTCACGCCTTCCAGGAATAGCCGGCTGATGACCTGGCTGGTGCGTGAAGAACTCCTGGAAACTCCTGTGAGGTGCAACTGATTTTGGAGTGGTGCAATGGCGGGATGCCAGGGGTTTTTAATGGTTTTTACCACTTTTGGAATCCGTTGAAATTCGATCAAGACCTGTGATTCGGAGATAGGATTCCACAGATTCTTGGGATAGGCGAGCTGCAGATTGGTACTTTGGATGATATCCCCCTATGCTCCAACTGGATCCTGCCACAGTTCATGGTAGCGGCTCAAAGCGTGTGATTCTAAAGTTGGAAGGATTTCGAGAAGTCTAGGAACCTGATGTCAATGATGTTGAAAGGTGGTCAACGCTAGAAATTTACCAAACACGCTTGAGGCGACTATCCTCAGTGGGCGATGAGAATATGAGGCGACTATCCTCAGTGGGCGATGAGAATACAACAGGCCGGTGGGATCCGGTTGCAAGATTTGGCATCAAGGTGTGCGATTTCTGTGTGAAAAACCTTAGAATCATGAGGCACCTACATCATTGGGTAGATATACTGATATACTATGCAGTTTTTAGTTGTGAACCCCCTACCTACTTGAGTTGTGCACCAAACCGAGCGCATGACTTTCTTTTTTATTTTTTTAAAAATCATTTCGGAATCTTCAAATGATTCAAATGACTTTTTTTTTAAAAAAAAAAATCATTTCGGAATCTTCAAATGATTCAAATGCCAGGAACAGAAACGACCATGACCACAACATCTATGACCATGACCACTTCCTACACCATCAGTACGACGAGTACCACCACTTACACAGGCATTGCTGAGAGAGTTTGATGCTGCTGAGATGCTGTGAGGTTCTGTCAAACTGGTCCCTGAATCCAGTGAATCCAGTGAATCCAGTGAATCTGCTTGGGACTGGCACGAGATTTACCACCTGTGTCAGGCCCGCGCTATTTTCTGGAAATGGATGGATTCACAGGACGCCCTTATGGGATCTATGTCAACGACGACCTTTGCTGCAGAAAGTGTTGATTTGAGTCCAATTGTGTACATTTTGCGGTCTGCACTATGCAGGCTATGCACTGACTTTGGGGCTTTTATGCGCTTTGCCGTTCATAGATGGGCAGCAAGATGAAATCTTCAATCGGACTTGAGATTGAACTTGAATCCTGAATGCTATTGAATGGCATTTGCTGAGAAAAAGGACATTTGTACAACTAGTACTTGTTAATTGCTCCTCCTACTTATACTTTGCGATTTTGGGGTGAATATGGATTGAACGCCCTTTAAGCCTGACTTGAATGACTCATGTATTCCATCTGTTGAGCAAATTAAAAACAATGTCGAATTGCACTTCCATTTCTGGCACGATGCTTTTTGCCATCCACACATCACCCAAATCCAAGGGCGGAATCTATGTTTCTGACGCGGATGGCTGCGTGATTTGGAAGAAGACCAGCACTGGCCAGAAATCATTAGTTGTAGGCCTGGCACATCTTGGCACATCTTGGCACTGGGAGTCTTTGGGACTTCTATGGACTTCTGTACATTGACACCTCGTCACTGCAAGCAACTGGATCTGGGGAACTGCCAATCAGTGGCGTAGGTTGACTAGGCCTCACCATATCCCACCATGCCCCACAACTTGAGGACTTCTCCCAGTTAATGGCACTCAGATAGTTGTGTCATGTTGTGTCTGTCTACAAATTCTCGGCAGTGGTGCCACAAGCTTTCAATGCAGGGTGCTTTGCCCATGTTGCAGGTGGTACTTGTGGTTTTAGCACATCACAACTCTACTTCCCTGCTGGCTTGGTGGCTGGAGCCTTGGAAGGGCGGTGGGTCTTTGGTCGGTCCCTGAATTTCGGACGATTTCCAATCCTTTTACGGCGACATTCTCACCAAGCTTGCGCTTTCATGGCAAAATCGTCCGGGTTTCCACAGCTTCTCTTTGAAAAGATATCTGCACGTATCACTGCACTATGGCCACGTGTGTACCCGGTAAAAACAGGTGGAGACGGGCGGTGCCATCATTATCGCAGACAGCAGAAACAATCGAATCATTCGCTTCGGTGGGGAGCTTGGAGTAGCAGAGAACCACATCCACATCATCCTCATACTCGTCATCGTCGCATGACATGGCAAATAAAATTTAACAAATAAAAGGACAGTGCTTGAACACCAATTTCATTGATACTTTATTGACTTACATTATATCGACAGATTATCGACATACTACTTTTATGTGTCTAATCATGTTCATTCCTCACTCGGTGGCAGTTATTCTGGCTTGACCTTGCACGTCGCAATCGTCTCCTAAGCTTGCGATTTTCAGGTTCAGAACCAACTCCAAGCAACGTTGAGAAGTGCACCTTGGGCGGGAACTGTGAGGTGGTGCTCCGGAACGGTCTACCCACTCCCAGGACGGGTCTCACATGGAGGTCATTTTGGAAAGCATGAAATAAGGATGGAACAAACATGAACAAACATGAACCGTTGTAGGTTGGATGCAGTTGGGCAACGTAGGATGCCTGGTCAACAGGTATGCTGGCCAAATGCAAATCAGATGTGACAATGTCTGTTCGTGCAACCATACAAGACTGTATTGTGTATTTAATAAGTTGACCTGGGTGTTGCTTCGTAAATTGTAGGTGTGTTCATGGAGCTCTGTTCCAAAAATATCTTGCGGAATCACAGCTCCATGAAGAAGCGGCCAAGCATTACTTCCAAGACTCCAAGACAGTTTTCCATCCCTGGGGGTATGACGAATGACCCGCCAGCCCTGGGGTTCCCCGAGCCACCGAATGTCTCGCTGAGGTTGATCAGTGTCCGTTTTCCTTTTTTTTGGGCTCAGATGGACGCCGTAGTCCTCGCCGTGTACGTGTCTCTTTCCATATCATGGTTAGCGGGTGTGATCTGTGGCCGACGTTTCGACCGACGTCGCGCGCAACTTTGGGAAGTTCTTCTGTTTTGTCAGCTGAACCGTTTGTTGGCACGTTGGTTGGGGGGTGGGGGTGGGGGGGTGGGGGGGGGTTAGGGGGGGGTTCTGTTTTCGGGGGGGTGGGGGGGGGTTGTAATAACGTCCTGTCGACGACCTTCTTGACGGTCTTCGTGATCTTGCAACATCCAACATCCAACATCCAACATCCAACATCCAACACGCGCTTGATGCTACGCTGTGGCACTTCTTCTTGCAACATCTAACACGCTCTTGATGCTACGCTGTGGCACTTCTTCTTGCAACATCTAACACGCTCTTGATGCTACGCTGTGGCACTTCTTCTTGCAACATGTTGGTTGGGGGGTTGGGACGGATGGCTCTCTTGTCAACCACTGCGCGTGACAAGATCGAGCACCGCAATCTGCTGTGCGCGCACTACTTGAACAAGGAGCCTGGCTTGGAACGCGTTCTTCGAGCTCTTGCCGTACATAGGCAAAAAGCGTCAAATGGATTAACAAGTCCATCGCGATGCTTCCAGAAACCTTTGTGGAACTTGTGACCGCAGTGAAAAGCGCAAAAAAAAGGTGACTATCAGCTTTTGGGCCGCTGTGGCAAACACAGATTGTATTGGTATTTGCAATGAATTTTAATGGGTCTCCATTTTCCTTGGCGTTCGCAGGGGTTTTGCATCATCATTTTAATGACTATGTACGGACACTTGATAAAATCGGCAACCCTTCCATGGAATTTGCTTCTTCCATTCTTCAAAACCAACACATTTTGTTAAATTGATGCTTCTCATCGACGGACATTTTTCAGAAATGTCCGCGTGCCCCATGATCAACAACTGATGAGTTCACATCTTCAGAAACACACAAAACATTGGAAAACACCATATAAAATGGACATTTGCCTATGCAATGGATCTTGGAATAAATGATGCTCCCGGGTAACCTAAGGGCCGGAGCGACAAATGATTTGTGCTAGATATTTTTGAGTCTCCAATAAATCCATACATCATGTGCTTTGTTCCTGTAGACTATATTTTGGGGAACACTAGATCTCCAGTCTGCCAAAGAGAGCAGGGGGATCATCCAGCAACGTCTAGGACCAAGTCATGACTCTGGGAGGCAAACATGACATGAATGCAATAGTTTCAGGATGTTTCAGGGTGTTGAGATGAATTACAGTACGACATGTGACATGAGTTCTCGAGGATTGTGTTTGTTTGCTGTGCTCATTTTAAAATGCTTGTTCATGTTGTCAATCACTTGATGGCTCGAGCGACTTTGCTTCTGAAATCAGAGGCACAATCGGTCACATTTGCAGTTGCGGCCCATGAGTACAGTCGGTGGCTACGTGCATGATGTCTCAGGCGGTGCTTCCGCCACCATCGATCTTCGTGTGCTTTGCTTCACCGATGAAGTGCGGCTCAGCGTCACTCCTTCCACCCTGGGCAGGGAAGTCCGAAAGATGGTTTCGGAGAACTTTCCACCAAAGCCGGGCGTCCAGATCGCCTTGTGTCACATGGAATCCCCCCTGGTGCACGGAAAGAGTTTGCAAGAGCAAGGCGTTGTGGGTCCAGCTGCTACTTTGTCTTGTGCTTTCGTGCCAACCAATTTATATGCCGCCTGGCGTTATGTGCAAAGAGTTTTGGCAGATGAGTTTGCTCTGGAGGGAGTCACTCAGCTTCATGGTGTCGCGTCTGGTTCATACCTTCACCATTTACCCCGTAGCCTGGAAAGCTTGGCCTTCGGCGCATGGTTCAACCAGAGCCTGGACCGAGTAGCCTTTCCGGTCAGTCTACGAAGCTTGGCTTTTGGCGTATCCTACAACCATGGCTTAGAGGGTGTTGTCCTGCCAGCAAACCTTCAACACCTAACGTTTGGTGCTGAGTTCAACCGGAGCCTGGAGCAAGTGACGCTACCGGATAGTCTTCGAAGCTTGACTTTTGGGAAGAAGTTCAACCAGAACTTGGAGGGCGTGAACCTGCCCAGTGGTCTTCAGGAATTGACCCTAGGTTTGAAGTTCAACCAGACCCTGGAGCGAGTGGTTTTTCCAAGCAGTCTTCGAAGCTTGACCTTTGGTGATTGCTTCAACCGCAGCCTAGATGGTCTGTCCTTGCCCACCAATCTTCAAACTTTGACATTTGGTGCTGGTTTCAGCCACAGCCTGAACCATGTATGCTTGCCAGGCAGCCTTCAGAGCTTGACTTTGGGCGCTGCTTTTAACCACAACTTGGAGCAGGGTGTGACCCTGCCCAGCGGTCTTCAAAACCTGACATTGGGTTTGAACTTCAACCAGTCCCTCGATCGAGTGGTTTTGCCATGCAGTCTTCGAAACTTGACTTTAGGTGCTTCCTTCAACCAACCCCTTGAACATGTGTGCCTGCCGAGCAATCTTGAAAGCTTGACATTTGGTAGTGACTTCAATCAAAGCCTGGAGCAGGTGACTCTGCCCAAGAGTCTGCAAAGCTTGACTGTTGGTTTCAACCAAAGCCTGGACCGCATTCCCTTCCCAAGCAATTTGCAGAACTTGACTCTAGATACTCTAGGGAGTAAATCTAACCAATGCTTGGAGCATGTGACTCTGCCAAGCAGTCTTCGAAATTTGAGTTTTGGCCCTTGGTTCAACCAGACTCTCGAACGAGTGGTCTTGCCAAATGGCCTTCAAAGCTTAACATTTGGTGACCATTTCAATCAGAGCCTGGATTCTGTGGCCTTGCCATCCAGTCTCCAACAATTGATGTTTGGTGTTGATTTCAACCAGAGCCTGGAACAAGTTCTTTTGCCCAACACTCTCAATAACTTGACGTTTGGTGCTGCTTTCAACCACAACCTTGATAATGTGACACTGCCTGGCAGTCTGAAAAGCTTAACTTTGGGTTTTAGTTTCAATCAGAGCCTGGACCGTGTGACTTTACCTAGCAGCCTTCAAAGCTTAACATTTGGAACTTGGTTCAACCAGACACTCCATCGCGTGATACTTCCGAGCAATCTTCAGTCGTTAACTTTTGGAGACCTCTTCAACCAGAGCCTCGATGGGGTAACGCTGCCTGACAGTCTTCAACACCTGACCTTTGGCAAGCAATTCAACTGCAGCCTGAATGGTGTGGCCTTGCCAAGCAGTCTCAAATGTTTGACCTTGGGGATGGAATTTACCAACGGCCGCCACGGCCTGGATTCCCTGGATTCCGTGACTCCAGGTCTTCACAGTCTATCCTGGCAACGCCCAGGTGGTGAGATGCTCGTGATCAGCTGCAAATAATGCAAATAGTTCTCACAGTTCTCCTGTTCTTCTCGCCAATTTGGGAAGTTCTGGGCGGCTCACGCTACGCCAAACGACTTTTGCTCCAATGATCGTCGATGAAACGGATGAATCTGCTGTATAAAATGGACGGCAGATGGCAGTGACTCACAGCAAACATGCGACAGCAGCTCCGTCCCGCAAGCAGTCAGTTTGCTATTGGTCAGCAGAGATTTGCTAGCACCATTTAATTTAATCATGTCATGTTCTTGTAGAATCTGATTTTGTTCCCCATGATCTCAAACAAGCCCCCCCCACCATCAGATTTCGAGAGAACGATCATCTGGGCATGGGTCAAGTTATTGAGGTACCAATGGACCCGCTTAAAACTGTTGATTGTTTGTATAATCATCTAAAAAATGGTAGACATTTCTATAAATTGTATTGAATTGTGATAATTTGTGTATTAATTAAGCTTTAAACATGATTAAAGCATCATCAACCATCGTTTCTTTGCGGAAGTTCATCATTTTTTGATCCATCCGACGTGAGGAGCCGCCTGCTGCTGGTCAAAAGCACCACCCAGACCACCGTGAACGGCGCCTGTGGTGGTGGCTGTGTGGACTCGGGGCTTGGCGGCGGCTCTTGGGTGCCTCGCCACGATGGATAGAGGTACCTTCAAGTGGTCATTTGATGTCATTTTTATGGGAAAAGCCATGAGAAACCATCGAATTTCGTGTTTTTCCCTAGTTATGGTGATATAATGGGGATAGAATGAGGATATGATGGGATATGTAACCCACCAGAACTATGCTTTCGTGTGTCTGACAATTGACAACGGGGTATACCCCCAAATTCTTGTTTGAATGGGACATATGATGATGGCTGGATTTTGGTGGACCCGATTTTCAGACATGATTTCGGGAGGTTAACCAGTTTCTAATTTTGAGAAAACCCTATCTGATCTATATGCGATAGATGGAGTTTGTGAACAAACAAAAAGACCGAACATACAGTCCGATAAATGGGAATGCAACCTTCGGAAGTGGGAGTAGTTCTGATACATCAGGATAGATATAATCCAGAAACGATGCCTGTTCACTGCTTGCAGGTGTTTTAGTTTATCGCTCTTGGCGATTACAACCAGAATGAAATTAGAGCCAATCCACAATAGGCTTTCCAAACTGCTCCATGGGAATCGTTCCAATAGAATTCCATAACATACCTGTTTCTTGGCCGTTCTGACAGTTCCAAAGCCAGATTTATCATTGATCACCTAGCCGACGTTTGCATTGCTGCAACAAAGTGATCGGAGACCTTTACCTTCTACAATCAGCACCGCTATCCATGCAATGCTAAGAATTTATTTGGTTATCATTCATATACACGAAGCTCACAAGCTCGAGACTTTAAGAGCGACTTATCCATGTTTGCCACTGATGTGTCACTGATCAACATCAACGTTGCTGCGTCTATTCCAAGGTTTCTTTGCCTGGCCCACAGCCTCCGCTTCTGACAGTGATGATCTTTCCCTTTGGTGTGGCTGGCTTTGGCGAAACCATGCGACACCCGGCTGTGGGAGCAGGGAGGCTTTTGATAATCGAGCTGTATGTTGTTTATATTTATATAAAGGACATATAGATAAATATTGTTGATGCTTGTCGCTATTCTGGCTAATTTCATCATTGAAGCCTTCAAGCCACCGCAAAAAGGCATGACCTGCTGGATTTTGATGGATTTCCATGCCCCGATATTGGAAGCAGCATGCAACAGGTGGCGGTTTGGCGGTTTCGCTTTCCTATTGCTTTACCACACTGGATTATAATTTTGGAATAATGCCTCCAGTGGAGATTGATCAGTTGGAATGCTCGGCATGTGAGGAGATTACATCATGTGCTATGGACCAGAAGGAAACGAAGCTCAGCTGCAGAGGTCAACCATTGTGTTTGCAATTCCATGGTTCGATGTCGTTTGGGTCCTTTGGGCAGGCCTCCTTTCAATGGCTTTGTCACCATTCTTTCATGGCATTCCTGCGGCATTCGAAGATCTTTGAAGATGGGTTGATCAATGGATCTCCTCCCATGGATCTCCTATGGATTCCTATGGCCCATGAAGAAAGATCTCAGGCCGAGGAGGTTGCCTCTGGGAACTGCAGCTCCATGCCCTACAACGTGGGAACGGTGAGGACCGGGATTTTGCGAAGGTTGGAGGACCATTTCCAGGCTGTCTTTGGTGCTAATACCGTCTAATACCAATATCATCCAGTATTCATTGCATTTCATTGCCATGTGAAAATCTTTTTTTTGGTTTGAAGTGTGTTGAAAACCACGAAAAAGCACCATGTACCATTTGCTTCACTTTGGCTTGCTGTAAGATTGGACATGGACAAATCAGGATGCGATCTCAAACTTTTAGTACGCCTGCTTTGCTCCACCTTGCATGGATGAAGTCTCGTGCCCGTCTCGCCAGGTGCAAACATAAATGTCAAATATGACCACCTGTTTTTAGAAAGATACCATACATGTTATATCATGTTATTATAGGTTCCCTTTCTTCAGCAAAGCACCAATTAACAACAGATAGTGACCGGTTATGAGAATGTCATGAGAATGTCAGGATGCTTCCGCATCTATCTTCGACTCCTTCAACAGAATGCGTCACAGGGACTCCTTGCACTGCGGACCTCGATGGGCACCTTTGCATTGGCACTGCTTGAAACATGGCCAACATGTTGTAAATGAAATGTAAATTATGGCTATATTAGGTCACAACGATACATACTCCTAGCAGGTAGTTAGCAACTGTGCATCACCAGCACTTGCTTGACACTGGAGCCAAAATGACATTCCTCTTGGAAGCCTGTGGCCCGGGGCCCTCATTTGAGGTATGGCATTCCTGCCGCCGACTTGGTGGTTGTGGCGATCATCGACTCTGCCTATGGCACCGGAGTGGCGTGTGGGACTGGAAGTGCTACAGCGGCAAGTTGTCCGCCACGGGGGTCTATTTGAACGAGCTCTTTCCATTTGTCTTTACAAGAGCCATTCATTTGGAGAAGAGCCGTTCATTACTTTCCTTTTATTGATTGCAGCAGCATGAACCGTCCGAGGATGTAACTCTGAAGGCATTGCCGTGAGCCAATGTAAGTGTCATGTAAGTGTCATGTAAGTGTCATATCTTTGTTGCTCAGCATTGCTTGCCTCGGTGGACTACGCTTGCACTTCCACAAAGAGCTGCTGCACCAAGGTACCCAGAACTTTCAAGGCTATCGTGCCTTTTTTCTGCAAAATCCAGGCAACTGATGGTTGGTATCAACAGTGGGTGACCAGTCTTCAGGCACTTCTTGATTTGTCATGTCTTGTCTAGTTCAGATTAGAGTAGAAATGACTTGCCATCTGGTGCTATGTATGGTTGTGCATTTGTGGCTTCTCTGCAGCCGCAGGTTTTCTGCAACCAATTGTGGAGCCCTACTTGAGCCAAGGGAACCGAAGTGCCAATGTACAAGTCTTCTTTGGGGAGGCTGAGAACGCTTTTGGTAGTGATTTTTCAAATGTGAAGGGTCGAAAACCTGGGGAGCAGAGGCTTTGCCTTTTGCATTGGGCCACCGGCCACCCAACATTGATGCCATGATGAGACATGGTGACACCTCTTGTCAATCAGTCCAGTTTTCATCGTTCATCCTGGCCATGCTTTGCCCTGCCCACAAGGCGCTTGGCCAGGGAAGTCAATTGCTTTGCGCTTGCTACGAAGGATGGGATCGGTGGGAGGGTAAGGAGCATCGGAACGGCCACTTTGTCTCCGTGTTCAAGCTGTAAAGAGTTGTAATTAAGATACGTCGATTTGCAACTGACTGCGTGGATCTGCTATCTCACTTGCCAGGCAATGACTGCAATTCTCCAAGCCGATTCAAGGATTTACTTCTCAGGGGGTGAAACCTCGAGGAAAATTGTGGATAAACCAGAGCTCAAGTATGCTCAAGTTATAGATTTGTTGGTATGGAAAGTTTGACGGCAGATCTGGAAGAAGTTTTCATAGTTTTCTGCATGTGTTTTAATAGGCCTATCGTTCTTCATTCCCAAAGAAGTGTTAGTTCCATCGCGTTTCTTGGACCCATTCTCCCTTCGCCGGGAGTTCCACCTTCTTCGAAATCTCCATCCTGACGTGGAGAAAACTGGTCTTCGGCAGCGCTTCTCTCCAGGAGCCAATTGGTTACATCCGAGTGCGCAGTGCCCTGTTCAATAGCCTCTTTTGTCGCTGGGGAGAGCTTCTTGGTCGCAGAACGCAGCTGTTTTTTTGAGAAGCTGTAGATGCCGCGGGCCAACACGGGGGATGTGCCAGACTGACAGATTTGTATGACATGATATGACGTGATGAATAGTGCGGGCGCTGTGCCATAAAAAAGCTTCACTTTACCCTGAACATGTTTGTGAAAGCTCAAAAAGCATCAGCTTTGCTGCTGAAAGTACGCCTTGGTCTAGGTCCTGTGTGCTGAACGTCAGCGGCCAATATTTGAGGCTGGAGTTTGGTCGCATGGGGGTCTAAAGCGAGTCCTGATCGGTGGCGATTCAGCACTTCCAAGCCTTTGAAGATACCAAAATCATCCAAAATCAGCCATGGGGCCATGGTGGCCAAAGCATGGTAAAGATATGTAAAGATGTAGGTGGGGTCACACCCCACTCACTCAGCTGTACCTTGAAAACCGTTGTTACATAGGGGTGTAAACCCCCTTCATGCGCTTGTAGTTGATTGTAATTGGCGTGTAATTGGCCATTTTGGATCCATTTGGTGGATTGAAAATGATTGAAATGGTTTCAATCAACTGGAAGATGGCGATGAATGTCAAACCATGAGACAGTTGACTTCCTTCAGGGACACGGACGTGGCCGTCCTGACCCCCAGCTACCGAAGCTGCACCTCCCTGAGCTTCCAGGTGGGGCCGCTAGTAGTATGTAAGTATATGGGAAGGTTGCAGGAATGGGGCAATGTACCTTTGGGAGTCCGTATAGATAGATTATGATAGATCCATAAAGAGCTCACAGATATTAACAGAATCCTTGCTTCGTCCAACAAGTCTTGTTCACCGGCCTTCATCTAGATGTCATTCGGCCTGGGCATGACGTATGTGGCGTTGCGATAGGAAGCCTCATCCTTTCAGTTCGACAACCCAGCCGCTTGGATTTAGCACTTTCCATCGGTTCTAAGGTGCCTCATGGTGCCTCCATGTCTGGCGTCTCTCAATTCCAACATGGATGGAACAAACATGGAACAAACACAACATGATAAGTTCCAGCTGATTCCATCCATGCGGAACCAATTTCGTGCGGAGATTTTGGGATTGGCCACCGACCTGCTCCAAGGTGGCCAATGCCTCATCGGCCACAGTCAGCTCGATGTCATCTTCAGATGGCCTGAACATTGCCTCCTTTGATCTGGGTACAGCGAGGGACAGCGGCGTGTTTCAGGCATCCAAAACCTGGTGATCAACCATGAAATTTTGAGGTACCTTGTTTTCAGAGCCACATCATAGCCATTTGTGGCCATCCATCACCATGGCCCAGTGGCCCAGTGGCCGCTGGTGCGGAGAACCCCTGCGTCCTCTGCATCCAGGTGTGCTACTGCGCTTCCTATGACGGTGAGGCTGTGGCATCAGAAAGGGCGTCCAGTTTCGAATGCTTGGAACACGATGCTAGTAGATATTTGGTAATTGTCTTGGACAATCTTGGACATATTCGGAAATATGGTCATTCTTGGATACTATCCCAAAGTCAAAACCATACTGATAGGCCTTTGCAAGCCACCACTTGTTCCACCACATGAGCCTTCCATACCCTAAATTAGACTGTAATTCCTTGTTGCTTTGTTGCTGCCACCTTTGAAAAGGTTCTGATTTTGGTTGACGACGGCAGGATGCAGATGACCAGACTTGTAGCAGCGCCGCCGAGTTCACTCATAGCGCTGCTGGGCAAGCAGATGACTACACATATCTTTTTCTTGGGGCACAAGGATCAGGAACAGTGCTGTAAAGGATACAATTTGCATCAATTTGCTATAGTCTACCAGAGTCAATCTTCTTGATTGTTGAACTACCACATCTTGAATGAACTGGGGTATTCTCATGTCTTCTCCTCTTATTCTTGACCAGCAGATGTTGGCACTACTGAGCTGAAGCCCAGGCTGGTACCCTGGTGATCATGCGAGTGAACAGCCAGGTGGCCAGGGTCAATGTGTGTTGAAGTGGATCCCTCTAGTCCAACCTGAGGATGGAAGAGCAGCATGGGTTTGTCTGAAAAGGGGGGATACCGGGATACCTCCAAATTTTGTGAATGTTTACCATAATTTGCATCATACTCCCTGCAAAAATGGTGAATGCGAGGCTATTTTAGGGGGTGTAATTTCCATTTTCAGACACACCCCACACCGATCTTTTTGTTTCACGTTCATCAAGCTTATGCTTCAAACTGTTCAGCGACGTCCCATGAATTACTGTAATTCTGCTGGGTTCCGAGACAGAAACCCGGAGTGGACAACAAAATGCTGGGCCCATACTCTGCCAAAGATTGCCAAAGTTGATTCTGTCGTTCACATGTATGTATATAATTGTGTATATATATATATATATATTTGCGAATGTGCATTTTGAGTGTAGCTTTTGTTCGGCAAACACACGCGTCCAGCCATTTTTTTGTTGTTGGCGACGTCAACAAGGTGGTGCCTAATATTTAGCTAAGTTGGTTTATTACTCCAATGACTAGGGTTTGTGAGACATATGTGTGTAGTAAATGAGCGTTATAAGTTATAAGCCAACAAACATCACCGGGGGGGGACCATCTTGAAGATATCAAGCGCACTTGAACAGAACTTGCATCTCCCAAATCGCAACTGACATGTGCCTTCATTCGCTGGGTCTCAGTACTTCCCACCTTTTCAAAACCTGGCATCCAGGACTATGAGTGCGCTATGAACCGCGCTTGCTCGGTGGAAGTCAGTGGTTTGTACATGGCAGTCTGGGCGTCCCAGATCTCAATGCGAAATCCATGGATCGTTGCGACTGCGGCCTGCTGTGCTACCAGGCCACAGATATCTTGCTGGACACTGGAGGGTTGGCCGCCTGTGGCAGCATCGTTCCACAAGAGGCAACTGGTGGTCTTGGTGGTGGCTGGTCTGAATGCTTGATGCGCCTTGGGCATACAATGGCATGTAGCAGTAGCATGAGGTCAATGACGTGCAGCGATGTAGTTTCGACTATGGAAGAAGTGACTCCCCCAAATGAATCGCATATTCCAGATCCACAAAAATTGGAGCAGCCTTAAATCAAAGGATCTCTGCAACCCTGTGAATCCTCATCCCATTGTGCCAGGCAGCAGTGGTTGGTGGCATTAGCTTCCAGCAAAACTTCTTTGCAGCACAGGCCCTGTCGGCTTCGGACTTGTCAACCTTGATTCCTAAAAAGCATCAAAAATCATCCAGAACCCATGGTGCCTGGGGAATTGCAGTTTGATCTGGAAACTGAGACCCCATGAGACACCCCCCAGTACACCAGGCTGGTGCCACCAGCGATCCGAATACTTCACAGCACTTTCAGCCGCTCAGCCTAGAGGAAAAACTGTGGATTTTAATGTACCTCCATCTACAGTAGTCTATCCACCATTATCCACCCATATCCACCAGATTTTTTTTTGAGATTTTGGGGTTACCGGTTACCCATCGTTACCCATGGTTACCCCATTGATCCACTAGGTCTTTCTGGATTTTCTGGTTACCAAGGTTGATCACCTTCACGGTGCCCGGGGATCATCGGCTCTGCTACTGCTCTAGCTATGATGCGGACTGGCCGCGGCGTTTCATGGTGGCTGTGGCCTATCAGATCCTATCAGATTTCACTGGGGAGCTGGGTAGTCATTAATGTTCATGACATTTAATGACTAGTGACTGTTGGATATGTGCTTCCTTTGGATACTCTCGATCCATTTGAAACGTTGAGACTCGCATTCACGCAATGTATCTAATGTATCTAATGTATCTAATGAGCAGCTGGTATTTGGTGTGAGGATCCTAACAATGTCAACGACCAGATACAGGGCCCTTGCAACGATGCTGCTGCTTGGCTGACAGATTCGTGTGTTCAAACGTGATCGCAGATCCGTTCTGTCCAAAAGAGAAAGGACAATTAAGGAGGTTGAGACCTTTCACTTTTTGATGAAGACTTTATTCAGAAACTATCCCACAAAAAGCAGGCTGGCACTTTGACCCATTATAGAAAGAATGAGTAGGCCGTCCAAGTTCCAGATGACCAGCGAAAGATACGAAGACGAGATACAAATTTCTCAACGACCATGCCCCTCCAAAGGCTTGACAGACATGTTGTAAAGGACACCATTTGGAACACAAGAATTTCCTAAAGCTCGGTGATTTGCCTACGAATATCCCTATCCTCCAGCTGCATTCTGTTGCAGCCAGGTTGAGTTCATCCAACCGGTAGGTCTCCTCACCATTCGCGGGTCGGAGACTCAGACATTTTCGCTGTGGGACCTCCACTTGGCCGGATGGTAGGAGAATTTGGCTTGTTCCATTGCCATGGGCCGCAGGGCCATAGGGCATTGGGAAAGGATAGAGAAATGCAACATGCATCAACCGATCAAACATGAAAACATCTCGGTTCTTAGTTCTTTCCCACAACAACTGAGGCCTGGAAGCTTAATGCAATGATTCGTTTGCCTCGATTGCAGCTATGTAACTTCAGCTGGTGCCAGGCCAAGCTACAGAGTGATCTCGTGTGCTGCCAACGTGTTCCAAGCTCAGATTGGAGCTACGAAATGATCCACCACATTCCCAGCTGAGGAAGGACCACTGTGGGGTACATTCTCAATTTGAAAATGTTTGAAATCTATCTTTGTCACCTTTTTGAGATCACTCTATCTACGCTGGGCTTGTGTTTCAGAAGACATTTGCAGGCCATTATTTTTAAAGGTTGGCTTCCTCCAGCTTACTTGGCGGTTAAATAAAGTATAGGAGTTTTACAGCCAACATCAATAGTTTTCCAAGAGCCTATCCACAAGTTGGCCCTTTGGCGCGGGCTGCGAGAGACTGGAAATGAGCACAATCAATTCCATGGCAGCCTATAGAAGGCTCAAAGATGGGAAACTCCACCTGTTCACGGTGTGCAAAGCCGAACAACGAGCCCAGTTTCTGCGAAGAGGTGGATGGCAGCGGCTATGGTGGGTGGCTCTTCCCGATGTATTTGGTGAAGATCCGCGACTTCCTTGAAATGGAGGGAGTCCCAGAGCCCCATCACGTGCTGAAGCAAAAGGGTTTGCTTCATCCTTGGCAGCCTGGGATGTTCAGCATCTTCATTTCGCACCAATGGCTGGGAAAAGGACATCCTGATCCCAAAGGCAGGGCTGGAAATCCAGTTGAGATGTACTGGTCATCACATTTTCATACATGCTCGAAGCATTCTTTTAAGAGGTACATCTTATTTTCAGTTCATTTTCTCCTGTACCCATCACAAGCTTCGGATGTCTTCCAACAGCATGACCTTGAACTAGTCGGAGCCGGACTGGTCTTAGATTTCTTTCAGGATCGTAGTCCAGAGGTTCGGTCACTTCAAGCAGATGCTAGATTTAGAGCCCTAAGCGACAGCATGCCGCAGCCGTTTGGTGTTTTCCCGAAGCATAGCGAAGGGTTCTTGTTTTCTTTCTTGGGGGTCTGGGGGTGGTGGACTGTTTGCTCGTCGTTTTGTTTTTGTTCTCTAATCGCGTCGTCCCGCTGTCTATGGGGAAAGTGAGAAAAGGTGATGTTTTGTGACGTGTGAAAGTACATTTCGCGTGGCAGGCGTGGGACTTTGTGGCACTCAAACGAAAGTTGCTTCGCGGTGCTCTCACGTTTACGCCGCCCGCTGTCTATGGGGAACGTGGAGAAAAAGTGATGTGTTGTGACGTGTGAAAGCGCATTTCGCGTGGCAGGTGTGGGACTTTCTGGCTCTCAAGCGAAAGTTGCTTCGCGACTCTCTAATGTTTACGCCGCAAGCTGTCCATGGGGAAAGTGAGAAAAGGTGATGTGTTGTAACGTGTGAAAGCGCATTTCGCTTGGCAGGCGTGGGCCTTGGTGGCACTCAAGCGAAAGTTGCTTGGAGTGTGAAGTGTGGAATGGTGGAGTGCGAAGTGTGGAGTGTGAAGTGTGGAGTGTGAAGTGTGGAGTGTGAAGTGTGCAGTGGAGAGTGTGGAGTGTGGCGTGGAGTGTGAAGTGTGGAGTGTGAAGTGGTGTGAAGTGCGGAGTGTGAAGTGTGGAGTGTGAATTGTCGAGTTTGCAGTGTGGAGTGTGAAGTGTGCAGTGGAGAGTGTGGAGTGTGAAGTGTGGAGTGTGAAGTGTGGAGTGGAGAGTGTGGTGTGTGGAGTGTGAAGTGTGGAGTGTGAAGTGTGGAGTGTGAAGTGTGGAGTGTGAAGTGTGGAGTGGAGAGTGTGGTGTGTGGAGTGTGAAGTGTGGAGTGTGGAGTGTGGAGTTTGCAGTGTGGAGTGTGAAGTGTGCAGTGGAGAGTGTCGAGTGTGAAGTGTGGAGTGTGAAGTGTGGAGTGGAGAGTGTGCAGTGTGGAGTGTGAAGTGTGGAGTGTGAAGTGTGGAGTGTGAAGTGTGGAGTGTTTTGCGTTGCGTGGCGTTTGAAAGTTTGGCTCAGAGAGTCACAAGTGTTTTCGTATCACACAGCACTACATTCAGATGTGCACTTTAGGTTGAGGCAGTTGCAAGAGATACAACCAAGAACAACATTGAAATGCATGTGCATTTTTCCCGAAAGCGTAGTGAAGGGTTCTTGTTTTCTTTCTTGGAGGTCTGGGGGTGGTCGACTGTTTGCTCGTCGTTTTGTTTTTTGTTTTTTTGTTTTTTGTTTTTTTCTGTGATCGCGTCACGCGTCGTCCTGCTTTCTATGGGGAAAGGGAGAAAAGGTGATGTTTTGTGACGTGTGAAAGTACATTTCACGTGGCAGGCGTGGGAATTTGTGGCACTCAAGCGAAAGTTGCTTCGCGGTGCTCCAATGTTTACGCCGCCCGCTGTCTATGGGGAACGTGAGAAAAAGTTGATGTGTTGTGACGTGTGAACGTGCATTTCGCGTGGCGGGTGTGGGGCTTTGTGGCACTCCGGCGTGGAGTGGCGAGTGTGAAGTGAGAAATGTGAAGTGTGGAGTGTGAAGTGGAGAGGTTGAAGTGTGAAGTGTAGAGTGTGCAGTGTGAAGTCTGGAGTGTGAAGCGTGGAGCGTGCAGTCTGACGCGTGAAGTGTGGTGTGTAAAGTGCGGTGCGTGGAGTGCAGAGTGTGGAGTGGAGAGTGTGAAGTATGAAGTGTGGAGTGGTGTGAAGTGTGAAGTGTGGAGTGTGAAGTGTGAAGTGTGGGGTCTGAAGTGTGGAGTGTGTGAAGTGTAAAGTGTGGAGTGTGAAGTGTGAAGTGTGAAGTGTGGTGCGTGAAGTGTGGAGTGTGGAGTGCCGAGTGCGGGGTGGAGAGTGGAGAGTGTGCAGTGTGAAGTGTGGAGTGTGAAGTGTGAAGTGTGGAGTGTGAAGTGTGAAGTGTGAAGTGTGGTGCGTGAAGTGTGGAGTGTGGAGTGCAGAGTGCGGGGTGGAGAGTGGAGAGTGTGAAGTGTGAAGTGTGGAATGTGAAGTGTGGAGTGTGAAGTGTGAAGAGTGGAGTGTGAAGTGTGAATTGTGGAGTGGAGAGTGTGAAGTGAGAAGTGTGGAGTGTGAAGTGTGAAGTGTGGAGTGAAGTGTGGAGAGTGTGAAGTGTGAAGTTTGGAGTGTGAAGTGGAGAGTGTGAAGTGTGAAATGTGGAGTGTGAAGTGTGGAGTGTGGAGTGGAGAGTGTGAAGTGTAAAGTGTGAAGTGTGAAGTGTGGAGTGAAGTGTGGAAAGTGTGAAGTGTGGAGTGTGCAGTGTGAAATGTGGAGTGTGAAGTGTGAAGTGTTTAGCGTGAAGTGAAGTGAAGTGTGCACTGTGTAGTGTCAGGTGCGCAATGTGAAGTGTGAAGTGTGGAGCTTGAAGTTTTGAAGTTTGAAGTGAAGTGTGACGTGTGAAGTGTGGAGTGTGGAGTGTGGGGTGTGAAGTGTGAAGTGTGAAGTGCAGTGTAGTACTGGGAAGTACTTTGCGCAAGCTTTGTAGTACAAAGTAGTACTGGGAAGTACTTCGTGCAAGCATTGTAGTACAAAGTAGTACTGGGGAGTTTCTTGTGCAAGCTTTGTAGTACAAAGTAGTAGTGGGAGGTACTTTGTGCAAGATTTGTAGTACGTAGTAGTACTGGGAAGTGCCTTGTGCAAGCTTTGTAGTACAAAGTAATTTCGGGAAGTACCCTGTGCAAACTTTGTAGTACAAAGTAGTACTGGGAAGTGCCTTGCGCAGGCTGTGTAGTACAAAATAGTATTGGAAAGTGCCTTGTGCAAGCTTTGTAGTACAAAGTAGTACTGGGAGGTACTTTGTGCAAGATATGTAGTACAAAGTAGTACTGGGAAGTGCTTTGTAAAAGCTTTGTAGTACAAAGTAGTATTGGGAAGTATTTTGCGCAAGCTTTGCAGTGCAAAGTAGTACTGGGAAGTGCTTTTTGGATTTGGAAGCTTTGTAGTATTAAAGTAGTACTGGGAAGTGCCTTGTGCCAGCTTTGTAGCCCTGCGCAAGCTTTGCAGTACAAACTAGTGCTGGGAGGTACTTTGTGCAAGATCTGTAGTAAAAAGTAGTACTGGGAAGTTCCTTGTGCAAGCTTTGTAGTACAAAGTATTATTGGGAAGTACTTTGTGCAAGCATTGCAGTATGGAGTAATACTTGGAAGTTCCTCATGCAAGCTTTGTAGTACAAAGTAGTACTGGGAACTACTTTGTGCAAGCTTTGTATTACAAGGTAGTAATGGGATGTGTCTTGTGCAAGCTTTGCAGTACAAAGTAGTACTGGGAGGTACTTTGTGCAAGCTTTGTAGTAGAAAGTAGTGCTGAGAAGTTCTTTGTGCACGCATTGCAGTACAAAGTGGTACTGGAAAGTTCCTTGTGCAAGTTTTGTAGTACAAAGTAGTACTGGGAGGTGCTTTGTGCAAGCTTTGTAGTAGAAAGTAGTGCTGAGAAGTTCTTTGTGCACGCATTGCAGTACAAAGTGGTACTGGAAAGTTCCTTGTGCAAGTTTTCTAGTACAAAGTAGTGTTGGGAGGTGCTTTGGTGCACGCTTTGTAGTACAGAGTAGTACTGGGAAGTGCCTTGTGCAAGCTTTGTAGTCCAAAGTGGTACTGGGAGGTGCTTTGGTGCAAGTTTTGCAGTACAAAGTAGTGCTGGGAGGTGCTTTGGCACAAGCTTTGTAGTACAAAGTAGTACAAGGAAGTGCCTTGCGCAAGCTTTGTAGTACAAAGTAGTATTGTTTGTGCAAGCATTGCAGTATGGAGTAATACTTGGAAGTTCCTTGATTCCTTCTGCAAGCTTTGTAGTACAAAGTAGTACAAGGAAGTGTCTTGCGCAAGCTTTGTAGTACAAGTAGTATTGGGAAGTACTTTGTGCAAGCATTGCAGTATGGAGTAATACCTGGAAGTTCCTTGACTCCTTCTGCAAGCTTTGTAGTACAAAGTAGTACAAGGAAGTGCCTTGCGCAAGCTTTGTAGTACAAAGTAGTATTGGGAAGTACTGTGTGCAAGCATTGCAGTATGGAGTAATACTTGGAAGTTCCTTGATTCCTTCTGCAAGCTTTGTAGTACAAAGTAGTACTGTGAAGTGCCTTGTGCAAGCTATGTAATACAAGGTAGTAATGGGATGTGTCTTGTGCAAGCTTTGCAGCACAAAGTAGTACTTGGGAGGTACTTTGTGCAAGCTTTGTAGTAGAAAGTAGTGCTGAGAAGTTCTTTGTGCACGCATTGCAGTACAAAGTGGTACTGGAAAGTTCCTTGTGCAAGTTTTGTAGTACAAAGTAGTACTGGGAGGTGCTTTGGTGCCAGTTTTGCAGTACAAAGTAGTGCTGGAAGGTGCTTTGGTGCACGCTTTGTAGCGCAGAGTAGTACTGGGAAGTGCCTTGGTACTGGGAGGTGCTTTGGTGCAAGTTTTGCAGTACAAAGTAGTACTGGGAGGTACTTTGTGCAAGATATGTGGTACAAAGTAGTATATACTGGGAAGTGCTTTGTAAAAGCTTTGTAGTACAAAGTAGTATTGGGAAGTATTTTGCGCAAGCTTTGCAGTGCAAAGTAGTACTGGGAAGTGCTTTTTGGATTTGGAAGCTTTGTAGTATTAAAGTAGTACTGGGAAGTGCCTTGTGCCAGCTTTGTAGCCCTGCGCAAGCTTTGCAGTACAAAGTAGTGCTGGGAGGTACTTCGTGCAAGATCTGTAGTAAAAAGTAGTACTGGGAAGTTCCTTGTGCAAGCTTTGTAGTACAAAGTAGTATTGGGAAGTACTTTGTGCAAGCATTGCAGTATGGAGTAATACTTGGAAGTTCCTCATGCAAGCTTTGTAGTGCAAAGTAGTACTGTGAAGTGCCTTGTGCAAGCTATGCATTACAAGGTAGTAATGGGATGTGTCTTGTGCAAGCTTTGCAGTACAAAGTAGTACTTGGAGGTACTTTGTGCAAGCTTTGTAGTAGAAAGTAGTGCTGAGAAGTTCTTTGTGCACGCATTGCAGTACAAAGTGGTACTGGAAAGTTCCTTGTGCAAGTTTTGTAGTACAAAGTAGTACTGGGAGGTGCTTTGGTGCCAGTTTTGCAGTACAAAGTAGTGCTGGAAGGTGCTTTGGTGCACGCTTTGTAGTACAGAGTAGTACTGTGAAGTGCCTTGGTACTGGGAGGTGCTTTGGTGCAAGTTTTGCAGTACAGAGTAGTACTGGGAGGTACTTTGTGCAAGCTTTGTAGTAGAAAGTAGTGCTGAGAAGTTCTTTGTGCACGCATTGCAGTACAAAGTGTTACTGGAAAGTTCCTTGTGCAAGTTTTGTAGTACAAAGAAGTACTGGGAGGTGCTTTGGTGCCAGTTTTGCAGTACAAAGTAGTGCTGGGAGGTGCTTTGGTGCAAGCTTTGTAGTACAGAGTAGTACTGGGAAGTGCCTTGTGCAAGCTTTGCAGTACAAGTGTGAAGTGTGAAGTGTCGGGTGTGCAGTGTGAAGTGTGGGGTGTGAAGTGAAGTGTGAAGTGTGGAGTGTGGAGTGTGAAGTGTGAAGTGCAGAGTGTGGAGTGGAGAGTGTGGAGTGTGGAGTGTGGAGTGTGGAGTGTGGAGTGTGGAGTGTGAAGTGTGAAGTGTGGAGTGGAGAGTGCGAAGTGTGAAGTGTGAAGTGTGAAGTCTGGAATTTGGAGTGTGTGGGGTGTGAAGTGTGAAGTGTGGAGTGCGATGTGTGGAGTGTGAAGTGTGGAGTGTGGAGTGGAGAGTGTGGAGTGGAGAGTGTGAAGTGTGAAGTGTGAAGTGTGGAGTGGAGAGTGTGAAGTGTGGAGTGTGAAGTGTGAAGTGTGCAGTGTGGAGTGTTAAGTGTGGAGTGTGGAGTCTGGAGTGCGAAGTAATACTGGGAAGTGCCTTGTGCAAGCTTTGTAGTACAAAGTAGTACTGGGAGGTACTTTGTGCAAGGTTTGCAGTACAAAGTAGTACTGCGAGGTGTTCCAGATGTGTCAAGCAAGAGTGTCCAACAAGAGTGTCTTACAAGAGTGCTTCAGAGTATTGAGAGAGAGTGTTTTACCAGAGTGAGCCACAAGAGTGTCCAGCAAGGGTGTCAGGCAAGAGTGTCCCACAAGAGTGTCCCATGAAAGTGTCCCACAAGAGTGCCCCACAAGAGTACGTATGCCACAAGAGTTTCACAAAAGAGTGTCCCACACGATTGTCCGAGAAGAGTGTCAAGCAAGAGTGTTCTGCAAGAGTGGCTTTTAATGCGATCGTGCATCTCCTGCTCGCTTTTCATTGTTCTGTAGGAACCCTTCTTCTACGTGAGTTTTAAAAAAATGCAAATTCGGGTTCGTGGCTTCTATCAGTTTTTTTGTTCCTGGGGCATCATCCCTGCTTGTGAAGCCTGCCGTCCCTCAAATCGTTGCATGCAATCCGTGGAGGTGAACACACTACCCTTCTTCGGGAAGTTCTTCGGAAGGTGCTGGACGGTTCTCTCCAAATCCAAGAAGATGTGGTCTCAAATTCCTACGATCGTCGTGTCTCACTGGCCCAACGGGTGAAAGAACAGCTCCCGAAGGGATACCTGTTCTATGATTGGTTACTGTCCTTGAAGTGGATGGGAGGATTTTTTTCTTGGGACAGGAAACCTGTTTGGTTCATGATTGGTTCATCATGGTTCATCACCCTTTTGAACGGCCGGGGGTTCGCTTGAACATTTGTGTTTTTCTCGCTTGTGCGTTTGGTTTTGGATCGCTTGTGCGTTTGATTTTGGATCGCAAGGCCGGTAGAGCCGTAGAGCCCGTAGAGCCCGTAGAGCCCGTGCAGCCCGTCAACCCATAGAGCCCGTAGAGCCCGTAGAGCCTGTAGAGCCCGTGGAGCCCGTGGAGCCCGTAGAGCCCGTAGGGCTCGTAGAGCCCGTAGGGCCCGTAGAGCCCGTAGGGCCCGTAGAGCCCGTAGAGCCCGTAGAGCCTGTAGAGCGCGTAGAGCCCGTGGAGCCCGTGGAGCCCGTAGCGCCGTAGAGCCCGTAGAGCCCGTAAGGCCCGTGAGACCCGTGAGAGGCGTAGAGGGGGTCATGCTATTGTCCATGAGAAAGTTCGACCAATGAAAGGCATTGGAGCGAATTCTAGCAGAACCACTTTCTTCCAGTGATCTCCACCACTTGACATTCCTGGAGAATACATTGTGACATTAATCATTCTATCTGGCATTCTTTCTTGCATTATATCCGACAATCATTCTGGCATCTTTCATCATCTTTCTAGCTGACATATATTTGAACATTCTACCTGACATTCTATCCGGCATTTTTCAGACATATATTCAAACATTCTTTTTTGCATTCTGTCTAGCATTATATTCGACAGATATTCTGGCACCTTTCCAATTGACATATATTTGTACAACCTATCTGACATTCTATTCAGACATTCTATTTGGCATTCTTTCTAGCAGCCTATTTGACATATAGTTTGACATTCTATCAAATTTCTATCCGATATTCATTCTGGCAGCCTATCTAACAAATAAGTTTACATTCTATCCGGCATTCTTTCTGGCATCTATTCTCTCATCCCATCTGACATGCTTAGTGGCACGTTCGGGTCCGTGCGCGCCCAGACTGAGCTGGAAAAATAGGAAGTCATGTTAGACAGTGAAGAGCGTAGCAACAACAAACATAGATGGAAGTTAAGTTGGAAATCCAAGAGCGTAGCGACAACATACGGATACGTAATTAGTAGGACGGGTGCGTGGTGGAAAGCCAAGAGCATAGCAGCAGAAACATAGTCGGAAGTTATGTTGGAAGGCCAAGAGGCCAAGAGCGTAGCAGCAAGAACGTAGTAGGGACCTGTGTTGGAAAGTCAAGAGCGTAGCGGCAGGAACGTAGTCGGAAGTTATGTTGGAAAGCCAAGAGCGTAGCAGCAAGAACGCAGTAGGAAGTAATATTTGAAAGCCAAGAGCACAACAGCAACAAGCAGGAAGTTTTGCGTGAAAGCCAAGAGTGCAGCAGCAAGAACACAGTAGGACTGTAGGACTTTATATTATCACTGATCTCGTTTTAGGGTCTAGATCCGTGGGGTTTAAACCAGCTACCTTTTTCCGCCAAAGTAAGATGTCTCAAAGCAGCCTCAATTGAGACATTTTGAACACTGTCCAAGGTCAACAGTGCCATATCGTGCTTCCAAAAATTGTTCAGAATTGCTCGACATGACCCCAACTTGCCCGACAAAAATGCTCAAAATTGCTCGAAATGACCCAAGCTGGCCCGAAAAAACTGCTCAAAACTGCTCAAAGTTGCTCAAAATTGCTCAAAATTGCTCACCCTCAATCGTCAGTTTCAACTGACACGGATCACTTGTCATTAGATTGGTTGCCATTGTTTCAATCAACGGCTTATCCCGAAAAAATCGTGTTGCTTTGATAGAAAAAAAACGGTCATGCCCGCAGTTTCTTTTGCTTCATTACTGCCTCTTGGTGATACCGCAATCAGACATGAACTTCTGGGTTTTTTTTGGTTTTTTGAGATTTGAAAGGTAGCGGACCTAAACCTAACGGATCTACACCCGAATTGCGAAGAGTGATGCTAAAAAGCCATGAGCATTGCAACAACCAACGTTCTAGGACGAAGTAATGGTGGAAATCCAAGAGCATAACAGCAGAAAAGTAGTCGGAAGTTATGTTGGAAAGTCGAGAGCATAGCAGCAGAAACGTAGTTGGAAGTTACGTTGGAAACCCCAGAGTGTAGCAGCCGGAGCGTAGTAGGAAGTAATATTTGAAAGCCAAGGGCGTAGCAACAACAAACGGGAAGTTATGCTGGAAAGCCGAGAGCGTAGCGACAACATACGGATACGTAATTAGTAGGACGGGTGCGTGGTGGAAAGCCAAGAGCATAGCAGCAGAAACATAGTCGGAAGTTATGTTGGAAGGCCAAGAGGCCAAGAGCGTAGCAGCAAGAACGTAGTAGGGACCTGTGTTGGAAAGTCAAGAGCGTAGCGGCAGGAACGTAGTCGGAAGTTATGTTGGAAAGCCAAGAGCGTAGCAGCAAGAACGCAGTAGGAAGTAATATTTGAAAGTCAAAAGCATAACAGCAACAAGCAGGAAGTTTTGCGTGAAAGCCAAGAGTGCAGCAGCAAGAACACAGTAGGACTGTAGGACTTTATACTATCACTGATCTCGTTTTAGGGTCTAGATCCGTGGGGTTTAAACCAGCTACCTTTTTCAGCCAAAGTAAGATGTCTCAAAGCAGCCTCAATTGAGACATTTTGAACACTGTCCAAGGTCAACAGTGCCATATCGTGCTTCCAAAAATTGTTCAGAATTGCTCGACATGACCCCAACTTGCCCGACAAAAATGCTCAAAATTGCTCGAAATGACCCAAGCTGGCCCGAAAAAACTGCTCAAAACTGCTCAAAGTTGCTCAAAATTGCTCAAAATTGCTCACCCTCAATCGTCAGTTTCAACTGACACGGATCACTTGTCATTAGATTGGTTGCCATTGTTTCAATCAACGGCTTATCCCGAAAAAATCGTGTTGCTTTGATAGAAAAAAAAACGGTCATGCCCGCAGTTTCTTTTGCTTCATTACTGCCTCTTGGTGATACCGCAATCAGACATGAACTTCTGGGATTTTTTTGTTTTTTTGAGATTTGAAAGGTAGCGGACCTAAACCTAACGGATCTACACCCGAATTGCGAAGAGTGATGCTAGAAAGCCATGAGCATTGCAACAACCAACGTTCTAGGACGAAGAAATGGTGGAAATCCAAGAGCATAACAGCAGAAAAGTAGTCGGAAGTTATGTTGGAAAGTCGAGAGCATAGCAGCAGAAACGTAGTTGGAAGTTACGTTGGAAACCCCAGAGTGTAGCAGCCGGAGCGTAGTAGGAAGTAATATTTGAAAGCCAAGGGCGTAGCAACAACAAACGGGAAGTTATGCTGGAAAGCCGAGAGCGTAGCGACAACATACGGATACGTAATTAGTTGTTGGAAAGCTAAGAGCGTAGCAGCAAGAACGTAGTAGGAAGTAATGATTGAAAGTCAAAAGCATGGCAACAATCAACCGGAAGTAATGCGAGAAAGTCAGGAGCATTGCAGCAACGGAACATAATAGGGCGAGTTTGTGGTGGAAAGACAAGAGCCTCGCAGCAGAAATGTAGTCGGAAGTTATGTTGGAAACCCCATAGCGTAGCAGCACGAACGTAGTAGGAAGTAATGTTTGAAAGTCGAGAGCGTAGCAACAAAAAACAGGTAGTTGTGTTGGAAAGCCAAGAGTATAGCAGCAAAAATGTAGTAGGAAGGCGTATTTGAAAGCCAAGAGCGGAGCAGCAACAAACACAGTATAGGGAGCTATGTTGGAAAGTGGAGAGAAGTAATGTTCGAAAGCCAAGATCGTAGCAGCAAGAACGTAGCAGGAAATGATGTTTGAACGTCAAGAGCCTAGCAACAACAAACAGGAAGTCATGCTGAGCCCAGTAATTAAACCTAATTTCGGTATAAATAAAATAAGTAAAAAAATAATGTAATCAATAAGTAAATAAATAAATGAATAAATAAACAAATGAATATATATATATATGTGTACGTATGTAAATGTAATCTAATGTAATGTAAGGTAATGTAATGGTATGTATGTATGTATGTATGTTTGTATGTAAGTAAGTAAGTAAGTAAGTATGTAATGCAGCATGTAATGCATGTAATGCATGTAATGCATGTAATGCGTGTAAGTATGTAATGTAATGTATTTAATGCATGTATATTTAAATGTAAAATTTCTATTTTTAATTAATGTTAAAGAGTCGGATACTTAGTATTTGTTAAGTACTAGCGCACCCAATATTCTTTCCATCATTCTGTAACCGTAAGGCTCGTAAGGCCCGTATCAGACCCGTAGAGCCCGTAGAGCCTGTAGAGCCCGTAGAGTCCGTGGAGCCCGTGGAGCGTGGAGCCCGTAGAGCCCGTAGAGCCCGCACAGCCCGTGGAGCCCGTGGAGCCCGTAGAGCCCGTAGAGCCCGTTGAGCCCGTGGAGCCCGTGGAGCCTGTGGAGCCCCGTAGAGCCGTAGAGCCCGTGGAGCCCGTAGAGCCCGTGGAGCCAGTAGAGCGAGTAGAGCCAGGGCGTCCAAGTGTCTAATGTTCAAGTGATCCGCAATCTAATGTTCAGGTGATCAAGTGATCCAAAGTGAAATGTCCAAGTGATCCTGGCGCCCTTTTGAACACCATTTTGAAGGGCAGGGCTTGATCGTTTGAGACTTAGGTTTGCAATTCCTCAAGTGACAGCCCGATTGCCGGGTGTGCATGAAGATGTGACGAAGTCGGAGATCGCACGGGCAGTCAACAGCATCCCTGCATATGTCGAATTTGCGAATTTGTTCATTGCTCTTGTGAGTTTTACCCAGCATCAGGACACCAAGGAATGGTGTGGATATTCCAGTTTTTTTGCAAGAGGATGGTGCAGGGGTGAATTATGGCTCCACATGTTGTCCAGCGATACTGAGGAGGATTCGGTTGTCATGATCAATTCCACTGAGGAAGTGAAATTTATGTTTCCATACGACTGGTTGCAAAACCCAGTCTCCGGTGGAAAGTTTACAGTGGAAGCAGACCGGGATGTGGTGGTTTCACTCTGCATGCAAGCGTTGGAGAAGAGAATACGTGAACTGGAATTTTCTGGCCCGCTCAGGACATATCGTTTTTATCGTTCTCATCAGCCATCCATGCTGGGGCAGAACTATTCTCACTCAGGAGTGCCGGATTTTCTTGATACGTTTCGATTTAGTAGTCTCCGCGAAGCTGCCCTTTGCCAAAGTAGCATGAATGGTTTGATGTGCGCGGTGTTTTGCGGCGACACAACTATGCTCCGTTTGCTGGCGAGCAGCACAGGAGATTTAAACCTACGCTTGCACGGTCTAGGACAGCTGGGCTACTTTGACGGACAAACCTTGGTGATGGCGGCTGTGAAATCTTCAAGAGACCCCAACGTGTTGGCCACCCTCCTTGAGCTTCGAGCAGAAGTGAATGACCGTAGCCGTACTGGACTGACAGTGGCAATGATGGTGAAATCTCCGGAGCAGCTTCGAGTTCTTCAGGACGCGATGGCTGATCTGCATTCCAGTTACGAACCCTTTGGTTTCACCCCACTGACAAGTGCATGTGGCGTGCCAGGTTGCACCACTGAAACTATTAAGGCCTTGCTGGAAGCCCGGTGTGATCCCAACCCTCCACTGCTGGGTGCAGGTACAGCTCCACTGCATCAAAGCATCCTCTTCTCTCGGGGCCAGATTTCACACGTGGAGACCGTCCGGCTGCTGCTAGAATGGCGCGCTGATCCCAACACCCCGGCCACACCCAGTGGAGCGTTTGCAGCAGAAGCTGAAGCGGCCTTGAAAGAAGAAAGTTTGAATGGAAAGCAGAGCAGCTGCGAGATGACTTAGTCAAAAGAGTAATTGTTTTTTTCATTTTTTTCCCATGTTCTATTGTTGGTCCCATTATTTATTATTTCATGATTTTCTTTCAAAAAGAAGATGGGGAATGCGACGGTTCACTCCTGTGATATGCAGTGAGGCAGCTACTTGAAGCGAACCTACGCTATTCTGCCCGGCCTTACACCGCTTCATGCCGCAGCGTGGATTGGCGATCCTGAAATCACCCAGCTTTTGCTGCACTTCAGGGCTGATATGCGAGCATCGAACAGACGCGGTGATTTACCCGATGATTTGGCGAAGGAGAGTGGGTCATCTCACCTATTGCCGCTACTCACAATATCTTTGTAGCAAGCTGAATACCAGCTTCTCTTCCAGACATGTCAACTGGACTTTCAAATCCTTGCTGTTTTCAATCGAGGTCAACCGAGTCTTCACAGCTCAGCTTGGCTTTTCTCAGATTTGTTCATAGTCTTCATTTTCGGCCGCTGAGCTGAAGAGAAACTGCCGCTGCTTGGGGCTGAACCGGCTGAACCATCTATACCCCCACCATCACAACCAACCTCTGCACGAGTCCGAGTCCATCTGCCAGTGAGGCCTTGCAGCATCACGGCGACTCAGAAGCAATGGTCTGATTCAGCAATCATTTGTTGCTGCTTGTGCTAGCTGTGCTAGCTGTGCTAGCTGTGCTATCATCCTTTATCATCGTTTTTCATCCTTTATCATCCTCTTCGTCATCAACATCCATCCTGGCGTATGATCTCCTAGTGCTAGTCAGCGCAGACCAGTCAGATCCGTCGCAGGTGTCTGGCTCCAGATTGGCTGCTGATGATCAACTGCAGGCCTGGGAGCGGTGCTTGTGCCGTGGATAAAAATCAGTTTGAGAGTTGGTCAAATGTGAATGTTGGGTGCGCAAATTCACAACATGGAATAGCTGGTGGGTGGTCTTGGAATGTATTGGAATGTGTTGGAATGTCTTGAACCTCTTGCCTTCCATCCCTATTCCGCGTGTGGGATGATCTTCCCTTGACCAACAGTTTTTGGACGGAGCTGTCGCAAGGTCTGTTCAGTGAGCAGTGGCTGTGGCAACACCACCGCCTGTGCAGCAGCTTGCGCCTTGGGGGTGGGACACTGATCCATACTGATCCCAAATCCTGTAGATTCACTGCGGATGCATCATCATGAATGTAGATGCCATAGTCTGCAGATTCAAAAGCCACTTATCTTCAAGTCTGTGGTATTTTTAGCGGCCTCCAATTCGGGAAGCTTCCCAAAAATTGGATATCATTCGGGTCCCAAGCAAATACTTGCATACTTTCCAGACAAGCATCTTGAAGTCAAAGATCATGACGGTCCTGCGGAGTCCTGCAACAAAAATATACAAAAATGCATTACTCAAGGGTCCGGAATTTTATTTCACGATATGCCACCATGCCAGGTTGGACCCGATGCCCTTGGAGGGTGAATTCTGGCATGTTGGTAGCGGCCTGGGCGGCACTCAAAAGCGGAATAGGGGTGACGGCTTGGCATCACATTCAACGGTAAAAAGTCAGAAGTGACAAACATGGACAAACACTTTCCAAAGACGCAGAAGGAAGCAATCACTTTCAAGGGACTCGAACCGTTCTGTTGCTGGTGGTTTGCTGTTGGGTTCATATTGATGCGCGCTGGTCCTTGGGCTCAAGTGCCCATGTCACTTTCGGTGGGTTCGTGCAATACAATTCATGGAGAGTAGCGTTTCCTCTTAAGGTGGGATGGATAGAAATGACGGAGGGTCTTGCAACTTATTGGGTCCTCTGAAGGGCTGTCAGATCAAACTTTGTAATGAGACTATCATTTATTTGGAACTTGAACAGGTGAATTTCCCTCCGTCAAATATGCCTTCTGTTCGCCTGTGGGTCTAAAGTCAAAGAGATTCGCACTAAATTGGAAACCCAGCACTGGATTTCAGTAGTCACTTCCTTCTTCAGAGTAAAGAGCTTCCCCCCTTCATGGCATGCTCGGATCTCTCCCAGACAGACAGAAAGCATAGGTGGCATCGGCAACATTAGCCTACGAGCACTCTAATACAGCCAAACAGCTGGAAACAGTGAGCACCCATTCAGGTACGCGTCGGATGATGCTGTTTGGAACGTTCCTTGTCCATCTGAGCCGCCATGCCTTTTCCTTCTCAATATTCAACGTATTTAAAGTATGTCGCTCAAACATCTCAAACTAACATTTCAATATATTTTAATTATATATAAATTATATATTTCAAATTCTTTCAATTTGAAGCCTCCATTCTCAAACCATTCATGCGTTCTGGGAGGGTGCTCCGAGGACATGCAGAGGGCGAGTTGCGGTGCTTTACTTGTTGCACCTGAGGCACGGGAAGCACGGTGAAAGAAACCGTATTGACCGTCCAGAGCACCATAGCTGCCATAGCTGCCATAGCTGCCATAGCTGGATGGCCCTGGTTTGTAGGTGCACTATGGCTGACCAGCAAGTGGCAACAGGGAGGCAAGCTGACCGGGACTTGGTGGGTTTGTACAGTTCTATTCAGGTGTGACAAGCGACAAGTCCTTCGCCTGCGACAGAATAATTTGACCCAAATGATCTCAGGTGTATATTATTATATATATATATATATCTAAATATTATATATATATAATATATTATATATTATTATATTATGTTATAATTACGATATGATGATATATATATATATATATACATATTATATTAATTGATATATATATATATATATCATATACAAATACAATAGGGTTGGAGTGTTACTTCCTGGTATTCAAAATCTTATTTGATACGATTTGGAGATAATGGAGGAAGAGCATTCCATTTCACCTGTGCGTTCAATGATACCCCAACACGCTTTATATTTTTTTTTTATATATTGTAAGAATGAGCCAGGTGCTATGCAAAAAAATCCAGGCCTTTGGACCAACCTGGCCCATGACCATCCAAGTGTACGAAGTATATATACATGTTGTGAAATTGGGATAGAACCCAGGATGTTGTGCGTACACATCAAACGTTTGAAACCATGAAAGAAACACAGATTAGCCGATCATTTTTAGAGTTGGGCTGTCCCAGGACTGTTGTGCAGCTGAATTGTCACACACAGTTAGACTCTGGCACATATGGCTCGAGATGCAGAGCATGTGTTTTGACGACTCTTTGAATGTAATTGCCATTTTGCGCATTTCCAATGATACAGGTAAAGGTGTCGGTCCTCGGTTCAAGACCGGCTCCAGAACGTGCAGCAAGTTCGGGCCTCCGATACTGCATTTGCTTGCTGATGGATCGGTGGTTACCTGGGGCCATCCAAACAACGGTGGTGACTGCTCCCCTGTGGAACACGAACTCAAGAACGTTCATCAAATCATGCTACAGGACGTGCGTTTGCCGCAATTTTGGCGGATGGATCGGTCGTTGCATGGGGCCATCCAAATCACGGTGGTGACTGCTCCTTGGTTCAAGAACAGCTCCAGGCAGAAAGCGCAAAAAGTTGAGGCCACCGATAGTGCCTTTGCTGCAATCTTGGCAGATGGAACGGTCATTACCTGGGATGATGCTGACTGTGGCAGTGATTGCTCCCCGGTTGAACATCAGCTCCAGAACGTGCAACAAGTTCAGGGCACAGGACGTGCCTTTGCAGCGATCTTGGCCAATGGATAAGTCATTAGCTGGGGCAATAAAGATTGGGGTGGTGACAGCTCTGCCATTCAAGATCAGCTGCAGAATGTTCAGCAAATTCAGGCTTCACGTTTGGCATTTGCTGCCATTTTGGAGGATGGTTCGGTAGTTGCCGGGGGTCATCCAGGTGGTGATTGCTCCTCCCTTCAAGATCAGCTCAGGAACGTGCGACAAATTGCGGCCGCGATCCTGTCTGATGGCTCACTCGTTGGGGCGACGCAGACTGTGGAGGTGACTGCTCAGCGGTTCAAGAGCAGCTTGCGTATTTGAAATGTCCTAGTCTTGGCCAGCGAATTGACCTGCGGCAAAAAAATGCAAAAAACAAGTCTTTGAGTTTGTAGCATGCTGTAGCTATAAACGTTCTTGAACCTCCATAGAATTGTGCATCCACTTCCCGGACCATTGACTGTGGATCCATGTGTTGTGGACTGCTGCCTTAGGCAATAAAGTCCCTTTTCAAATTTCTAAGCAGAACAAACAAAACACACACACAAACACACACACACACAAATACTGCATTTGGTATCATTTGGTGCTCTCTACAGGCTCCAGGGAGAGAGTGGATCGTCCATGATGCGACGAGATGGGAGGCCAGTGATGCAAACAAAAGAGTCGGGTTCATGGGCGAGCTCCGCAACATATCTCCATATCAACTAGGCCATCAGGTTGTGTCAACGTTCCTTTCTACCTGGAAAATTGTTGCCCGGGACTCTCTGATTTGTGCAAGTCCACTTTAGGGCTCGCACTACATTGAAACAGTTTCATCAGCGTTGCATACATGCTAGCGTTACAAATCAATGCTTGCAACGAAGTTCCGTACCTGCTTGGCCTTGGAGCAAAAAAGCTCAGTCGCTTTAGCATTGTATAGCCTTGTGTTGTATGTCTCAGGCTTGATCGTAGATCCCTGGGCATCAGCAGGTGGAGGTCAAATGATTTTGACATCTCAAACTTTTCTTGGAAAGTTCCAAATTCTATCAAATTCTACTCCCTGTGATCTAGACGTTCCTAAAGATCTCAGCAAGGAGTCATACAGGTATGCGCAGATGGTCTGAGGAGGACCTACAGTTCTACAATTTTGTCGCCCAGTCTCCAAGATCATTTTCAGTAGTCCACAATCCATTTGTTAGCTTGAGGTTTCCTGTCAAATACCCAGGGCCCAGGACCTCCAAAAGCAGCACTGATACATGCTGAAAAGCTCCACTGTATCCACAAAGCACGCACCTGGCATGTAATAGACCCTGGGCAGCTTCAGGTCCGAAGAGAACCTTCGTTCCATGGTGTCTGTAGATGATGCAGCGACTTTCACAGTGTCGAGCACCGGTCCTTGTGCAGCTTGGCTTTGTGATAAGGTGTGATACGGTGATACGGAATGATATGGTAATGAAATTCTAGACTGCTAGATCATCCGTCCAGCTCTATTGCCATACGAAGCCACAGTGAAGTACATCTTTCCGATGCCTCTAAGCACGATCAATCAATCCCAGAAGCTGGACGAAGAAAGTTTCATTCCTTTAAAAGTCTGGGAGCAAAGATAGCGATTTTGTATATATATATATATTATATTGTTGTTTTTCCATTTTTCCTGGCTTCTGCGGCTTTATAACTTGCCAAGCTACAACCAACCAAGGAGTCAGGACAGTTCGAAAAAAACGGCAAGTGCCACAAATGCTGGAAAACTTGCGCGGAATGCAACGGCCCTGCACGCAGCCACTGCACCGTTTGTAGCTTGGCCTGCAAGGAATGGGCTTTCGGTATCTTTGTTTTCTGGAGAGTGTTAGGATGCCAACCGCATGTTCTGTAACTGGACCAAACAAGTTGCCAGCAACACTCTTTTGGAGTCTCAAAGATTCTTTCAGATTGCGTGAATGCTGCGCAGCCGTGCCGATTCTTTGAAGAGTGAAGAGGCTCTCTTTCTGTCCACCTCCATCCACCTCCAGATGTTATCACCATCCGGCCGAATCCACCCGACAAGTACCCCAACCCGTGCCCCAAGCCCTCCCCATCTGCAGCGTAGCATCAAGGCAACAAATGCAAGTTCAAGTGAACATCATCGCCACCCCAACCCAACAACACCCTGCCGTAGTGCAGTATCCAATGTATCCAATGTATCCAATGTATCCAGTGTGTGTGTGTGAGTTTTGGTGAATATCAGCACCACCAATAGAGCAGTGCAAGAATGTTCAAGTGACATTGTGACCACCCTGCCTCAAAACCACGCCACCCATACCATCTGTAGCATCTGTAGCCGTAGTGGGTGCATCAACATTTTTGCAACCCCACCCAAGGGACCCCCACACAAAACACGCATGTTGTGCAGGCTTGGAATGGGTTTATAGTTCCTTGAAACACTGCACTTCCCCACTGGTGGTTGGGCATAGGGCCGCCAAATGCTGGAAGGCAAGCCAGAGTTGCCTATCATACATCAGCGTGGAGGTTGTGTACGTGTGCCTGGGATTGCCTGGAAGAAATCTTTCACAGGCAAAATTATGGTGTCATGTTCTGAAATATGTTGCGCAAGTATCCAGAGCTAAGTCAGTCATGTGCTTGGACTGCCATGAAACAGGTCACATACCTCATTGCGACTTTTTTTAGCGCAGACCATTTTACTTCAGGAACAACAAGAAAAAACTTTCAGAACCCAACCATCGGACCATGATCAACAGATGTTAATGATGTTAACAACTTTTAGAGTAACGAGGGATGATATTTTTAGCAAGACATTGCCGAAACGCATGATACATATGATCATATGATATATGCCGACATTATAGCAGCCACCGCCGATCCAAGTCCTGTGAAGCGGGCTATTTTGTCAGCCAGGATCCACTTGTGCTGAGTGGAATAGCTGCATTTGGGAGAATTCCAGTGATTGCTGTTTTGCGGCCAGTTTTTTTAATTGATAGATTGTGAAACCAGATGTTCAGCCTTCGCTTAGAGCATGCCGCAGCATGCCATTTTTATCCACCTTTACTAGAGACCACAAAGGCGCATTGCATCCGAAACTTCATCTATTGACCCCAGCAGGAGAAGCAGAAACGCTGCATAAAGTGTGAATTTCCTTGCAAGACCTGCGTACGCAACTTTGATCAAATCAATGCTCTGTGTCCTGGGAATGGGCGGAAGACCAGGCAAAGCGCAGCTTTATGAATAGGGTTTGCAGCAAGAAAAGACCATTCACAGTTGAAGAAGAGTTTGCATACACATGCACATGTCGTCCTGCGACGCATTCTAAGGGAACGCTACAACCTGCACCCGTGGCTTGTCCGATTTTAGTTGATTCTCCAGAGCTTGAGATATTGATTGTAAAGATACGGTATACTGCATTAAGGACGCCCCTACTGTGGTGACAGATTTTGGTCAAGAACTGGCAGTGTCTGACAGGCTGTCACAAGACCACTGGGAAGGCGGCTTTCAAAGGTCGCTGTGTAGAGGAGTGCCCTGAAGGAACATATACTGGGGAGGCAAGTCTGGGGGGTCATGGGAGAATGGCTGAGCTTCAGAGCTTTGGAAATGCCCTGAACCTAGCTAGTAGCTAGCATAATTCGCCAAAGCTCACGATCTTTTAGAAAATATAAGCACGCACTTCGTATCCATCCTGGCGACCGACCTGTCACTGTCATTTGTGCAGGACTGTGGAACCATTGCATAATATAAATAATATATATATAATATTATATATCATACTACATGGCAGGGGCTGCCTCAACCCTTGTCATGCCAAGATTGGTCCCTCGCACCTTCGGAGTTGGTGGTCGAAGTAAGCTCTGTTTCAAAGCTGTTTTCACCCCACTGCCCCACCTGTGCAGGGACATTTCCAGGGAGCTTGCATGGGATGTTTGGCAACGTGCAAAACTTGCTGCTGGGATCTGCTTGGAGAGGATTAGCCATTTGGGGGAGAGCTAAATGATCTGACATGATGGGATGGAGATGAAAGTTGAGCGGCAAGAATATGAACCAACAGCTGCGAACAACTTGAGATTAAATTTGAAAGCACACACATCAATTATATAAGTCTTTTGAAGTGTTGAACGTATACGTGTTATTATGTTTTTAATATACCCGACATGATGCAGACAGGTAGCAACGACATATGAAAATGGCAGCCATGTTGCGAGATTGTTTTCCGAGCTTTGAAGCTCACAAACTTTGTTCATTGCAGAATACTTGAGTTGGTTTTGAGAGTACCAAATCAATGCTTCTTCAGCCGTCTCAAGGCGACAGCAAGACTTCCTGTCTGAGTTGCAGCCCGCCCTTAGTTCTTGCTCCTTGGCAAAGCGCTTGGAACCTGTGCACCCTCAACTACTTCATTGCTTCCCAAGCATTCCCCGTGTAGTTTCGGAGGGGTTGGCAAATCTTCTGCTTTTTGCGCAGATGTGAAAGGTATTCAACTTTATTCAACATTCAATTGTCTCATGGGATGGTGTCCTCAACTCCCTGCTTCCATTAGATGCAAACTGACATCATGCAACAAAATGTAATTTAATGTATGAACATTGTGAATTAAACTTAATTGATGGTTAGATTCGACATAGTTTCTGTAGCCCTCTTATTTGCACCACAAAAGCTTAACAACTTTAGCCCTTGTGCAACAATTGCTCCAGAGCTGAGGAAATTGATGAAAGGAAAAAACAACCTCTGTGCCTGCAGAGCTGCTCCGCGGGAAGATTTGCGGATGAGAAAACAAGGACTTCTGAGGGGACATCTGGCACAGTGGGAAGATGGCAAGAGCAGGTGCCTTTTTAGATGCATATATGGTGGATATCTCTTCCATCAAGTTTTATCATTTTTAGTAGTCTTCTTAGCCCTTTCAATGTAACCTTTCCTGCGCTGTGAATTGCAATTGCCTCGTTTCCATTGGCTGCTGGAGTCCACGGCAAAAAAGAAGAGTCCAGCACAATCCAGCAATACTTTGCACCACGGCAAGGCTTTCTTAAGCCGCTGAATTCGGGAAACTCAACCAATTCTTAAGCTGCTAATGAGCACCTTTGGTTGCTCTTGGCAAATCCTACAATGCCACAGATGCCGCAGTATGGTTCCTGCGGCACCTTCCTGCCAGGAGTTGTGGCCCTTGCGATAAATCCTGCGCGACCTGTAGTTCTTCTGCCAGCCACATGGCCGGAAGCGACTGAAGCATGGATCAACCAACCACGTCAAATTGGATAGTGACATATAGTGACATTTGACCAGGTTCTTTTCCAGCCAACCAGGCTGGTGATGTCAATCAGGCATAGCCTCCAGCATGACCATATGGGTCGCGTTTCTTTCTCAACCATCTCAGCAGTCGAGGCAATTGCACGAGCTGTCCGACAGGAACTGCTCTACATGGCTCCAAGTGTGTGGAGGAGTGACGGATTTTCAGGCAACAACTTTTTCTGCTTCGCACTCGCAGTCTGTTTTTGGTACTCTGGTAGTTTGGGCTCTAAACTCAACAGTGACACTGAAATGGATGCAGAGAGTATGCAACTTTTGATCTGAGAATGGTCACGTACTGTCACATGACCCAAGCTCTCCCACGGCAATGGGCTCATGGGGTTCTTGGGGTGCAAGGAATGTCCTGACGGCAAGTACAGTCGCAAGGCAAGCGTTTGGGCATCGGGACATAGGGAAGAGAAAGCGGAAGCTGGGAAGACAAGGGCTTCTGGTGACTGGTTGGGCACTTTGATCAGGATGAATCGGGGCCGTGATGCACGGGGCTAAACTTTTCAACCATCAATGGCACCTGCAGATGCAACTTGTCCCGTCCTTCAATATGTTCTTGTTGACCATTGAACCAGATGGCCTCTATTTCCTCATGTTTTTTTGCAGACTGGTGATCTAAAATGATCTAAACAATTCTGAACTTGAAACATAACATTACCCCCAATGATTACACCAGTTGATTATCCCAGATTGTCCCATTGCAGGATGGCAACGGCGGAGTTTGTGCACCATGTCACAGTATGTGCAAGACTTGCTACTTGGCGGAGGGTTGATGACATGGCCTCAGGATGCCTCAGGTTTGTTGTTGGCAAGTGAAAAAACTTGGAAGAACTGGAAGCACATGAACATGACATCAAGCAAGCCAGCGATTCCATAGAGTTGTTATTCAAATGCTCAGACATATACCAAATCTCTCTGGCTCAATCTCTTTGACATGGAAGTGTTTCCTGTTGAGAGAAAGCCTCTACTATATATCATATTATCATATTTAAGTATGAGGAGTATGCAACATCTCGTTGGCGTGCAAGATCCTCAGCATAGACAAATCTGGTACCTTTTTTGGTTCAGTGACAATGAAAGCCACAGAGTGACGGCACGTGGCTAGCAATGGTGCTTGCGTGATGGAAATGACTCGCGTCAAATACAGCTTGGCCACAGTTGCGTATTGAGTTGCATCTAGCCTGGAAGAGCAAGATGGAAAAGGCAGCAACCAGCCAAATGCTTCGCACGGTTATTTCTAGAGGTGGCTTGCAACACTGAACCACAAAGCACATCAGTCCCGCGGCGAAACAGCAGCCAGGACATACCAGGAATGCCCAGCCCACAGCACTACTTTTGGCACCCCTGAAAGCAAAAACATGCAGAAACTAAAATCTGCAACCACGATGACTTTGGCTCAGCATGGCTCAGCCATCTTGCTACCATTTTGCTGGGATTTGCAATTCAGCAGATTAAACACGCAAAGTAGAACTAGAATCGCGCACTTGCTGATTGACTCGGGCTGTGCATCGCTCGGAAGTTTACTGTACTATAGATCTAAGTTATACGGATACATTGAAGCAGAGAGAGAGAGAGAGAGACAGAGAGAGAGAGAGAGAGACAGAGAGAGAGAGAGAGAGACAGAGAGAGAGAGAGGGAGATGTCCGTAGAGAATGCTGAACGAGCCCAATCGTTGACACAATTTTCAACAGGAAATGGCTTCCGACTGAGGCAATGGCCCCACTGAATGTCTCAGTTGTCCCACGCCCAAGTTTCTCGAGACTTGGTGCAAGCTTTGAAACCTTTGAACTCTCGAAAAATCAAAGATATCAAAGTCACTATAGGGCTGCCAAATGTCAGGGCTTATTTGTGATTTTGACATATTTGGACATTGAATCTGATCAGAGGAGGCAAGGCCGCTGCATGTTGATGATGCGGTGCATTAGGCATTTAGGTTTGGTTTTTGCACCAAACTGAACGATGCCTAACGCCTAACGCCAACTTCTTGCTATTGTTCTGCTTAGGACAAGGGAGAAGATGGTAAAATGAAGTGCTTTGGAGAGTGTTTTAAGGGAAAATATCCTGACAAAGAGAGGCGTCTTGGTAGCAAGGGGTGCGATACGGTAGCAGGATATGGGGAAGAATGTAAGCACATGATATAGAACCCTCGGCATTCTGTAGGCCTTTTCAGCGGCCATGCCACCCTCAGATGAGCTGCCGCTCTCGTGTGGATGATGAAGGTTCTTGCTGTGTTGTGGGTATGACCCTGGGTATGCGATAAATATAATTTCAATACTGTCTGATACTGTGCTCACAAAGGGTAGTAAATTTACGAACATTTTCAGCTTGGCTTTGAGGGATGTTTTATTTTTCGTCTGCTATAGTTGTAATGATTCACAGTGCTACGATGGCTCAGCACGAATCTCTAAAGCAGCAGGATCATCAGGATCCAGTCTATGTAGTGTGAAAACTTGCAGCAATTTGACAGTCCCCCTTTGAAGTTTACGCAACGCTTTCCCAGGATTTGTCGTTCTTGTGACGACTCTTGCGCGACCTGTAGTTCTTCTGCCAGCAACGTGGCATGATGCGACCGTGATGGTTTTCAAGTTTCACATTCAGTTACCGTGCATACAGTAGCATGAAGTGAAACAGTCGCAACATGATCTTCATGCGAACCAACCGTTTCAGCATGTTTCGGCCACCTAGACTGCTAGTGATGTTTGTCTTCAGATGGTCCTTTCCATTGCTGAGGCAACTGCACTAGCTGTCGAGAAGAGTCTGTGCTCGATGGCTCCAAATGCGTGGACGAGTGTTTGATCCTGAGGGTGCTGGATCAACAGACCTCAAGTGACCGGAGTGCTTGCCTTTGTTTGGACCGTTTGACCTGTTCATAGTCACGTCTTCCTGGGGAAAAGCAACCCAGCAGTGACTGTGGGATCTCAACCTGCTCAACCTCTGAAGAAACACACGGCCAGGTTCTCCAAAATTTTTACGAAAGTGTAGAGCCATACTGTGTGAGCTTTGAACCGGTTGGGCTGGCTAAATCACGCTCGTAGTGGGACCAGCAGTCTTGTTTTCAGTTTTTTTAAATTGATGTTTGTAGTGGGTTGAGAGGCTAGAACAGCAAGTCACTGCCGAGTTTACAGGGACACTACATGTCGGAATTTTAAAGACCTCATTTGCATACATTTGCCATCATTTGCAGATATTATATTGCCGGTGTCTTCCAGGTTTCTACTTGGTTCCCCGCTTTCTATGAGCAAACACCAGCATTCTAAGGTCCAGAAGGAAAGTTTAAAGCTGCCTCTGGTGCTTGCCAGAACTGTAGTGCTCCATGTGCAAGCTGTGAGGGAAGCTTGGCTGCAGTGGCAAGGTAGAGGCCGAAGTTGCGAATAGTAATCTAACAGTCTAACAGTTACGCCTATACCAATCTACCAACAACAGGTTTCGTATGGGGTAGTACAGCTATACAACCTGATATGTTTGTGTTCCCAAAATCGGAAGATGCCCGAATATTTTGGTTTCCGTTGCTTACGCAGACTTTTCCTGGTGTTTTGGGTGAATTTTGGGACCACTCATTGCCAAGAATGCGCAGGGGAGCCGTGGGAAATAACCATTTCGACAGGTGAGTGGAGATGATACCCTATCTGCAGGTTGTTTTGGAGATGATTAAATGCCCTTTGCTCAATCTGGTGAAATCATGCTGAGGAGCATGAGCTACATTTTTTGGACTGTATTTTTGGTCAAAATAATGCACACTGTCCCACCACATACCTGCGAAATTGGCTCAGTGTCGAATGATCAAAATCAAGACTTGGTTCTGCCAGATCTCGGTCAATCCACCCTGCCACAGCCCACGCCTGTCAAGTTCGGCGCACAAATGGGAGGACATCAGTTCCTCATCAGTTCCTCATCTACACCCCATTTTCAGTCTTTCAACTGGAAGCAGCCCAGGCTCTGCGACAAAGTGCACTTCATGCGAAGGCAAGAAGGCCCAAGCTGCGGCTCTGAGGGTTGGCACAGCCCAGAAACCCAACTTTCACCTCACAAAAGGCAGCAAATTCTGCGGCATCTAGGTAAAAAAAGGGACTTAAACATTGCTATTGGAGTTTTACATAGGTTTAGGAGGTTGTATCATGTTCAAATACTTTTTCCATCTTTTTCCATGGCACCATGTACGCAATCACATCCCCCATTGGTACAGGCACCAAGAAGAGACTTGAATTGCATGCTTGTCAGTTGAGGGGTACCCTCACTCAGACAATGGTTTCTTAAGGTCATAGTCACCGGTCCTGATCGCCACTTTGGGAATAATCAGAGCCTTTTTTTCTTCTCATGAGGTTCCGAAACATGGGTCTACACAAAATCAACACAACTGTCCAAATCAACAAACAATATAATATATACCTCTTCCCCTTTTACAAAGTGGTTCTGTATCAAAAACGATCAACATACCAAGGATACTTTGTCCAAAACTCCAAGTTGCTTTAGGTGCTGGTATGTGCTGCTTATTTATGGGATTATGCACCCAAAATACCTAAAGCAGCTGAGTATGTCAGCCATCGTGTGCATCGCTGACCCGCTACCGCCAGGTCCTTCATGACTCTGTGACTTGGCACTTCAATATGTTTCAGCGGAAGGTATGAGAAGCCTTCTCTGAGTGGCAAGACAAGAAATGACAAGAATATCATAAGATCTTCATCATCTTCATCATACTCATCGTATTCATCATCATAGTCATCATATTCAATGTGCAATTCACTTGTTGTCTTTGCATTGTCTTCGTCGCCTTGCTCCAAAGTTGAGTTCGCTACAATCAGAAGATGGTTGACTGCTGACAGGTTGACAAGGTGAGATTGTAGTCAGATTTGGTGCGTGTGATGGATGGCCATGCCTGGTGAACAGGCACAGAAAGAGATCCCATTCCTTAGGTCCTTGGTGCTCCATCTATTGTCGTATAGAACCATAAGCAAACCACTGGCCCCAAGATGCCCGTGGACCGATAGCCGCCTATTTAAGGTATGCAAAAGCGCCTGCCCTTCCACACATTTTAGCACAGATAACAGGATTTGTGAGCCATGTTGCTTGGCAAAATGTGATTGCGTCAACTTCAGTTGCGTCTTGCAGGGTTTGCTAAGTGAGATCAGCAAATGATCATCTTCCCGACATTTTGCATTCAAATAGCGCTACTGTTAGTTTTCCATCAGCACTGGATCCAATAAAGTGGATGGCATACCCAGTGTCTGAGGTGGTGCTGGATGCAAGACCTGTAGCAAACTGCCGGCAAACTGCACCTCTTGCAAGGAACCCATGGTCTTGAAAGGTGAAATATGTCACTTGGTGCCAAGAGAGTTCTGTGTCTTGAAGTGATGATTGAACCTGTCTTGCTTTCCTGTTTCGCCGTGTTTTTACTTTACTCATGGAAGCTCTGCTCTGCAAGCGATTTCAATGCACCGACTTGCGATGCACAACTACGGCTTGTTGCAGGTGAGAATGAGACAATCTGGACCTCTTCGGACTGGGTACAAAAGATACCAAGCTGCAACAAGGATCCCCAAAAGCATCAGGTCCTTCTGAAGATCTTCTGCAGATATATATAATAATATGATTCAAATTGGTTCAAATTTGATTCAATTTTGGCTCAAACTTGGGCGAAATCTGCGGGAACCCAAAGGTTGCAGGGTTCTCCTTTGAAATTCTCAAGCCAAGATGATGACCGCAGCATGGCCGGATCGGTACAAGTTGGCGACCTCAGGAAGAACACATCGCTGTATGACATTGGCGAGAACACATGCCAGGCGGGGAGCTGGGCAACGGATCCTGGAAGTGTTGAGAACGCTCGAATGGACACAGCATACACTAGTACCATCTAGTATCACTAGTACATGTCAGGATAACATTTCTAGCAACAGGCAGTTGCACCCCCCTGCTTTCATGCAATTCTAGGCTCCCACTATTCTGTCAGGAGTGGGACTGTGCAGCAGGAAGCTCATGCAAGAACTCCGTCATTCAGGGGGTTTGTTTCGAGGCACTCCTCGACTCTGACGGTCAAGTGGTGCCGTGGGTAGGTAGCAGGTACTTGCAACCTGCGAAATCAATGAGAAACGTTTTGGGTAACTACACTGTGGTACATCTATGGTATGCTGCCTTCAACTGTCGCACTTCCCAAGATTCTGAGATCTGTTTCCGTGGTACTTGTGAGTTTGACCATACTCTTGGCAAATCTACAAGCCCAAAGACTTGTCGGAAAGCGGCAAAAACAGAGCAGCACCATGCTGCGAGTCTTGTCATGCCTGATGCAGGGAAAAGTGAAAGGAGGTGACATCCAGTGGGGACCTTAACGAGGAATCTCAACAAGTTTTTCACATCCACAAGACACGCCAGGAAAAGAGGCGAATAAAGCAGCCACTACAAAAAAGCTTCTGTGGTAGACCAATGACTGTTAACTCTTCACACATTGAATGATTTAAAGACTCAAGGTTTGGAGAGAGTGTTGTTTTTGGAAAAATCCCACTGCGTTGACCCATTGAGGTTTGATTGGACACTGACAGAGCCCTTGAAAGATGATCGAAAATTGCGCTTTACTGTGGATCAGTTCAAATGCCGTCTCCCCAGCCTGATCGATCAGTTCAGGTCCATTTAAAAACGCACTTCATGGGTTGAGACATGCTGTCAGTGCTGATGCATGCTTGTCGGCTTCATATTTACACACAGAATTCAGCCGTTGCATCCTCTGTGCATTGGTCGTGCAACAGTTCAAAAATGTATCAACGCTCCATTGGCAGAGCAGATGTGTCACCATGATCGCCATGACGCTGGCCGAGGTGGTACTGGTTTGACTCCTGCTGGTATCTTGGCAGACAGTGCCAGAAAGGCACTATCGATTAGTTGGAAAGCATGAAATGCCATGAAATGCCATGAAATGCCATGAAATGCCATGAAATGCCATGAATTGATGGTCCCTTCCTTTCTGCACATTAAACCGCCGGGCCATGCCGGGCCGTTTTTGACATGCTGAGGTCAAACAGTACTGCATTCATATGACAAGAAGGGAGGATATCAGATTTGCAGCTACTCCATGGCAGACCAGATGAGCCACTCGGCAACACGAAAGAGATATGCAGTAGATGATAGTAGATGTATGATGGAGGAGTCTACCAAGAGAACAGAAGGTTTGTCTCAGAGTTCAGCAGATGCCCCTCCTAGATCCTGAATTCTCGAGCATTCTTGGACAGTGAGTGAACTAGTTGCCAAACAGGATCCTCCTTTTGACAACTGCAAGTCCTTGCCTGACTTGGATCAGTCGAGGCAAATCTAGCTGCGTGCTGTGGTAGAGTATGGCCAAGTGTATATAGTTGAAGTGTTGCCAGTGTTGCCCAGTAGACCGACATAGCCAATGGGATTTGCAAGCAACATGATATAGTCAGCTGGCTTTTTCGCGAGTGGAGCTTGCATGACCGGGTGAGGTGCACGCAGTATCGCGATCTAGTGCGCGTGGTCGATTGCTAGGGGAATTCAATCACCACCTTCCTCAGGTTACGATGAGTTTGTGCTGACTGCCTGCAAGGAGCCACAGTGCAGGTAGATGTGCAACACATCCAACGCTCAGTGGTTTTCAGTCGCTGGTGCTTCAGGGTGCCTCAATACAATATAGTATTATGATGTATTATGGATGTTCGTTGCACATCAGTCAATTTCGATCAATTTTGCCTGCAAAGAGGCTCTCTCTCTCTCTCTCTCTCTCGGCTGTAAGGTTTGGTTCTGGGAAAGCTGTTCTGTACCTCCAGGACGCGATGTACTTGTACTTCAGCACGACTGCGTGTGAAGGGCTCCCAAGATTTAGTTCCATTGCGTGGGTGAGTTAAGAACAACTTTAGATCAGATAGATTGGAAAACAAGTTCAGAAGAATTGAGGAATGGTTGAGTTGGAACACTTGAACAGTTGAACTTGTGGAATGATCAACTCTGCATTTGCAATGCCAGGGCTGACTTAGCCCAAAGCATCGGCTGCATCCCCGTGAAAAAGCTTCGTATCCGGTGTATCTGGGTCAATTCTATCCACTGTTTGGGGTCTATATACTATGCTTACATAGATGCTCGTAGATACTAGATCCAATGTTGGCAAGAATTTGAGCTCTCTTCACCAGGTCCCCGTTGGAAGGGCTCACACATCTTAAGGTCAATCAACTGCAAAGAAGTCCTTTCTCTTTGATGCCTTGGCCGTTGGCCAGTGACAGTAATTAGTAGGTTGCGGCAGGTGCAACAACGACAACGAACGGTTGGCGATTGTAGGGCGGTGTCTTGAAACAATGATTAGAATTCTGCATGATCAAAAACACACACTCAATCACAGTGGTTGTAAGGCCTTCCCAATCTCAGAGCATACTGTGTTCGAAGAACATGCGTTCTCAAAATCATCATCACGGAATCACGGTTGCGGTTGTCATCATGGTCGCCATCAAAGTGGTCATCAAAGTCGTCACCCATTGCCATCACCACTCCTGTCGTGATGAGCATGGCGGTCGTGTTGAAGTCTCCTTGTTCCTGTCGCTACTATCGTTTGCCAGCCCTCAATCTATACAACCTGAACATGTAGTAGTCACTGTAGTTACTGTGAACATTCAGATTCAGTGCCTTCATTTCCGAGTCTGATTTCCCTGAAGATCATTGAAACATATTGAAACAGTTGCAGCTGCCTTATCATTCATGGGTGATTTCAGCCGGTTTGGTCACTTGGAAGACCTGAAAGATCCTGAAAGCAAATAGAGTTGCTGGCAAAGCCCTACAGCCAGGCCCTTGTCCCCAAATAGCGCCACATCAACGCAGGCATCGTTTGGGTGTGGAGTCCAAGGATCAAAGACATCACTTCATGATACTTCATGATACTTATCGGCCATTCAAAAGGACTGGTGGAAGCTGCCCCCAAAAAGGTGCCATCCATTTCTGCTGGAGCCCCATCATGTGGATCCCTTTCTTCATTTTTCTGCCAACTTTGAAGCAGCTTCTCTACCTCATGAACCTCCACAACCAGAGTGGCCATCAAAACCCAAAGATGAGCCACCCTCAGTAGGCCAACAGATCCATTTGAACGAGCCCAGGCTGGGATCTCTTCCTCTTGGCACCTATCTTCTTTGTTATTGTGCTCCTGGAACCTCTGGCACCGTTGGGGGCCCAGTCTTCCTCCCCAAGCATCAATTCCCAATTCCGATGCTGGTGGAGGAACTCGCACTGTGCTTTGATTCAGCATAGATACCCTTTATATTTTTGAAAGATCCCTTTAGGACATTGAGTTCAACAACCCAACAAGCATGATGGTGCAACCCGAAAGGAGTTTCAGTATCATTTTAACCTCAAATCAAGACACTGGATCTGAGCAAAGCCAACAGGACTTAACATTATAACTGTCCAACGGTGAACTGCCACTGGAAACTTGTTGCCGTCTGCATGGCAACCACGACTGAGGCGCCCATCAGTTGCACTTCCTCTCAGGCCTTCCTGTGGGTTTAGCTTGCCTTGCCAGCCAGCTCGGACCCAACTACAGCGACTGCGCTTGTTGTTAATACGGGCACCTGCCCCAACACTATGCTTATTTCATCTATTTTCATCTGATTTCAGATCGGTGATATTTGGTGATGGGTGTGAATTTCGGCTCAGAATTTGAATAGCTACAGGCTATCGCAATTGCCTCGTGCTGCGCCAGGATTTGGATATGCAGGCGGGGCAACTTCGTGTTCGTGGTGTGGACGGTGGACAGCTCTTTGAGTGTGCGGAGAATACGCCGTGCCCTGGCCTGGCTGAGCATGTCGGAAGTCAGAACTGGGCTTGGGTCATGGAGGCCGTTGATGACTGGAAATCCGATCAACATGGGTGGGAGCTACCTTCATGGGGGTTCTGACGGGAAGGGTCTAAATTATCATAAATTATCATTATATATCATTATAAATTACTGTATATCAAATTAATTCAAATTTTATCATTAATGATCAGGAAATAGATGAAATATGATGAGATAGATTCTGTATATTTCTACACTAGTAGCCACTTTCTTCGCCAAGGTGCGCCTTCACTGTGACGGGATTTGACCTCTCGACAACAGATATGGTGATGGCAACTTGGCAGCTGGGTGTGGCTGCAGCTGCGAATCCTGTCATAGATCACCCTTAGGGTTTCATCAAAAAGTTTAAAAAGGCATCAAGATCATGGGAAGAATCATTGGGTCACCGGTTTTTAGACAACACAACCCGGCAACTTTCATCAGAGTTTCGATGCTGCAAGTGCATCCAGCATCATCCAGTTTTCATTCCACGATGATCATCTTCAGGCGGTCCCTCTCAGTGGACAGTGCGGAGTCACCGATGGCAACTTTGCGGTGGGGATGGGATTTGTGGGTAGCTGGAGGAGATTTTTGTGGGGGCCTCTCAAAACGCAGTCATTGAATTTGGATCTTGTTTGGATCAAGAACATGTTCAGTCCCTTTCATCCATTTTCATCCATTTTCATGCATTTTCATCCATTTTTCATCCGTCGTTTCTCTGGATATTAGGCAAGGTCCGGACAGGCTACCCTCACAGCCACGTCCATTGCCGATGCGGACAGGTGGGCGCCTTCAACCCCAACTCACGCAGCCGGGCCAGCGTTCGGGTGCCTGTTGTGGTATCCTGTGGTGCAACTGACAATTTTTCACCGTTGATGTCGTCGTGTCACGTTGTTTCAGCTGTTGATGGTTAAAAATAAAAATGGTCAGTTAATATCCAGTTTGACAAAATGATGATGGCTTGAGGTTATTTGAGGTTTTTCATCCTGTTGATGTTGGAGGGTTTTGTTCATCCAGAACAGCAACTGACAATTGTTGATGATTTAAAGAAACCAACTCACCACAACAATTGGTTTCATCTATTTTCATCCATTTTCATTTTGTATCATGCTGTTTCATCATGCTTTTGCAAACGAATCGCTCAGGTCAACGTGGGCAGCGGCACTAGCAGAGAATTTGGGTATGATTCGGCTGGGGCGCCTGGTGAAAGGAAGCGGTTCTGTAGCCGCTGTAGGCATTCCCTGAAGCTCTGCAGATCTCTGCAGTTTTGATCCTGTGCCGTTGTCAACGCATGCCCCTCCACTTGTCAAGTGACATTTGGAAGAAGATGAAATGATATGAAATTGCTACTCTTATTTTGTGGTTTATTTTCTTCAGCTAAGATAAACCCGTCGAATTTATTTTCAATCACCTCACACCTTTGACGATTGGGATGGGCCCAGTTGGTCGTTTGTTCGATTCAGATTACGGCGCCAGAGCGCTACAAGATCTGCTACTGCGTGTGGGGATGCCCGAGTCCATGGGATAGGCCAGAGATTTACCTGTCTGGATACCAAAGCTGTGGCTTCCAGGAAGAAAATGCAAGAGACACCTCACCACAGGTCGTCTTTCAGTATCCTCTGTTTATTCTCCCCTTGCCAGGTTGATCAATGTTGACTAGCTGCAGTGTCCACCAAGGTTTGCTGAGTGTGTCAATGCGTCGCACTTTACAGAAGAGGTGCATGTAGTGTGATATTTTTTCCGGGGTCGGATTGGGGACTACAAAGTTTCTGGCAGTAGTTCTCACTTTGGATATTATTTCAGTTTTTCAGTCTTGACCTTGATTTGTGGTTTATCAAAGCCAGCAGCTTCATGCTGAATGGGTAGACTGGGCAGCTCAACTGCATCGCTGTTTGATGCTCATCGTTTGCATCCAGACAGAAGATGCATGCCCTCTTCAATCAAACACTTTTGTCTTCTTCGTACCAATGTTTTATACTGTCTTATACTGTTTGAATGGGTCAAATCCGAAATCTGTTTTGGTTGAACATGACATTGAGCTCATTCCTTGAACGTTCCTTGTTTTCGCAGCTGCATCGAAGGTCGGCACTTTGGTGGTGAAGGGCATTCAGCGGAGCAGATTCGCACTTTCTTGCCTCCTCGGCAGGGTACCCCATCCGGCCCCAGATTCATCATGCTTCATAGCCAAAAATGGGACGTTCCCCCATCTCCCAGAAGAGCTTTGGTATACATCTAATCTCAGCAACCAAGACTCGCACTCTTTTGCGATAAAATCAATAGGTCTTGCAGTAGAAGCACAATGCAGTATGTCCTCCCGAGGGGGTAGTAATGCTTGTAGAACACACTGAAGCAGCTGAGCTTTGACAGGCTGGTGTTGTCCCTGGCTACTGTATCATTTGCAAGGACGCTCCATCCGAAATCCATCATTTCATTTTCAGCCTATAAAGTCCATTCATATTAACATCGTTCCATATGAATCATATCTATATTCTAGGAGCGCAAACGTGCTGAGTTTGGGATGATTTGAGGACTTTTTTTTCGGAGTTCTCCCCGGTTCCCCCATCCCTTGCCATACCCTTGACAGTCTTCCAAGGCGAGCGCTGCAACGTGGCTTTCAATGGCTCTGGCTTTGAGATCAGCACGGATAGCTTGAAGTTGTGAGGGACACCCAGCGGATGCTGAGAATTCAGCCAGTTCTTTTGAGGTCATTCACTGCAGAATGAAACATATACATACACATATGAATCGTATGAATGATTGGAGCATTCCGCTTTGAAGTCTTTACCTTGGTTGCTTTGACTCCATGGTTTGAGTTTTTTTTGCTTGTCTCTAATTGCATACACCTTTCATTCCGGCTGTGGCTGCCAGAAATAATCACAAATCTATCACTCTGCCAGACAGCTATTGATCGCATGAGTCAGAATCGGAACACGCCTGCAGAATCCTGCCGATTCACGCACAATCCAGGCAAACTTGGCATGATATAATATAATATAATATAATTTAGTTTATTATAATATAATAAGATAATTTAATATAATATGATATAATTTAATATAATATGATATGATTTAATATGATATAATATAATATGCTATACATATAATATAAGACATGTCCACTACGTTTATGTTGTAACTTCCATCTTGGCACTGATACAATTCTTCGCCTTTGGACTCCAAGGATCCCTTCTGGTATACCTTGTGGTGGTGTGGTCCTGCGAGCCGGAGACCCCAGGAGACCCCAGGAGACCCCAGGAGACCCCGGGGAGATCTCGGGCGGCGCGGCGGAGCTGAGTGCCGAGATGTGCCATGCCCTGATCGCCACTGAGATGGCCGGAGATGGTAGCAACAGCACGCAGCCGTTCTTAGGCGTGGCGAACTTGACCATACTTGACCCATGGGTTGTTCCAGCTGCAGAATGGAGCAGATATCATGGACCGAGTTGAAGGAAAACTAGCCAAGAATTTCATACAGTGTCATACAGCTATGATCTTCCCTTCCTAGCACTCTGGCAGATTCTTGATGATCTTGATGGTTTCAATGTTGCCCTTGAAGTGGCAAGAACTTTGGAAGGCTTTTATGACGTGGGCACAATGATCTACAATGGCCGCAACTACTACAAGCAGCGGGGTGGGAGTTGGGGGCACTCAGATAGTGACATCAGTGGCGTCAGTGCGTACATACTTGTCGACATGATTTGCACGATTCCACACGCGAACTTGTTGTGATTTGATTTGTTTCCTGTGCTACCTTTGACTCTTAAGCATCACGGGGTATGAAACTATGGGGGTTGAGAATTTTCACCAACCCGTATATTTTTTCAAAAACTATTTTTCATATAGCTATCATTTTCTATCTAAGATATAGTAATATAGTGTCTATAATATATACATATATACATAATCATATATATATATACAATATACATATACATACACATTTTATAGTAATAATACATATATATATATATACACATTTTATCATCATATATATATATATAGAGGAATATATATAAGAATATATATAGATAATATATTCCCCCATTGAAATTCCAGGTGCCTGGCAGTGATCCTTGGCTCCAGCCATGGCTTCGGGGCGCCATGGATTCCATGGATGCCATGGATGTCTTGGCGGCGGTGCCTACACCTGGCGGCCACGGGGCTGCTGATTTGGTTGACCTTGGGAGGCCCCTGGCTGTGGATGTTTTTTGGTGATTTCTAAGAGGTAAATTGTGATAAATCAGCTAGGAAAGTGGGCCATTTTCAAGAAACAGCTATGTTAAATAACCAGAGTGTATCTTTAGATTTAGATATGCATACGGACTTTGATTGGTATGGATTGGATGCAGATTGGATTGGATATGGACATTGATTTGAGCTCTGAATGGATAAGGGTTGGCCCATAACATGCCCTCACAGATGTTGAAACATCCAGACATTATTTTCAACTTCTTTTCAAGATGGTGTAGAGTTGGAACCTGGGGCACTATTGTTGTTAGCAGCTGAGTCCGTCCAGCGGCTCAGGTGTGAAGCGTCGGAATTTGAGCACCTGCCCTGGCTGTGAAGGGGTGAAGGCACTGATTTCCCACCTTTCACAGCAGTATCATTGGAATAACTTGATGTCATTCGATATCATTGAAATCATTAGATATCATTAGATATCCTTGGATATACACATACACACAATTCTTGGTATCGGATTTGCCGTGGAAGTTTGACCTCATGGGCCTTGCCCTCTGTTGAGGAACTAGCCAGCATCGCCCGAGAGAAGCCAACCAGACTTTCAGCTGCGGAAGCACTAGAGTGTCTACAGAGGATTCAATGGGTCTTGAGGGTTTGAAGATCACCTGTTAATGCACGTAGACTGGACTATTTTTTAATGTATCATGCAGCAATGTAGACCCGCCTTCGTGATCGTAACCACTTGCAATCAGATAAAGGATTATGACAACTATATATAGTTATCATAGCTATAGTAAGATTATCATAGATGATCGTAGCTATAGTAAGTTTGGAAGTTGGCAAATTGGATGAAGTATTGAAGTACCATTTTATGTACACTACTTGCCCACAGGACCGAGCCGCCATGGCTCTATGCATTTGGTGATTCCTTGTCACGGGGTGTCACTTGGCCCTGGAAAGGAATGATGGCAACTCCAGTTCCTCATGGTTGATTTCTGGTCATCATTTTCCACCATTTTCATAAAGATTTTGGATGTTCAGTGTCTAGTACTTGCCGTATAAACTTCATTGTTTTTTTTCCCGAGAGCGTCTGAGCGCAGGGTTCTTCCAATAGTGGGGGTCTGTATCTTATCTTCTCATCTTCACATCTTCTCATCTTCACATCTGTATCTCATCTTCTCATCTTCACATCTTCTCATCTTCACATCTGTTCATCTTCACATCTTCTCATCTTCACATCTGCTCATCTTCACATCTGCTCATCTTCACACCTTCTTTCACATCTTCTCATCTTCACATCTGCTCATCTTCACATCTTCTCTCACATCTGCTCATCTTCACATCTGCTCATCTTCACATCTGCTCATCTTCACATCTGCTCATCTTCACATCTGCTCATCTTCACATCCTTCTTTCACATCTTCTCATCTTCACATCTTCTCATCTTCACACCTTCTTTCACATCTTCTCATCTTCACATCTGCTCATCTTCACATCTTCTCTCACATCTCTCTCACATCTTCTCTCACATCTGCTCATCTTCACATCTTCTCTCACATCTTCTCTTACATATTCTCTCACATCTTCTCTCACATCTTCTCTCACATCTGCTCATCTTCACATCTTCTCTCACATCTGCTCTCACATCTGCTCATCTTCACACCTTCTCTCACATCTGCTCATCTTCACATCTGCTCATCTTCACACCTTCTCTCACATCTGCTCATCTTCACATCTTCTCTCTCTCGCCTTCTTTTTATCTTTCTCTCTTAAGGCCGAGGGTGGTGCCGGCGGCGAGTCACGAAACGCCAACCCTTTCGCACGAAATGAGGGTCGATCGGCAAAAACTGAGTTAAAATTGCGATTTGACTTGTCCTGGAGCAACCCTTTCGCACGAAATGAGGGTCGATCGGCAAAAACTGAGGTAAAATTGCGATTTGACTTGTGCCGGAGCAACCCTTTCGCACGAAATGAGGGTCGATCGGCAAAAACTGAGGTAAAATTGCGATTTGACTTGCCCTGGAGCAACCCTTTCGCACGAAATGAAGGTCGATCGGCAAAAACTGAGTAAAATTGCGATTTTACTTGTCCTGGAGCAACCCTTTCGCACGAAATGAGGGTCGATCGGCAAAAACTGAGGTAAAATTGCGATTTTACTTGTGCCTGGAGCAACCCTTTCGCACGAAATGAGGGTCGATCGGCAAAAACTGAGGTAAAAGTGCAATTTTACTTGTGCCGTTCTTGTCTGTGTGTAAAAGCGCCTGTGTGTAAAAAGCGTCTGTGTGTAAAAGTCTCTGTGTGTACAAGTGATTGTGTGTAAAAGCGCTTGTATGTCAAGCCGTCTGTGTGTAAAAGCGTCTGTGTGTCAAAGTGTTTCTGCGTAAAAGTGTTTGTGTGTAAAAGCTTCTGTGTGTACAAGCGTCTGCGTGTAAAAGCGTCTGTGTGTAAAAGTGTTTGTGTGTAAAAGTGTTTGTGTGTAAAAGTGTTTGTGTGTAAAAGTGCCTGTGCGTAAAAGCGTTTGTGTGTAAAAGCAGCTCCTGTCTGTAAAAAGGTCTGTGTGTAAAAGTGTCTGTGTGTAAACATGTCTGTGTGTAAAAGTGTCCGTGTAAAAGCGTCTGAAAGCAGCTCCTGTCTGTAAAAAGGTCTGTGTGTAAAAGTGTCTGTGTGTAAACATGTCTATGTGTAAAAGTGTCCGTGTAAAAGCGTCTGTGTGTCAAAGCGTCTGTGTGTAAAAGCGTCTGTGTGTAAAAGCGTCTGTGTGTAAAAGTGTTTGTGTGTAAAAGTGTTTGTGTGTAAAAGCGTCTGTGTGTAAAAGCGTCTGCGTGTAAAAGCGTCTGTGTGTAAAAGAGTTTCTGTGTAAAAGAGTTTCTGTGTAAAAGTGTTTGTGTGTAAAAGTGCCTGTGTGTAAAAGCGTCTATGTGTAAAAGCTTCTGTGTGTACAAGCATTTGTGTGTAAAAGCAACTCCTGTGTGTAAAAGGGTCTGTGTGTAAAAGTGTCTGTGTGTAAACGTATCTGTGTGTAAACGTGTCTGTGTAAAAGCTTCTGTATGTAAAAGCTTCTGTGGGTAAAAGCTTTCTGTGTAAAAGTGTCTGTGTAAAAGCTACTGTGTGTAAAAGCTTCTCACTATTTGGTCTTGATACTCCTCTTCTCGACTGCCTATAACACATCTTTCATACATCGTTTCTAAAATTGCGTCTCCATACTAACAAGAGAAGACCCTGCTCCTCTACGCTCTCGGGCCATCCGTCGTCTAGTTATGGGAAGACGGGCCTGCATGCCTTGCTGAAAGTATCAGAGAGTCACTCCACGGATGGAAGGACTTGTCACCGGTGCCTCGTAGATGTTGTGACCACAAAACCCAAGTCTCGAGTTGCCGTGCCTGAGGTCTTTTTTGATATCATCTCCCTTCTAAATGGCACCGAGAATGTAACTCATCCAGGCCGGGTCAAAATATGTCAAAATCATCTTGCTGGGAGAGCACGGGTTGAGAATCACTCTGAATCTCTGAGACCTCCTTGTGATTTTGGACGTCAAAATTGATCAGCAGCAGGCTCTAAAAAGGTGATTTGATTCCCGCAAAATGCAGAAAAATTAGAAGCAAGACATCACTTTGTCATGTTTGCCCACCAAGCACCGATGGCAGGCCATTCTGCCAACTTCTCTGCACATTGCACCATCTTGGAGAAGCGACCTCCCACAAACCGAACAAAATGTGCCTTGCCACCACAGTACAGTGTGACTTGTTTGACCTAGGAGGCTGAGAGGGCATATCTTTTGAAATCTTGTGCAATTGACTCACGACTCATGTCCGAATAATATGCACATCATGGAATTCCGATAGTGCCTTTGTCGTCGTCCTAAGACTTTCTTGCTTCCGTCGTCTTGGTTTACCTGCCCAAACTGACACTGGTCTTCAGCTTTCCTTTGTTCCTTGCGAACTGACTAGAAAGCGAGATTTCCACCAGTAGCTTCAAACTGCCACAGAGATCCCAGAGATCTCAGCAAGGTGGAGGTTTTGACTACGTTGTCCTGGGCCAAGGCTGGGCCTTGGGGCTCTTGGGCATGGTTTAGATCATTTTTGATCCCGGATTCACCGGTGCAACCATTGTCAGGAAATTTCCATGTTTCGTTCCGTGTGCTCACCAGAGTGGACAAAAGCATTCAAAAGCTGAACGTGGTTGATGGAGAACACCCAACAAAGAATTGGATTCAACCGTTATTCAACATGATTTAATGACAGCCACTGACTTTACTCGGCCTTTCCAACCATTGATGGACCTTCAGTTTCAACATGCTGTGCTTGGCTGAGCGGATGCAGGTGGTGTATATCCTGCTGACAGCGTGCACCACACGGGGTCCCGACGTCTGCGTTTGACCTTCAGGCACCGGGAGGATCAGTCTGGCAGACCCAGCAGCCAAAACATAGTGCCTCTGTAAGATCTGTAAGGCACATATTGGGTTGACAGTTAACCTGAACCTCCACTGCAAGCTCGACTGCAATCCTTTGAACATCTTTCAACAGCAGATGAGTTCATACATGATGGAATCCAACTGAACCAATCTTCATTGTCTCCCAAAAAACCACTCAGCTCCCAGTCTGCGACGCTCCTTTGTCGTAGGTTAAAGACATTCACTTCCGACACCGCTTTTGACGCTCCATCGCTTCACGTTTTGTCAGCCAATTCGCAGCCGCTAGAGCCCCAGCCCAGGGAAACCATGAAGTGCAGCTGGTGTTTTTCAACTGCCAGGAACCATTGATTTCCCAGCAGACCAAGTTTGTCACACTTGAAAATTCAGTGCGCCAGTGCGGTGCATACTAGCTGTGTGAACTATGTTGTAACTACATGTCTCTTCTTTTGTTCAGCATCTTTGCTGCCAAGTTTGGGGACACAGTTGTCATGGGCAGTTTCCTATCAGCAGCCCTGTCAGCCCAGGCCCAGCATTTTGCTGATGAGCTTTGGCCTGTGGGACATGCAGTACCCTCAAGGCTGGGAGAAGCTTTCGACTCATGTTGTGAACGGAGATGGCAATAGCATGGAGCAACTCGTACAACTGATCATAACAACAAAGTAGAACTGAGTAGTATAGTACTGTACATAGTATACATCAGAAAGGATATAAAAAGGATGATAACAGTAATCTGTTGACATTGATATCTGTTGATATCTGTTGAGGATATGGCAAGTGGCAAGTGACAGAGGCTCACCAGAGGAGGGGCTGCGCAGCTTTCAGCAGCATCTCAGCCACTTGGATCTGATGGGTCAGGTCGGAGGGGCCCCAATGATGCCACCATTGGTGGGTAATTCATCATAAGTTTTCCTAATTAAATAGCTATTATATGTATATATATATAATATAATATAATATAATATAGTATAATATAATATAATATAATATAATATAGTATAATATAATATAATATAATATAGTATAGTATAGTATAATATAATATAATATAATATAGTATAATATAATATAATATAATATAGTATAATATAATATAGTATAATATAATATAATATAATATAGTATAGTATAGTATAATATAATATAATATAGTATAATATAATATAATATAATATAGTATAATATAGTATAATATAATATAATATAATATAGTATAATATAATATAATATAATATAGTATAATATAATATAATATAGTATAATATAATACAATATAATATAATATAATATAGTATAATATAATATAATATAGTATAATATAATATAATATAGTATAATATACTATATAATATAATATAATATAATATAGTATCGTATAATATAATATAATATTATATTGTATAATATTTATATTATATTATATTATATTATATTATATATTATATATTATATATTATATATTATAGATTATAGATTATATATTATATATGTTATATATATATATATTATAGATTATATATTATATATGTTATACATATATATATATATTATAGATTATATATATAGCCATGATTGCCATATTAATAGCCGTATTAATAGCCATGCATTCATGATTGATGATGATGAACCACTGGATGATTTATCAATAATGTCGTTGAATTGGGCCTATTTTCAGACAAACCCATGCGAAGTAAGATGCACAAAGAGTGTAAATCACTGGACATATATTTTCACATTGGGGATGGGCACCTTTTGCTTTTGCTTTATGGTTTTAATACCTTTCCACCATACAGGAACTAGTTAATTCTAATTAGCAAGTGTAGCTGAGGATTTGGGAAGACTTGTCCTTTGTATGATGGCGGGCAGCCGTTTGCCGAAGTATGTTAGATGGGTGCTTTAGTACTTTAATCTCCTTTTAATCTCCTGCTGTAAATGGGGATATGTACTAACCAGCAAGAACTTGATGTTTTGCAGACCATCTAAGATTGGCAGCGCCTTGCAATTGAGGCGCATTTCTCGATACATTGCAGCAAACCTTTCCTGTCAAGAGACCCAGGACGGGTTCTTGCTTGGGTCCTTGAGAACCCCGAAGCCCCAAACCTCCAAATCTTGGCAGGATCTTTTGGCTCACCTTGACTGCTGTGGCATCATCCAAACTGCCAGCGGGGGCCTTATGATGGCCGCATGATTCACAGAAAGAGGATGTCACATGATAGTTTATACTCATAGGAGCGCATAGGCTCAAGCACATACACACACACATATATATATATATATACACTATAGAATAATACACATAATATGTACAGATAATTATGATACGTATATATATATATATATGTTGGTTCGGGTTCATTGATATCGATTCAATTCTGGACGGCCTACATGTACCACTATTTCCATAGTTGCCCTTTAAGCAGGCCCCTTCTGTTGTCAGTCACCTGTCCCACCTTCACTGCTCCGTCTCTCCCCTGTACGGTCCAGGTGTGGAAACGACCCCTGTTGAGCCCCCAAATGGCGAAACGCTACAACGACCTTTCGGAGCCAAGCTGTCAGGGTGAATCTGCCACCGAGCCGACTGTGTCGTCCAGTGACACTATGTTTTTGCACAGCTCATTGAGGCAAAGATATCGCACAAAACAATGAAATATATCCGAAAATGGCAAAAAAGGCAGCTAAGTGTTCGGACCAGTCCATGGTCCACTTGTGGATCTTGTGGTCCACTTGCACTTTTTCTGGTGACAGGAGCAACTTCTTCGACCTAGAGGCATTGAACTCATTGACACCTTCACCAGCAGCAACTCGGGTCAGCAGACAGGACATTCCTTGTTTGATCATGTTTGATCAAGGGTAGCTCCAGCGCAGTTCTATTCAGCCTTTGCTGATGATGGAAGTCATGATGCTTGGAACGCATTCAGGCCAACAGCACCCTGAGGAGTCGAAGGTGAGGATGTCCAACAGCATTTCAATTCCCGAGAGTTTGGAGCACCTGGAACTCAAAGAATCTTGCAATGCGAAACGACTCAAACAGATAAACATCTCTGAATTTCAGGAAAATTGGGGTTAAACAGAGAATGACAAGAGAGGCTGTTGCTTTTCTTTCTTTCAATTTCTGTTATGACAGATATGTTTTGCGCAGGATGGCGTCCACTTTCCTGGCAAAGTATCTATGGGCTTTGCACATCAGCTATTGAGGGCCCTGTGCCTGTGAGCACAGCAGCAATGCAAAGCCATTGTGGAACTTCCAGCTGAATGAGCTTTGCCAAGATGTCTCAAGATGTCTCAGACATTTGTGTAGGGCGGGCAGTTCTCCTAGGATGCAAGATCCAAAGCTTTGCAAGGCCTTGGATGTTTGACAGCGACCAAGCTGCAGAAAAGGAAGTTCAGGGCGAGCCTGTGGGTCCTCCACGCAAAAATTCATTGCAAAATGCTTTGCCGCTGGGTCTCGCGAGTTTGGCCCCCTTCACTTCATCTGGGGAAATGGGATCTTGTGATGCCCAGCGGGGCTGTAGGTCACTTGGTGTCCTACAACATCTTCCGTGGCTGGTGGGTGATCAGCACTGACCTAGAATCAAAGGAACCTGTCTGGGTAGAGCTGTGCAGAGTGCTGCAATCTGTTGAGTCATGTTGAGTCTATTGCAGCAGGTCCAGTCCCATCCAGTCCCTGAAAAGCTTGCGAAACGCTTCTTTTGCTGCAAAATCTTGATGTGGCTATGGATCAATACCTATTAATACCATTTTTAGGGGGATGAACATCCATTTACCAGCTATTTTGATGTTCACCAGGGGTACTATTGGTTTTGACACACTGCCATGTCTATTGCACATGAATCCTCACCATTGGCCGTGAGGATGCGCCATTGGCCTGGGCCGAAGGCCGTGATTCCTACGCGCCAAATCAGCTGCCGTTGAACTCCTGGCAGGCCCGGTATGGTATCCAGGACAGGCACAACATCTACAGAGTCTGCGGGAGCTTGAGATATCTTGAGATCATGCCAAGAGCGGAGGCAAAATAGATCAAAAGTGGATCAAAAGCTATCAGCATATTCATGAAATTTCATGACGTTGGAATCGGCTGGACTGATACATGCTCAACTGATCTTAACGGCGTATAACGGCGTGTTGCAGCAAGAATATGAGGTTCTCTGATCCCACACATCAAGTCCAACGGACTTCGAAAGCAGGGCTGTCGTATGCTGTCGGCCCTTCCGCTCCTGGCCGCAGATCTGGATCGTGGATAACATCACAGTCATTGGCGCCGGATATTGGTACGCACATCCTACCCTGTACAACTGGCATGTGTTGGCATGTTTTGCTTTAGGTTGTTGATGAATGTTACCAGTGTTTTAGATACGGGAATCCAGAACCTCCACTGCAGCCCAATGCCGAGTTGTTGCAACTCCGTAAAGCAAAACACCCCAACCCATACGAGCCCCACAAAAAACCTCGGAGAAAATCGGACAAAATCACAACAGACACAAATATCAAGACTGTTTCTTCCTATTCTGATTCATAGTCTTCAGTTCGACAGTGCACTGAAAAGGGGTGAACTTCCAATTGTGCGCCTCCTCGGAGAGGGTGTTGCAAGCTACACAGAAATCACGGGCCGGTGAGTAAGATGAGTAAGAGATGAAACTCATAAATACAAATCTGAGATGACTCAAACATGATGGATATTTGTTACATTTTGTTACGTTTTGTTACGTTGTTGGCTCCTGGATACCAAGCCCATGCTGACCAGGCGCATGGCTGGTGCAGTTGATGACAACTTTGCTTTCAGCGGGGTGTCCCAGTCCTCCAGGTAGAGAATCCTGCACAGCGCACCAGGGATTGGACTGGACCATCGCAATTGAGGCATCAACCCATCAGCAGTGATGACGCAAATTACCACGGATGCCTGGAGCTTGGAACTGCTTGGAACTGTTTGGAACTGTTTGGTCCTTGTGACTCCAACAGCTTCTGGTTCTGAAGTGCCGTAAACAAAACAAATCAACAAGATACAGTTCTTACAGAAACCTATTTGGCCAAGTTCTGCAGACCTGACATGTTGAACGGAAGGAAAAGGTCAACCGTTTCCCGGAAGCAAAGTTTACAAGTAACTTCAAGTAGTGTGTAAACTTGAGCTTTTTGAAGCTTTTCCTTTCACAAGTCAGTATTTTCCAGTGACTTTCCAGTTTACAAACTAATTGCCCTGGGAAGACAACATGTGTTCTGCCGAGGCTGACCTGGGATTGCCATATCTCAGCAGCGCAACCTTTGATGTTGGCACTGCTGTTCCTAGTTTTGCAGATAGTTATGGTGGGACATGGTGGCATTTGGGATTTAGCCATTATATACATATGTTATATTATGTTATAAGTTATATAATTAATTATATATATATACCGACATTATCCTGGCGTTCACTGGCCTTACAATCGGATGGTCCCGGTCCGTTCCCAGGATTCATTAAGCTACGCTTGAATCTAGATCTAGATTCTCGATGGAGCAGCAACAAAAACTGGTAAAACCATCTGAGCATGCGCAAACTGCTTCTGACCTGGACAGCAAATGATACTTAGTGTTGAGACACATGAGACACATGAGACACCTCGTGGCATTTGAAGGTTTAAAAAAATCCATCCAGCCCAGTGTTGGATCCATCCATCTTAGATGACCCAACGCCAAGAATCCTGGGGTATACCGGGTATACGGTATTCGTTGGTGCAATCCCCCAGCGCTGTTACGCCATGTTCGATGCTGCCTTGATGATCCTCCTTTGTTCCATGCCGAGTCTACAGCTGGAACCTACAATCTCTGCTGGTGTCCATCTTGGGACTGCGGGGTGGGCTTAAAAAACCGCGCAAGAATCCAAGTTTTCATGCGGACAGCATTGCCAGGGCCCAGGATTCCTAAACTAAGTTCCAATGATTTTAAACATTTTTAAACCATGTCACATGTGGATTCTTGGGAACTGGAGAGGCCGGAGGGCATCACACATCTCCGACTTGCACACTGTACCGTTATCCTGTGGAAAGCTACAGGGGGTAAATGAATTCCTTCAACTGGCTGTTTCACCACCAAATCCCATGAAGATCAGCACATCCCAAGTGCAATGACCAGTCAGCACGGCAGGACTGGCCAGTGACCAATGCCGCACGAAGTGGCGACCTGGATACCATACCTTGTCCAAGCCCTAAATGGGAAGATGGGATTAGCAGCTCGTATCAGCCCGGATCTTGCAAGAAGGCGACCAAGTGTGGGGATGTCAGCAACTAACATTTGGTGTTTGACCAGGCATTGCCGACCAACAAACATGGGGATTCAACATGATTCAACCCAGTCAGCCAATGTCAGCCACAGGTTCAAGTGAACAGGAGTTCTTTGTGAACAACGGCAACTTGGTGGTGGGTTTTCTCACCATGCAGGCAGGGCTGCGAAGGGCTTCAAACTAAGCTACATGACCTCTGGAGGAAGGGATTGGAAAGGCTCTTTCAACACCGAATTGCAATGAACTGCGCCAGTACTGTGCGTGCTTCAGCAGATGCTTTGGCAAGTACTAGACACTCAGATCGCACACCGATTTCTATCCATGAGATCTCTGCCAAGCTAGTGACTGTACCCTGGGACATCCTATCGCACATGGAAAGTGTCCTGGAGCCAAGCCCAAACTCAAACATACGAATCGTATTTGGTTGAACGTTCAGCGCCCAAAGGCTCGCTATCACTGTCTTCCATCGGACTGTAGCATCGGTGTGGCCCTGCCAGCATGGAGCCCAGGGAACATTTCTGTTTTTACCACTGGGTTGGAGTTCCTTGAGCTTAGGCAATGCCCCAGCATTCGCCACAAGTCTGAATTCACTTCAAGAAGATTCCTTTCCGGTGAAGGCGAAGTCTCCATGTTTTGAAGCAAGTTCTGAGGCCTACCTGCCGAATCGGCGTGCTGTAGTTCTTCCTGGTGACATCAAATGTGCTGAGGTGGCTTTGCATGCGGGAGTTGCGAGAAGATTGAACGGGTATGAGCGGGTACAGATTCAGAACGATTCAGATATAAGTTATGATGATTCCAAAAGCGATTCGATCCTCTGCAAAAAAGCGGCCCACGCGCACGACACCCATCCACTTAAATCTCTGGTTCTTTTTGCCTGGCTTCAAGTATATCAGTGACAAGATTTGATAGCATTTCAGGGAAGGCCCTCTTTGTGGTGAGGCAGTATCAACCATGGCTTCTCCTTGGAGTTCCTCCAGAAATGTCTCAGGACAGGGGAGACGGGTTCTGTTTTTTGGCCTTTGAAATGCACTGAGTTGGAGGTTGAATGCGGTTGGAGAGCTATTCTGAGGTTGAGAAGATAGAGGAACCAGTTATATATATATATATATACATACATAGTTAAGACTTATTTTATCTTATTTTTGTGTCAAACAACAAGTGGAAACAAATCCAGAACATGTGCACATTCGGAGGTCTCCCTTGCAGGAACAGTGCCTTCAGTGGGCACCAACTGGACCCTCTTCAGCTTCGGGACTGCCAGCGTGACGGGCGAGTTTCAAGTTTGTCCGGGCTCTCATGATGGACACCCTGCAAGTTTGTAGCGGATCCAGCCAGAAGCCATAGACTTAGACGCTTGCTGACTCTATCTGACTCTTATCCATGATGACCGCAGATTGCTCACAAACTTCATGGAAGTTGGCAGGTCGCCCCGTGTCGCCCCCCCAATTCTCACGGGTATACAATGGGTATACAATGGGTATACACTGGATATACAGTGGGTATACAATGGCTGCATTATCTACCCATGAAACACGGTAAAGGCCATGGACAAGGTCCATGGATTTCCCAAACGGTTGATCGGTGGAGTCTCTGAAGCCACAATACCGAGGTATTTGCTCCGACTACGACAATGGTCAGGTACTGAACATGAAGGAGAATACTGAAAAAATCAGGTTTTCCCAATAGCAATAAAAACATCATGTCGTATCATGTCAGAGCTGCAAAGCCTGGAAGGACTTGTTGCAAGTTATGGCTACAATTTATCGCCCAAACCTCCATACTTCACTTATTTGGATTGGCATTCCAGCCATTAGTGGACCAAGGCGAAGACAGCGTCGCGTGCAGCCAACTCAGCGAGCATTGACCCCAGGGTGACAGGGAGTTGGCAGCCGCTGGCCGAAAGGTTAAGTAGTGGTAGTACTGGATTTTGCATCTTTTTGACTATGGATGATGATGATGATGATGATGATGATGATGATGATGATCAATTTGAAGAGTTTGGCGCTTGGATTGTTTTGGCTGTTGGCTAAGCCACTGTGCAAACTTCTTGTGACTGACACTCTCGTTTAGCAGTTTGTTTGATATACTGTAACTTATAACTAGCCCAAGTTAGTGATGGCAAGTTGCCGGCCCTGCCCAGCACCATGAATTTCCCTTCAAGCTTAAGATACTCTTTCTCATTTGTACACGTCGTGCAATGCCGTCCTGTTGTCAATTTTTTCTTTGAAATCACACCTATGAATGCAATCCAAGCTGATGATTGAAGAGTCAAGCGTCTTGAGTATACTCGCATGCTAATGGACCTACGCATTCATTCCTACGTACTAATTTAATTAGATCATGTTTTCCCAAGGCCCCAGCAGCTATCATTCTTGTGATCTGTTTGAGGTTCTATGAGGCCGCAGGTACTCTCACAGTGGCGGACCAGGCCGCTTGCCAGCGACGACCGCACATGGTTTGCAAACGTGACATCGTGGTATACATCGATCAAGACGACTGCTCCAGCTTCTCTCCTCCTGTGAAAGGATTCTCACAAATCAGTTCAGTCCTTCCTACTGATTGAATTCAGATAATTGAGTTTCTGATACCGGCTTGCTTGCGTGGTGCAGGAGTTATGCCGTCACTTTGTGTAGGGTAGACCAATGCAGCAGCCATTTAATTCCAAGCCCTTCACAGATCTCACTTTTACTTCCCCCGACCTACCCTGAACTAGGATAAGTGGTCAAACCTGATAGCAGTATTCCCTTGTGTTCAACTTGTGTTCCCGTGATTGATGGCCATTACAGGATTGGGCATCTCCAGACACCTCCGCTGTTCTCAGGTGTTCCTTGTTTTTGAAGCGGGTGTCAATGCAGTCCGATCCTTGGTGCCCTGTTGTCCAGTCAGTGGCAGCCTGCTGTGAAGCACATGCAGCTGGTGCGTTGCCAGGCCTTGAACGTCACTCGTGGCTATGGTGCAATCCCTGGAGTGTGGAATTGCGTCACTGAAGTTCCATCCGGTACGGAAGTATCTGGAAGTATCTAGAAGCATTTGATGACATTGTGCGCGCCTTTTTAATAATGGCCTTACTGAACCTGCTTGGTATCCATCACGTCGATTATCTGGAACTTCGATCTGATTCATGCATCACAATGATGACCAAGGCTTGGATGCTTCAGACAGGCCAGATCGCACGGGTGCAAAGGATTAGTGGATCCAGAAAGCTACTGGACCAAGCAGGTTCAAAATATGGTCCCAGGTCCAACGTCTCCTTTGCTGCTTCGCTCCGATGCGTATCAAAGAACAATGACACTTGCAGTAGATTCCAAATCAATGAACCAATGGAAGTTGTGCCTCACGGCCACTGTGTGTTCTCACAAATCCTTGCAGCTTACCAGCCATACGAGATACGTGAAACGTTTCCAACCAGAGAGCTCTGACCGAAGATCCTATGCTGCAGGATCCATTTCCAGCCTGGCTTTGCGTGCAATGCTTCCACTCTAGGCGTGCAAACTGTGTTGGAGTCCAGCAATCATATTTGCACAGTGGCTCCAAAGTGGACCTGCAGTAGAAGGAGGGAGCTCTTTTCAAGAAAATCTAGTGGCCAACAATCTTGTCTACCAGCAGACAACACAAGGACACTGCCGGGCTACCCCAAAGAAAAAAAGACTAGTATTGAGTGCTATCTGGCTATCCAACTCATGAGGATTCTCTAAAAGTAGAAACTGTAAGAGGAACTTGTCATTGACCAACAGAGCAGCTGTTTGCATTCCCAACATGTATTGTGCAACGGCTATACAATCATTATCAATGATTAATTATTACATCCTTCATCATCAGACAAGGAATCGACGGTCCAGCAACATGCTCACGTAGCAGGTTCAACAGTGGCCTCACCCAGCAACGTTGAGGAAACTCAGCCGCAGGTGGAAAATCCAATGGTGCAAAACGCAGCCGAAACCTTCATCTTGATTGGATTTATTCCCTCATCATCCAGACTGCTTGATGACTTGATGCAGTTCGCAATAAGGCCAATGGAGCCTGGGCCATCTATGCACTTGGACCACAGGGATTGTCCCTGGACAGTCGGGGTTGCCAGCTGAAGGGACTGAGGGCATCGTTCACGGCTTGGGTCGATTTTGCTCTGATCCGTCCTGTCACTGAGGCGGGCTCTACGTTGCTTGCCTTTGCACCAACTTTGATGGGCCCGACAGTGATGAGGCATCGCTCTCAACTGAAGTTTGTATTTGTTCGTTACAAGGAGTCAAGTCCAATTGCCTCGGGAGAGGCCGAACATCACTTGACTCATTCAGGTTTCTGATTTGCACTCTCTTCCTAGCAAACCAATGGGCATCTAGAAAAGTGGGTCAATGAGGCTTCCATTGACTGAGGACCTTGAGGTATTTTTTCATGATTGGTTTGTCGGCTTGCTCTGTTATATCACGTACCTTGAATTCTTGGAGAATCTGAGCCATCAATAGCCATCATACTTCTGCAACATCATCATGAATCACATCATTTTAAAGCCCGACTCTTTTGGAGGTTGGGTACCTCTGCAGTGCAGCTCACCTGGCCAGGTGTCATGCAACAGTGCAGATGAGTTCACCACGGCAGTGGGCAAGCTGCAGGCCCTGCCCTTCACCTGAAAAGTGTCAAGTAATGCCACGAAAGATGGGAAAACCAGGTCCTGTTTTGGGTTGTCTCATTCGGTGATATTTGGTGAAACCCTGAGATCCATAGTAATTGTATTATATAAATTTATATAATCTATTCCTGGCTTCCTGGTAAATTTGTCAGAGCTTCAGATCCCTTCCATTTCGAAAGATCTCAAAGCACTGCCAGGTGGCTGCAGTTCAAGGGCCTCAACTTCGCTCCAGCATATCGGGAAGCATCCTGCTGAGGCTGAAATGCAGGGCTTGGAGCAGCTACAATCAGGGATCAAGGGATCAAGGGATCAAGGGATCAAGGGATCAAGGATCAAGGAAGGCAGCATCAATCCATGCAACAAGTACTGGGCACCATGAGTGGAGGCCCGACTCATATCTTTGGATTTTATTGTACCAGCAGAAGTTGACCATCAAAGTCAATTGTGCAGCGGTACGAAGTGTTTCCATTTTCTTGGGGTCAGGCTTCAAACCCAGAAAATGGCTGACATATCTTGAAGGGAAGCATGAACTCTTGTCTTGAAGGAAGGACAATGAGACCTGGCTGTTGGGAGCCGTTATTTAAACTTCAAAAGTGGTTTGCTGAGCCTAATGACAACTCCAATTTGCTCAACCCATCATTCTGCACAGATGAAGATATTGAGTACAGAGATATACATGTAGATGTACAGGGTATTGAATTTGTAGTGAATATAGATTTTATTAGATTTTGGATGAATTTGGTCATATTTGGTCATTGATTTTGCGACGAGTCAATACCCTTCGTGGTGAACCACATGGCCCCAGGCTCACCTTGGCTCGTCGCCTGTCAGCCACAGATGCAGCCGCCGTGGGGGGACCATGGGGGACCTGGAGCGAAGGGCCTTCAGGTGTTCCAAGATGTTCCAAGTGTCTGCAAGAAATGGGGACAGATGGGGGATACCACCGGATCATTGTTTGGAAATGTTTGGAAATGTTTGGCATCAGATGAACCAGTGAGTTTTGATCGTTTTTAAAGTCCAGGCCTTGTTTGGTGATGTGGCGACCAAACAAAAGTATCTAAGATTATCTAAGTATGATGGGTTCAGAAGATAGCTTTTTTAGAATTAGCCTCTGGCTTCATCCGTGGCAATGTACACTGGAATGTGCTGCGTACGCCTACCAAGGTATCAAGCGGTTGGGCGCTGGCCACTGCACTAGAAGCTGCTTTAAAGACGTTGGGTAGCACAGTTGTCCCAGTGTTTCAAGGTGTTCCATTTGCATGATTTTCACCTGCGTGTGCCTACCGATCTTGAATACTGAATTATTGTTCTTAGGGATGAATCAGCCCATAGAAGGGACTTCTAAGCCTTCTTATATTTCTAGCCAGAAGCAGCACCCTGGATGCCGACTTGCTACAGCTCACGTGCACAAGGGCCTTTGACTCCTTCATCTCTCCCGTCTCTGTGGAAGTCACAGGCTGGGGATGTGCAGAAACTGTGAGACGCTGGTAGGTTGTAAGAGGACCGTGATGCTCCGTGAACGCTTTTTGGGCGAGGATGAAACTTGTGATACTGGTAACATTTGGTCACTCCATTGCGGCTTCCTAGAGGCCACCTTCTTTGGCAATGGCATGAGAATCTCAGCGTGTGTCATTCCCAGGTGTGTCACCTTTGCGCGGCCCCGGTACTGTGGATGTCGTGGCCAACTTCACTGCAACATTCAGTGAGAAGCCTGGATGGTCTGGATGAGAGTTGAATGCATTGGATATGCTGGATATGCGATATTTTTGGATACCACGTGGGGAAAAAAGAGAGGAAGTTGCCGTAGTGATGCAGGTGATGTTTGATCCAGCATCCATGGATCATGAACTCCTGTCAGCCTTTGGATTATTGCCGAAATTCTGTGCCACTTGCCGAGATGGTTCCGCGAACCAGCAATTGCTTGAGGCGCATGCAGAAGGGACAATTCTTGGAGCGGAATCAGCTATTTTCAAGCGACTTGTGGTGCGAGATGATAAGAAATTAACATTACCTACCGTACAAATGATGCAACACGACAGAATATCCAGTGCCTCATGTTTATAGAACGAAACCAAGTGTTTCTGCTAAATTCATCTAAATTCTTCACATCATATCTCCCTCAGATTCTTTAAGCATCAGCTTTAATCATCGTTAAGTTCTTTTATCAGGGTTCCCGTGGTTCGCATCGATTCGCATCGGTTCGAAAATAACTTTATGAACCGCGAAGCGGTTCGTTCCGGTTCGGTTCCGTTGCGGTTCGTGTCGAGACCGGTTCATGGATTCATTCGGTTCCATTCGGTTCGGTTCTCATCTGGAATTGACTGCGTTATTGCTTTTTATAAAGGAAGTGTATGCGATAATGTGTATAGCAGCATTCAAACTATATCCGTTGGTGTTCGTAACTTTCTGAAAGCAACATTGGCCTTCAAAATTGCCGAGACGGGAAAGTACGGAAAATTAGTATTGCCGAACAGCTGTGGCTTCGAAAATCTCTGTTGCAATGGAAAGATTGAGCAAATACTGTAATTCCCTTTACCCATGTAGTCTACTCAACAGTACGATCCCGCAACCCCCCTGGAGACACTTTTGGGGGCAAACATTGCTTTCCGGGGGTTGCGGGAAATGAGTGCAGCTGACCAGCCTTGGCCTCAAATTTTCTGTTGTAATGGAAAAGATTGAGCAAATACTGTATTCCCCAATACCCATGTAGTATACTCAACCGTGCGATCCCGCAACCCCCCTACAGACACTTTTGGGAGCAAACATTGCTTTCCGGGGGTTGCGGGAAATGAGTGCAGCTGACCAGCCTTGGCCTCGAAATTCTCTGTTGCAATGGAAAGATTGCGCAAATATTGAATTCTCTTTATACCTATGTAGTATACTCAACAGTACGATCCCGCAACCCCCCTAGAGACACTTTTGGGGGCAGACATTGCTTTCCGGGGGTTGCGGAAAATGAGTACAGCCGAACAGCTTTGGCCTCGAAATTCTCTGTTGTAATGGAAAGATTGAGCAAATACTGTAATCCCCAATACCCATGTAGTATACTCAACAGTACGATCCCGCAACCCCCCTAGAGACACTTTTGGGCGCAAACATTGCTTTCCGGGGGTTGCGGGAAATGAGTACAGCTGACCAGCCTTGGCCTGGGGATTACAGTATTTGCTCAATCTTTCCATTGCAACAGAGAATTTTGAGGCCAAAGCTGTTCGGCTGTACTCATTTCCCGCAACCCCTGGAAAGCAATGTTTGCTCCCAAAAGTGTCTGTAGGGGGGTTGCGGGATCGTACTGTTGAGTATACTATATGGGTATTGGGGATTACAGTATTTGCTCAATCTTTCCATTACAACAGAAAATTTGAGGCCAAAGCTGTTCGGCTGTACTCATTTTCCGCAACCCCCGGAAAGCAATGTTTGCCCCCAAAAGTGTCTCCAGGGGGGTTGCGGGATCGTACTGTTGAGTATACTACATGGGTAAAGACAATTCAGTATTTGCTCAATCTTTCCATTACAACAGAGAATTTCGAGGCCAAGGCTGGTCAGCTGTACTCATTTCCCGCAAACCCCGGAAAGCAATGTTTGCTCCCAAAAGTGTCTCTAGGGGGGTTGCGGGATCGTACTGTTGAGAATACTACATGGGTATTGGGGATTACAGTATTTGCTCAATCTTTCCATTACAACAGAGAATTTTGAAGCCAAAGCTGTTCGGCTGTACTCATTTTCCGCAACCCCCGGAAAGCAATGTTTGCCCCCAAAAGTGTCTCTAGGGGGGTTGCGGGATCGTACTGTTGAGTATACTACATAGGTAAAGAGAATTCACTATTTGCTCAATCTTTCCATTGCAGCAGAGAATTTCGAGGCCAAGGCTGGTCAGCTGTACTCATTTCCTGCAACCCCCGGAAGGCAATGTTTGCTCCCAAAAGTGTCTCTAGGGGGGTTGCGGGATCGTACTGTTGAGTCTACTACATGGGTATTGGGGATTACAGTATTTGCTCAATCTTTCCATTAAAATAGAGAGATTTCGAGGCCAAAGCCGTTCGGCAGTGCTAGTTATCCGTAACCCCGGGAAAGAAGGAAAGGAAGGAATAAGAAAATAGATAGATAGATAATTATTCTCACACAATTCTACATATCAAATTCAAATATAACTATGATGTTCGGTTCGGTTCCCACAAAATTTCGGTTCGGTTCCTGCGGTTCGTTTTCATTTGCCGGTTCCATGACCTCGCGGTTCGTTCCGGTTCGTGTTTGTCGATTCGTGTCGGTTCGTGGGCACACTGTTTTATTATTTTTATTGGTTAGACAATGTTAGACTTCCTTTAGACTTCCTTTTCAAAATGGGTTCCGCAAGGCCAGTTCCCCTGGCGGCCAGATAAGGTCGCAGCGTCGCAATGCGTCGCAGGTCAGAGATTTCGACAACGCCAGCTGCCCCGACGAGTTGCTGGAGCCACCATGGACCCAGCCCACGGGCTTGGTGACCACTCCGGTTGGGAGAGCCCAGGCGGTGGCGACCCAAAATGGATGTACTATTATATATATATATATTAATATTGATATACATATGTATATACACATCCATTTATGTGATGTTTAGTCTTTTTTTCAAAGTATGGAAACTCAACCCATCCAATTTATAGATTGATTTATAGATTGATTTGGACGAACTTATTGATTGCCAAATGGATGGGGCTCAACGCTGAATACCAACAAACTATATGGTGAGAGCGGCAGCAGGAAACAAACGGTGGAATGTCTGGGTTAAGCGGATCTCATTAGTTGAGGCCGAAGCCAGGGTTGCTGAGAGGAAGTTAGTCAAACTGGTCAGTTTGGTGTCATTTGACCATATTTGACCCTGCTATGTTTGTAGATGAAGTTGTTTGGGTACAGGTAGGAAGAGTGATGTAACGGATTTGCACGCGATATTTTGAACGAACCATTTGACACTTTGACAACATCGAAATAGACATGAGCAGGGTGGATGCTATGCACAAATATGCACAACATGAGATGGCCAAGGCCTTTGCAGATTCCCCATTGCTGCTGGGGTGCCTTCGCTTGAACGATGTGATCACCAACGAAGGCACTTAAATTAGATGGAATCAGTCGGACCCATGGCGCTAACGTTGCCTGAGAAAGTGCCAGGTGCTTGATTCCTTCGAATCACGGGTATTTTCAACGCATCCAGAACTTAGATTCAGCACTTCTCTGGATTTGTTTGCTTTTAAGTTTGGCTGGTGATAGTAGACCATCACCATCACCACCTGCATCACCATAAATCATCACCGGACCATCGTCTTCGTCGGTCGTCGTCGTCCTTCTCCTCCTCATCATCACCACCACCTCCACCACCACTCGAATCCGATCAGATCTGGCAGTCTGGAATGTGCATTTTCAATGTCCAATGTGTGCTGCCCTCGGAAGTAGAGCGATATGGAGAAAGCTCTGGTTCCGCGCAGGCGCAGCTCTGCAAAGCACGGTGGCCACTGAGTGCCTCGAAACAGTTAAATGGGACTGGGGTCAATAGATGGCAAAATGCTGCGTTGACAACTCATTGTAACTCTACATCTTCCAAAACACCCAGATTATACAGATGAGTAAGGTTTTGAAGATGTCAAAAGGCTCGTTTTTTTGCAATTTACATTATCGGCAGCAAGTCTTCATGCCCGTCACCACTCAGGCTGCAGAGTGCTTCCCTGGCAGGGATCTCGGGTATTGAGGTGGGCTTGGTAGCAGTGTGGTGGTGTAGCAAGGTGTCTGGGCGAATCGAATGTATTGAGCTTCCTATCCTGCTCTTACGGGGCTGAAGAAAATGATGGGTAAATATACATGTACAATGTATTAAGATGTATTAAGATGTAAGGTATGTAGGGATACAGAGATGCAAATGTGGATCCACAGGTCCGCAAAGAGATTCTTGGATCTTTAATTCAGGGAACTATTTCTGAGTAGAATGGAACTCGTTTACAACATCCGTCCGAAACACGTATATCCCAACGTAACTACTAGTCTTGCCTTGAACCTTTGCCAAGCCGAGCTTGCTGACTTTATCCCTAACTGGATTGGAGGCCACTGGATGCCATTGGGTGCCATCAGATTGTATGATTGAACACCAGTAAAAAAAAGAAAGATCTTGGTGTAATCAGATTGGCTGCAGACATTCATTGCCAGGTCACAAGCTTTGGCACGATGATGGTGTGGTGCTCGGCTGGGTGGAATATGTCCACCCAGATTTGGGGAAGCATCATGACGCATCAAGGTTCAATGAGAATTCTCAAATAGCGGGGCATCATCTTTGTTGTCTACATTTGTCTACTAAATTAAACAAGTTTTTGATGACAGGTCCTACGCAATTCTTCCACGATTCAGCTTTTTGAGCTTGGTATCTGCGTTGGTCTTGGATTGAAACACGAAGAAACACTACAAGCAGAACCTTCCCGCCAAGGCTCCAGTCCTGGGCTACCTACCAGTGCCAGCCCCAGTGGATGTACTCTCACCACTCATTCCCCGAAGGTGAACGGATATAATTGATTGATATTGATTGATTGAAAGAGCCGAGATGAGAAAGCACTACATTCAAGGTGGATGCATTGGATGATCAAATTCATAGACTTACACATGTAGTAACCGATATAGAATGTATAGTTTCTAGTAATTTCTTTGATGAAAGGAGAGAAACATCGAGAACTTTCCACCAAGGAGATCTACCGCTGTGTACGTGGAGCTCCGTGTCAGATCCTGGTTACAGCCCGGTGGCTTGGGAAAGCAGTGTGCCCCAAGAGGTGATCAACGCAAAGAATAAATGGCCCATGAATGGCACATGAATTGCATAATAAATGACACATAAATTGCACTGGGGAACCCAAAGAAACCTTTTTTCGTATGACATATCTTCACTGCCATCTGGACATCGTTGTTTGGGGTTCCAGAAATATGGGAGGTGCAAAAAGCTATTCGATTCAGCCCATTCTGGGATTCTGCGATACCGAAATTTCGGGATCCCAAGGTATCCCAAGTAGTTACGATCACCTTGGAAGCTGGGAAAGGTTGGCTCATGTTTGAAGCACCTATTGAGAAGATTATGTAATTATGCTTTTACAACTGCAGAGAAACGAACTCTGCAGATGGCCACGCATTTTTGATGTCATGCCACCATGTGGTAACTCTTGGCCGACCAGATTAACATAAAATAACATAAATTAACATACATTTACATAAATTAACATGGCAAAATCGCTTGCCAATATCTAAAGATCCGAAGCCTGATTTCTGGATCCGCATCAGAGCCCAGGCTGCTACGGGTGCAGCATCTGTGCCGGCTGGTGGTTCGATGCTTCTCATAGGTGGGGACCATTGGGTAGCAGAGAGGCAACGACAGAAAAACGTGACTTCATTTCATTTGCGGTTTGTTTCTCTTTATTTGCAGTGCATGAGATATCATGAGAGTACATTTTTTAAAAAATAAAACATTTTAAAACATTTTAATACATTTTATGCATTTTCTTCAGATTTCCATGTCCCTGCCCTTCAAGGCTTGTGCATCCCCCTTTGACACTGCCATGACTGTTGCATGGGCTTGTAACGGCTTGTATCAAGCTTGAAAGATAGCAAGGATCTAAGCCCGACCAGCAGAACGTTTGCAGCACATGATTCAAAGATGAGCATTAGTGCAGTTCAATTCTTCGATCCCAGGGCAGTTCTCGATTCTAGCTGCACCGCCAGCTCTCCTTGAAGCATGTCCAGCCATGACAGGTAGCGGTTTATGTGGAGCAGAGGAGCTGCTTCAACTGGATGGGTTTCATATCTACTTGACTACTTGCATCGATTTCAACTTTCCATGCCGTTCGGTGTATGCACATGAACCCGAGTCGACATGTTCGGGCTCTTGCAGCCATGTCAACGAAACCTTGCACCTAAGTCAACATCTCGATCCAGGCAGTCTCCCCAGTAACAGTTCTGACGGGATCCCCTCAACTGCTCGTAATGCATGCGCCTTTTGGCTGTGACTTCCAAGTCAAAATCTGAAGCGGGGCGTGGTAGCCAGCAAATGCCAGCAACTTGGGATGAGTGAATACACAATTATGTGAGGACAGCCAGAGACTGACCACGGTGCTTGCGAGCAACCCAGCCACTTGGAGATACGTCGACACTGTCGTGGCTTCTTCCTTTGTGTTCACAAAAGCGCTGACCAGGGGGGGCGTTGTGATAGGGACACTACAACCAGGTCTTGCGACAGTTGAGACGAAACTTAGATTCTCAGCCTCTTACAACTTCAAAAAAAATGCGATGCTGAATTTCTGGCATTCTGTGCGCATTTAAAGCTCACAATTTGTCAAGATGCCATTTTTTTGAATACCTTTGGCTTGCTGGATACCGCTGATGGTCCCATTGTGCTTCGAGGTGGATGCGACTGCATCCACCTCGACATCAGGGCACCTGGTGAATCTTGGAGTCGGGGTAGCCCAGGTCTCTCCTGAAATGGTGGCGACTGAACAACAAAATGTTAGACCATTGGTTTTGCAAAAATTGCAAGCATTGGGTCTTTGCATGTTTTCGCTCATTGATGTAACTTCATGTATGGCAAAAGCCGTCTCTATGATGTTAGTGGGTTCTGTATTCGGTTCGCAAGACTTGTCTAAACAGACTTACAGTGGACGAGGTCCAACATCTCTTTTGGGACATTGGTGGACTGGATGATTTGCAACCAAATCCTTGAGCCGCAAGGATCCAATCCTTGAGGGCAGCTACACCCTGTGCTACTGTGCTGGCAGTGACAGCGGGAGGCATCCTGACATGGGGTTGCTGGCGGCTGTCAGCATAATTATTAATATTATTAATGATTGCGGTTTGCAGTGTAATATGGAAATACATCATAAACATGCAACTTAACTGTAGGAATGACTGGGATCTAGGCGATGTTTTAAATGTTGTATTTAAAGACATTTGCCGATTGTCCATGAAAAGTGAACATAGCCTTTACACGTTGTTCACATGTTGTTCACCACCTGGTCAACAATCATGCGCAGCAACTTGGATTCTTCCGTTTAACCTACCTGCTTTACCTTTGCCAAGTGCAGTGCATGTCGTTACTTCTATTTTCCTTCTTCGGCCAAAGAAACCGACATTTTTTTTTTTTGAAAGCAACTGGGAACTTGTCACTTCAGGTCATTCTAAATTGTAGCGAGAGGTTGCACATGTTTTTATATTCCAATTCTCTTTCCTTTAAACAGCAGGGAGTCAAGATCTCATAGCGTGCCAGTGTGCCCCCTTACCCCCGGCACAGTGGGAGCTGTGGCTCGTCCCGGGACTTCTTCAGCTTGGCTGGGAGCCTCAAGAATGGCAATGATGGGACTTATGGGATCCCGGAATGGCCACGAAATGGTACTACTCCCAAGAGCATTGGCTTTCAATCTCTACCGGGGTGCTGCGCAGTTTGCCGATCCCACAGCCGGAATGAAAAACCCTGTGGTCTTGACACCTATCCATGTGTGCACCTGCTGAGGTTGGAACCCTGACAGTACGTGGACCAAGCAGCTCACTGGCAGCTTACTGCGTCAGGGAACCCGGTGCCGCTCCATTTCTTCGAGGGTGTTTCCATGTTTTTCTGGTGCCAAGTCTCTGCTTCTTATATTTATATATATATATACATATATATACCTCGAGTAGACATGAAGACAGAGTGATCCTTGCAATGCCCAGTTGGCAAAAATGGCTGTGGGTTGTGATTATTTATTCTTGATGATAATTCCATTACCAGAAAAAATAAACCTTATCAAACCTTATCAAACCTTATCAAACCTTATCAAACATTATCAAACATTATCAAGCATGATCAAGATCATGAATCAGCAACAGTGCCTAGGTGGTTTACAAGGCTTGCACAGTGGCCCTGTTCGGTGTGGAACTTTCCATTTGGGACGGGCTGCTGGTGAAGGATGGTACAGGCGGGGGTTGCCAACAGTGGGTCCCATTAATTGTGCCCGATTTCTCTTGCAATCCGCTGCTTGCATTGAAGGAGGCAGCTGCTACGATTCCAACGTCGTGGGTTTTGGCGTGCCTTGGAAGAACCCAATCACCCAATCACTAGTGTTACATAGAACTGTCAGGGAACTTGTGACGGAGGTGGTGGCTGTTTCATTTGCAATCCAACATTGATGCTTCTCTCCAAGAGGAAACCACAGGACACATTTGTGACACATTTGTGACACATTTGTGACACATTTGTGACACATTTGTCTCTATCCGAACTTTATCCTCCTAAAAATGCTTCTTGAATCGTGCAAAACAGCTTGGACCACTTTCAGTTCCAAGCTCCACAGCCCTTCACATTCTCACCAAGGCATCTAGCCACTTCATCAACAACCCTGCAACTTTGCCCTCAAAGGACCGTCTGGCAGGGCCAAGTGTTGTAGATGATGGATGACTGATGGATGACTGATGGATGAATGGTGGATGAATGGTGAATGAAATGGATGACGGGGGAAGATGTTCTGTAACGTCATTTTGAGGTACTCGTAGAAGTCGCTTGTGTACAACATGAGGTGCAACTGCCAAGACTATTTGAGGGCCTCTTGGAACAAGGCTGCACATATCTGCACATTGCCTTGGCATGTCAAAGCAACGGATGGAACAGGACTCGGTTGAACAATTCTTTTTCGACCTGGGTACCGCCTCGCAGACTGGCACGTGCGGATGCTCCATGGGGGAGAGAGGGAACAACGAAACATTGAAACATATTGAAACATATGCATTTCTGATCATTTCTGGCTGCTTGGTTCAGTTTTCCCGTTGGTGCCATTTGGATCCATTTGGTACGTTTCAGGTTGCTGGTAACCTACAGCAGGTACCAGCTTTGCTATTGCGCCAGCTACAGCTCCCAGGGCAGTTCTGTGTTGCTGCCTGAGAAAATGCCACAACTGGATACAACTGGGACATTCTGGGTGCTCCTTCCTGGTCAGACATTTCGCAAGATGTGGTAATATGGTAATCTGGAATTTCGAGCAGGTTCCTCTGTTGCAAATTTGCCGATGTTGAATTTTAACGCATCACCTTCCTTTGCAGTCCACAACATCTGCGGACCTGCTGGCCAAATCGAATTTAGCTCCCCGACTCCAAGAGTGAATTGACATTCTGCCATTGTGTGGTTGCTGAGGCCCTGTCAATCACCGGCCGACTTCAGCATGCAGGATGAATCCACGATGATCCATGGAAAAGTAAGTGAAAATAGTGAAAGCTGATCAGCCAAGTGTGGAGTTTACTCGGCAAACACAGGGATTCTGGTATTGCTCACATCAGTGCCTCCCTACTGCAAGTAGATGCATCCGAAGCCTGAGCAATCCAAGCAGTACATGTTCATAGTAGCACTCCCCCAACATCATTGCAGTTCTTGCCGAACAAGTGAATATGATGGAATTTGACGACGTATTGATAGGTTTTGAATTGCGCCATCGCATGTCGATCTCTTGCTCACGGTCAGGCTGGCACCCTCTATGTCCGCGGGGTTCAGCAGATCAACACAGCCAGCTATAGCTGCGTCACTTCCTCAGCAACTGGCGATGACAGATCTTGACACATCTTGACAACATCAAAGCTTGGCCCTTGGTTCGTACTGCAAGTTATCCTAAGTGTACTGAAACAGTTTAGATCAGTTTAGTATAATTAATATCTATATAATATATAGTATATATATAATTATATATAAAAGATTACAAGTTCCTTATGCCTTATTCATTGGTACCAATTGATGTAGACATGCTGTAAAACGGTGGAGACAACATGGCGACGGTCAGGCCGATATCATGGCAGTTTCTTAGGTGAGATCCTCCAAGGGCGACGGTGAAGCCGAGTGCGCTTTGCCGGTGTCGAGCTCAATAGGGGTGGCATGGTATGGGCCAGGCTTGCGAATTTCAGGCACAGCGAAGTTGGCTGCATTTCAAGTGTTGGTGTTGTTTCGCATCTAGGCGAAATGTACGAAGATCTTAAAATCTCTCATTGACTCATGGCTTCTTGTGTTGCACTCAAAGCTGCAATTCATGATGGGTGCGGATCCTGCCGAATGGTAACCATAACCCTTGGAGAGACCCTGACGGAGATTCCCTCCGTGAATTTTTGGTCTTAGGTGGAAGGGACTGGACTCATGGCGGTGCAGGACTGGGAAGTGTCGGAAGCGTCAACTTTTCATATCTTTGGATGTCTTTGGCCTCTATGACGAAAATGACTTTCTTGATTAATTACTGTAGTTTCTAGGTTCAGAAGGGGCAACTTTTCTGCAGGACAAGATGCTGGTGATCCCCGTTACCACCACTGGCAATTCATCCTGCGGTGAGGCAGGAACAGCTTTTGAGAGGACACCGGAACGGTGTTTGTTGCAGTCTAGCACGTGTAAATACTCATGGGATGGGAAGATTGGGAAGAGATGAATAAGAAACTGAAACCAACAAATAGGAAGAGTAAGAAGAAGGAGAAGAAGGAGAAGAAGGGAGAAGGATAAGAAGGCGAAGATGGGAGAGAGCAGAAGGAAAAGGACACCATAGGAGAGATGGAAGAAGCATCGCAAAGGTACATTGTTTGGTCAGACAACTCTTATAAACAAGTTGAGTTGAATAGCATTGAATAGCAATACTCCGCGACTCACCTTTTTCTGGGAAGGTTTCAGTGCAGCTCAGCACGCCCAATTTTTGCCCAGGTGGAGCCATCTCCCACCTTCGGTATCAGCCTGGTGGCCAATCGGAAATCACAAAGAATGGCCCACCGGATTGCTGGGTGACTTTGGATTCCCTCGGTTTACTTCACCTGAAGTCACTGAAGTCTTATTGAAGTCTTGAAGTCTGTCTGAATGCCGATCCGTTCTTGCAGGCCCGCTCATTATGTTCATTAGTGATTCATTAGGGCTTGTGGCTCCATGATCTTACAATGTTAGAGCAGCTTGCCTGTTCTGGGATGGCCCAGGTCCGAATCCAGTGCCCTTGAGCATTTCCACCAGCAATGCTACTGAGCTCACATCAGATGGCTTGTTGGACTTGTTGCTTGTGTATTGGAGCGATTCAATTTGATTTTAGTTTTTGGAGACGCAGTCAGACGTGGTCCCATTGTACTATGTCACTGAAATAGGAGATGCCATGGTCAAGGCACTGCAAAGATCTGCAAAGATTGACAGTCAGCCATGGAAAACCAGCAGCTGAGCATCTGCCAAATGCGCCAAATGCATCAGATTTCCTGAAGGTGACCCGCTGGGGCGCTGTTGATTCTGCCAGTGTAGCGCAGTGGACAGTACAAAGGCGGGTTGATTGAGTTGATTGAGGTTGGTGGAGTACCCATACCCTGTAATGGGACATGCTGACAGGTATCAAACCTGCAAAGGTGAATGGAGATTCCTCCAGGGGTTGCCTTCATTGTTGGCGCCTGCACACGTGCTGCAGGCTGGAACAACCTGGCAATTACCAAGTTTGCTACTGCGCTGACTCACCAGAAGCTCGCCTTGTAATCAGATTCAGATGGATCTCTTCAAGATGCATTTTTTGAAACAGAGGCACAGTAGTTCATGGATATTATATATCATACATATATCATACATATATTATACATATATATACATATATCATATACATATATATATATATATATATATCATACATATATATACATATATCATATACATATATATATATATATCATACATATATATATATGTATATATATATATATATATCATACATATATATATACACACATATATACATATACATACATATTATACCATAATATAAATATATACCCCATAGAGATATTATGATCTATGACAATATGACAATGGTATGTATAACTACACCCGATAAGCCTCGCTAGGCCAACTTAAAAGAACGCGCGATATTTCATGGCTGCTTTTACAGCTTCGTTGAATGACTTGCCCTCATTTGCTCAGATGCACTAACAACTCTCCCCTTCTCTTCCACAAAGACAACGCATTCCAACTTCCATAGCTTGTCCACACCCCCTATCCTGGATCCCTCAGCAAAGGACGGATCATTAGATAGCCGTGGTGAATGCTTCAGCGGTGCTGCTGGCTTCTATCACGAGGCAGTTGGATGCACTTTTTTCTGGGGGCCTGAAGATCTACTGCAAGTCAGTTCTGGTAATTGTTCAAATTTGATATGTTCAGATTCTGAAGTATGGCTTGATTCTGTGGGGACCCAACTCTATTTTGCTAGTAGATATACATTAGATATCATTAGATTAGAAAGGATAGATTCAATATTTGATATTGTCTTGATTGTATTTCATGATTTAATATTACTTGCGTCAGCACGTCCATGGCGTCGGTTGTGTTCCCAATCCAAGCCCTGCAGATGGGAAGTCTGGAAGTGCGTGGAGCTGACCCCGCACAAATGCATCAACCTGAGACTCACCCAGAGGATGTGCTGACAAGTGAAGAGAAGATGGCAGGTGAAAGACCACAGAACATCATGATCTTAATGAATTGTAAAAAGAATTGTAAACAGGTCCTGTCTGTAGATTTGCCAGGGCCGCAAATACCTTCACATCCGGTGACCATTTGTGTTGTCCAAGTAATAACATATAAATATATAACATGTAACAAAATATGACGATTCAAAGATCATGATCTGCACCAGTGTCATCCAGTGTCACAACGTCCAGGTTCCTTTGTGTGCCCGGGAAGACCTGTGAATTCGTGGTGACCGGTGTGAACCTCTCCATTTCTGACAAGGCCAGGCCCCCAGGATGGCCCCAGGATGGCCCCGCCCTGGATCCCATCTGCCACTCCATCGCAGGTTCGCCTGGTGGGACCAGAGGAGCACTGCTTTGCTGTGAATGATGGATGATACTGGCCTGCCACAGTATTTAACATACATTAACAGTACATTAACCACATAGTACAATGTCTAAAGGCACTCTTGTCTCTCCTCAAAAAACTGTGGAAAAGACACCTGGTTGCCACAGCCCACATTGTGGACGTACGTGGATGTTGCTTGGACGTTGCTTCAGTGCATTCGGCGCAGGACAGCTGTTCCAGACCCAAGCCCTTGGTCACTGCCACGAAGATCGATTTCAACCAGGCAGCCGAGGCCAACCAGTCCTCTGCCAGGCCTGCAACTTGGCATTTCTACCAGCTTCGTTCTGGTTGACGAAATGTTTACAGCAGAATCCAGATCTAACCAGTGGAATCCAGTGGACCAGGGATGTTGACACAATCTCCAAGAGCCCGGCGACGATCTTTCTGGACTTCAAAAATCATTTTTTTGGGGCAAATACCAGACACCAAATCATGCGATAGGTGATGATAGGTGAGCCAAAAGCCACATGTCAGGTTTGACTTGGGGCTGTTGGAGTTGACCCGGCCAATGGCACTTCGCTTGTGCTACTGCGCGAGCTACAATCGTGATGGGCAGGCATGGTGAAGGTTGATGGATGGCATCCCCCGTCACATCCATCACTGAATTGTGGTCCAGTATGGTCCATGGCCCCTCAATCCCCTCAGCAATTCTCATTAATATCGACTGAAATTGATCCAACATGATCCAACATGATCCATCCACAAATCGGCTTTAATTCATTCTGGTAGATTCTGGTAGAAATCTGGATAGACCACTGGTAGACTGGTAGATATCAAAAAACGCCACAGAACCGCGACACAACCGCTGTCAGATTCAGGGCAGCGACTGTTCGGACGTTGCGGACTTCACTCATGCCGCGGGTGTCGTCAACGTTGCAATTTGTCGCTTGGAAATGTCAAAAGTTTATCAACATCTGTCAACATCTGTCAACATTTCCAACAGTTTATCCAATTGTCATCCAATTTTCATCCATTTTCACATTTTTCCCCAGTTTTCCTTCAGTTTCCATGGTGCTCTTGGTTTACCCAACCATGTTCTGCTTCCTAATCCGTGGCAGTGTTTTTAGGTCCAATTCCTCCTGGTGGTGGCACCTTTGTGGTGCCAGTGCAGGAGCAGGTTTTTTTTCACGCGATTTTCATGTCTTTTCAATGTAAAAATTAGATGTTCAAAATGTCTTGAATGTCTTGAGACTTTTCAGGTAGGTCATATACTGATATATACTGCGTATACTGATGTATACTGGTCATATAATACATCATAGTGAAGTAAGTGTGCGTTCCAGAATTGGCGACGGTGGTGGTGATCATGATGATGGTGGTGGTGGTGATGGTGATAGCGATGGTGATAATGAGGATGCGGGAGGCAGGAGAGGTACCACTATGCGCAGGGACCTTGGACTGACACATCCCCTGATGATGTGCAGGACGTCTACGGAGACCCTGGCGACCCAAAGTTTCGCTTCTATTCCTTGCCCGCCCGATGTCTCAGTCGTCCTACAGGTGCGATAGGCAGTTTACTAAGGCACTCATGTGTGTCTGTGTCTATGTGTGTGTGTGTGTGTTTGTGTGTGCATGGAGGACAGGCAGCACCAAGAGCAGCAGCTTAGAAGGTAGTACTTGTAAGATCTTGTAAGTAGTTTGTGTATATTATTGTATATTTTATAGTTCGTGTATAGCTAGCATGAGAAGTGGCTACTTCACAAGTACAATTCATTGGTTGAGCATCTGCAAGTTTAATCCACATTTCAGTGCCTTGGTCACTGCCCAAGGCATGGCTTTGTCATGATGCTGGGTCAAGGACAGCACGGGGAGAGTGACGTCCGCTTCATCGTTGCATGACAGTTTGAATGCCCAAGAAGCTTGATGTCATCCTTTGCTAAAACTTTTAGCATTTGTTTCTTTTTGGATGCCGGATCTGAATTCCGATCTCTAGAGTCTCAAGAAATTGACAATGTCATTTGAAGTCTTGCCGCTTAGTTGTGCGGCATTTGGGGCTGAAGCGCCTGAAGCGCCTGAAGCATGCGCCAGAACATCTTCGGACATTGCGAAGTATCAGTGACCTCGGCTTGAGTTCGAACGCTTCGGTGCCTGGTTCCCTACTCTGCGTCATGTTCTGCAACTCTGCATTGATTTCGGAAGACAGGCACTCAATCATCTATTCTCTTCCAATCCACCTGGTCCAGCTTTAAATGGGAATCATTTCTGTTTCGTTGTTCGTCAAAACGACTTTCTTGTTGCTTATCTTAGCATTGTGCCCACGAGAGTGATTGCTCGAACGGCAAGCAAAGGGAATGTGCGAACGGCAAGTACAACAAAGATTGAACACCTTGATGTTGATTGTTTGTGCACAATGATGTACTATAAGAAAATTAGTATACAATGATGTACGTACCATAAGAAAGTTTCAGGCCTTACAACTTACAACTGGTGGTGGATCAGTGGCCACCCCAATCAGTCGCCATCGCCAGGTCCATCATGCTGTTGGGCAGTGGTGGTCTGGCTCCCAAGAATTTGCACAGAGTTGCACACTGTGTTGAGGTTTAGGATATGGCTTTGTGCCATTTATTGATTGGGTCTTGAAAAAGTCCTCACATCTGAAGACGGGCCTTTTGCGGCAGTATCTGTCCCAGAAAGTTTTGAAAGTAGGTGCAGCCGGATGTGTATGTTCGAACCACATTTTCTGATGGTAGTGCAAGCCAGCGCATGGTACTTTGGTGTCTCTGTCCACATTCAATGTGCTGACAAACCCTGGCAACAGCTCAACCATGGCATTCGCATTTCAATCAACCTGAGATGTCAAGCTTGTCAAGGTTTCAATAGTCCATAGGTTTCAATCATCGGTGGCTTGCAGTAAATAGTATCCATTACTTGTACTATCCCATTAGTATCCCATTAGTTTGCCATTCGTTTGCCATTCGTTTCCCATTAATATCCCATTAGTTTCCCACTATTTTCCCATATTTTCCCATTAATATCCCATTAGTTTCCCACTATTTTCCCATATTTTCCCATTAATATCCCATTAGTTTCCCACTAGTTTCCCATATTTTCCCGTTAATATCCCATTAGTTTCCCACTAGTTTCCCATATGTTCCCATTAATATCCCATTAGTTTCCCACTAGTTTCCCATATTTTCCCATTAATATCCCATTAGTTTCCCACTAGTTTCCCATATCTTCCCGTTAATATCCCATGAGTTTCCCATATTAATATCCCATATTTCTCATTGATGGTTCCATATTATCCTATCATATCCCACCAGGATCAATGGAACCATCACCCAGGCCTTGAAGGCAAGGGAGGAGCTAGTGGCGATGAAGACCTGGCTGCGAACTCAGGGGAGGTTCCAATCCAAAAACAGAAAACTAGGTACATCATGCTACATCTCTAGATGACGTTAGATGATGTTAGATGTAGTTCTGTTAATTAGATGTTTCTGTTTTTTTTTTCATATTTTGTCCAGAATTGCATCTAACAGATCAGTAGATCTATGTAGATCTTGAATGTTCACGACCCCTGGAACAGATCGGCCCGGCAAGCAGCGTAGCTTGCAGCAAGGTCTACTCCAGCCGCGTAGCACAATGCATACCGGGCATTGAGGCAGCTGTGCCCAGGCGAGGATACTTGGATCATCCACGCGCCCACAAGGGTGTCCGATTCCTCCAATCATCGGAATTGATTGGAACTGAATATGTATGACATTTTGTATGGTTTTCTTTGAAAGCTGCAGGATTTGAGGTACACCATCATGGCATATCATGGCACCCCAAACTAAGCTCATGTTGAAGACCTTTCTGTAAGAAGGGCATTCACAAAGTCTTCAGCTCTGTCCCTGAATTTCAGACTCCTTTTGGTCTCCTGCTGGGGTGTTGTAGGCAACTTTCCATGTTCAGGACGTATGTGCCTTCAAGTGAAATCCATGCACATGGAGATGTTTCCACAGCAATTCTGCTCTCAAGAAGTTCACTCTGATTAACACCTGTTCGAATCCGGTCTTTTAGTCTGAGATGCCAGCCATCCGTAGCCGTACTTCGCAAGAAATTTCAAGGACACATTTTCGTCAGTTTTTGCCAGGTTCCCCAACTCCAACATCTCCACCACAGATGTCTCCGTGGTTGGAGGCGATATAAAAATGGCTGCTTGTAGATGCCAAGAGTGAAAGTGGTCTTTCAGAGAATGCCATCAGATGATTTTTTTTTCATTCTCGAGAAGATTGCAGCAATCTGGTGACTTCAGATACTTCAGAGTCCTGATGGAAGAGATTTCCAGCTCTTGCCAAATCCATCATCACACTTTTTTTAAAACCATTTAAAGGTGCGGGGGCAAACATCAATGGCTTGCCCATCGACACTGGCTTTCGATTGTCCAAACCATAGTGATTTGCTGGGACTCCGACCCCGTGATTTTCGAGGACGCATTCCTGTATTCCCCCTCGCTCTGAATGTAGCATTAACGCAAGCTCTTGTCCGGAAGTATCTGTTCATTTGAGCTATTTACAGTCTGATTTTGGACATAGCCACATGATGTCACATGCCATATGGATCAAAACGCTAGCAGCTTATAGTTCGCATAGTAGTTCAATGTAGTTCACATCAAATAGCTGGTAGCATGTGGTACCTATGGATGTTCATCCCATGTATCACCATCCAATATGGTCGATCCCCGAGGCAAGGCTCCATGAGCCTTTCGGATGAGCGTGGCAACATGTCAGGGACTTAGCTGGGATGGAGCTCCTGGGTGGTATGCCTTGTCAGAATCATTCAGCAATCTTCACAGACAATCCAGGGTCATTGCTTGTCATCTAGCAACGCCCTGTACATGTCATGTATCAATGGACGGTGTGCTTGTGAACAGGCAGACCTGCATGTCCTGGGAGGCACTGCGAGATGTGCTGGGGGTGATGTAACTTCCATTGCATTTCTAATATTTCTTAAACAGTGAAATCAAGATGATGATTCCAGTCCGTACCATGCTTTCCGCCGCAAGAGCATGAGCACGGGGGCCACAACAACGGAGCACATATTGGAGCTTGCATGCTGGCTGAAACGAATCATAAAATATCTTATTATATATATATATATTATAAATAATATATATATATATCGATCTAGCCCAGGTGGTCCAACAGGATGTAGAACCCAAGCCACCCAAGACAAAGACCAGCCAAGCAGCGCCCGAAGTCTGCGTAGGCAATCTCTCCTTTTCCACCAAACAGCGTCGAAGCGGTTGAACCGCCAGTGCCATCAGGTAGCCCAAGGGCGCCCTATGCGCAGCATGGGCCACATATTGCGGACATGATTTGTCCTTGGTAAATCGACCTGTGCACAACAGGTAATGCAAATGAGATGGTGTGAACCTTACATCGACACGGGCCCAAAAGGGAAAATTTGGCCATGGTCGATTTGGCTGTACAAAAAGGTCAGGACCTGTAGACGGTCTGGATGTCCACAGAATCCCCTACAACACGTATTGTGTTGAGCTCGGCTCTCAGGCGTCTTGCGAATGCCGCCGCTGGCCCGTTCATCTCCTCAAAGTGGATCCCCAGCAGCAGCGCATCCTCGTTGGCCTGCAGCAATGCATCACGATGCTGCCTGCCAATGCCATCCCACTCCTCAGGGTGAAGTGGAATCTCCACAGTCGGACTTCCACCGCATTGAATGCGGTCGATCTCTTCTTGGGTCAGGTAGTCTTCGATGGAAGGCCGAAGACTTTCTCTGAAGGCATCACGCCTCCTGTTGACCTCCTCATCGCTCCGGATCGTCAAGCCGTACAGCATGCAGTGTCTGATCTCTGCAGCTGTCATCCGTTGCACGTCGGTTCGGCGTGCTGGGTCAGGCATGAGCCCTTGATTTCGAAGCTCCTCGATGGAGAGGGATTCCTCTGAACTGCTTCCATCGTTTTCGGTTTGTGGTTCTGCATTGGGTTGTTCTGGTAGCTGAGCTGGTAGCTGAGCTGGTAGCTGAGCATGGCGTCGTTGCCATTCACGATGTCCTGCACACTTGCCCATGAAGAAGGCGGCAAGGATGACAAAGATCACCACAAAGCCAATGACCAGGGTCTTGCCGTAGATGGTGACCAGGAAGTTGCCATAGACGATGAAGTCGCTGATCTTGTACCCCTCGGCTGGCAGGATCTGCGTCGCCAGTGAGAGTCCCCATAGAGCTCCTCCAGGGTTTTCTTCGTTGATCTCCTTCTTCGTCTTTTTGTGCTGGTGAGCATGGAAGTGCCGTTTGGAGCAATAGCGTTTGCCCTCTTCGGCTGCAAGTCCACAGCCAGGAAGCAGACACAGCTTGCATTCCTCAAGCTGCTCTTCATCCATGTCTCTGATCGTGTAGATGCCCTCCTCAATGCGCTTCTTGTTCTCGAACTCCTGTGCCGCATGATCCAAGGCATCTTGCTCATCTTGCTTGTCTTCCTTCTTGACTTTCTTCGAAGCAACCCCTTGAGGGTCGTAGAACAAGCAGTGCATTCTGCGTTTCAGCTCCATTGCCAGCTTTTGTCGTGCCGACGCTTTCGTCATTCCATCAGCCAATTGCTGGTGGCTGTTGCACCACTTCAGCATGCCTCCTGCTGCAGCCATTCTCTCGCAACTCATCTTGATTTCAATGGCTGTCCTTTTCTCAGCCAATTTCATTCCAGGGGCTTTGCTGACACTGGCATCGTAGAGAGCTCGGGCGTCGGTGATGCATGGTGACTCACCGAGCCATTTCATGATCTCCTCGTTGTCGGGTTTCTGGTTCGGCCAGATCATCAAAGCAAACATGCTTTTCAGCCATTCCAGTGAATCGATTGCCATTGCCATTGTCTGCGCTTCAGCAGCCAGTGAGCTTCGGCACACCCGAGTCAGGCGTTTGCTCGCCCAGTCGATGACCGTCAGGGGAAAGGGTTTGGTGCCATTGAGCTCCTCGGAGTTGGTCACAAAGATGATCCAACCTCCTTGTGATGACCCGTCTGGTCTGGTTGCCCAGCTGGCGTCACAGTACATCCCGAAGCGAACTTCGTGAAGTGCTCCGTGGGACCTGATCACCAGGTGAGTGCCCGCAGATTCTTTGGCAAATCTCAAAGTTTTGTTCACATCCAGCAAGTCGCTGATGCAAGCCGATGAAGTGGCTGATTGAGCCAGGGACACCGATGCCGCCAGGTGTGGTTGTGTTTGGAAGGAAGGCCAGGCAAGAGCTCCCAGCAATCCCCTGAGCTGTGATTGCTCACGTGGGGTGACTCGCTCATTGGGCTGCGTCTTGCGGAACTTCTCCACAGTGAGTGGCTTCAGCTGATGGATGTACTTCTCCAAGTTGAAGGTTACGGCTGTGCCATCAAAGGATTGAGCCATAGTCGTGCCGCAGAAGACCTGGTTGTCGTGGTACTCGATGGATCCAAACTTGAAGCGATGCAGTAGCACATGAAGTCGTTCTGCAAAGCAGCATGGTTGATCACCTTGTGGGGCGATTGCGTCGTCAGGGCTGTTGACACCCTCACCGCAAGCCATGATGTCATCCACGTGGATTCCAAAGAGTCCATCCACGACCCATCGTTGTCCATCCATCTCAAAGACACAGAACTCGTGGTCGTCCTTGGTGGCCAAGCGGACAGAGATGTAGATGCACCCGTCCAGCTCATGCTTGAGCAAACCAACTTCGCACACCAAGGCTTTGTCAGCTGTTTCATTCCATTGTCGAGGTGCCCGGACGTCACCGAAGGCCGGCTTGGTCATCTGCATGACTTGGTGTTCCAAGAGTCCAATCATCTCTGCAAGCAACCGACGCATGTCAGCTGATGGCTCACCATAGATCTCAACCTCCTGGTGGATGTAGTCGCTCTGAAGGAAAGCACTCTTGACGTCCATGGTGCCAACACGCCATCGTTTGGTGCAGGCAAAGAGGACCATGAGGTACTTGCCCAACCTTGAGAGTGTTGGTGACTCAGTGTCGAGCTTGGACTCCACCACGTCTTTGTGCTTGAAGCCTTGCAGGATGACTCTCGCATGGGGCTTGTTCTCCTTGTAGCGCAAGAGGAAGCGCATGGGAACCAGTGTGCCTTTGGGGCATCGAGCTCGGTCCACAGGTCGCCAGGCATCATTCTCAGTCCAGGGTGCCAAAGCTTTTCTCTTGGCCTCGACAAACGTCTTGCGCTCTTCAGGGCTCAGACGGCTTTCGACCACCGTCTGCAAGATCTCTTCTTGAGCGATCTCGACCATGCGGATCTCTTCAGTCCTGGCTTGCTTCTGTTGAGGTTGCCCGTCATGAGCACGAGGTGGTAGGCCATCAAGTCGTCGAGCTTGATTGTCAGAAAGTTGACCAGCCAGTCGGATTGCCCTTTCATAGTCCCGTCGCTCTCGAGCACGGTCATCTCCTCCAGGGTCGTTGATGGAGGGGTTCTCGGCAATGTCGTTTCGAGCCTCCAGGGCATCTGGGTTGATCTGTCTCATCACCTCCTTCATTGTTTTCTGTTCATCAGTCATGAGATCTTCAGGCGCTACCGCCTGATCATCTTCGGCTTGCTCTGTTTCCCCTTCCGGAAGTTCTGCCCCAAATCCAAGTCCAAAGGGTGAATCTCCTCCAGTCGGGAATTTCTCACGAGCCATTTCAGCCGTTCTCATCTCGGCCTTGTGCTTCTCCTTGTCTCTGTGCTTTCTTCGTTTCTTCTTCTTCTTGACCACGCCCTCGCCGGTTTCATGTTCTTCCTCATCTTCAGATTCGACCGTTTTTGGTGGATCAGCCGGTTCATGAGGTGGCATTGAAGTGGTAGTGGGTGCCGGCATGGATGAAGCGTGAGTGGAATCGTGTCCCCCCAAAGAAGGGAAATCATCAGGAGTCTGGGCCTTGGCGGCTAAATCCAACCCGCGCACTGGCCCACGCACAGGACGGAGAGCTTGAAGAACTCGCTCAGCCATGGGTCGTTGAAGATCATTTTCAGCTCCAGGTCGGAGTTGGCGTTCATATCGTTCAGGGACAGTTTCATGTCGAAGCTGCTGTCTCGTGGCACGGACCAAAGAGCTTCCATGGACGATCCAGTAGATCATGTTGGCCCGATCCATAGCGGCCTCCACTGCAATGACCATGCAGGGGCCTCTCCATCGGAAAGGATCAAGCTTGTGAGTCTGAGGCTTCCAGTAGAAGACGTAGTCCCCCACCATGAGTTCATCCTCCTCGACTCGAGACCGAGCCAGAGCTGCAGCACGAAGTGCCAAGTCTTGGTTCGCCTTGTGAAAGGCAATGGCGGCCTTCTGCTTGACCTCCAAGATCCGAGGTAGATCAGCTTGATCTCCAAAGCTTTCAGGACCAGGTTCGTCCATGTTTCCACCTTCAGATGGAACATAGCCAAATGCCAAAGTGGCAGGCGTTGACCCTTTCACTGAGCTGAGCCGATTTCGTTGATGAGCTGTGACTTGAAGAGCCTTGTCAAAGGTGCAGTCAGGCATCTCCTGCTTGAAGACCTCGAGCATCTTCCTGCGAACTGCATGGTTGCGTTCCAGGATGCCAAGTCTGTGATGAGCTCCACGAGGTATGAGTTCAAGTCGGATGCCGTGTGCTGATGCCCAATCTGCATAGGATTCACCTTGATGGGGACCAGAAGCATCCAGTCGAAGCACCTTGGGGTAGCCGAAGGATTTCGACCACACCGACTCAAACAAGCCAATCTCCATCTCGGCTGTTTCTTCTTTGATCTCACAGTCAACCTCGTATCGGCTGAACTCATCCAAGATGGACAAAACTGCCTTTTTCTCCTTGTCCCACTCCAGGTAGAAGGTGTCCAAAGCCACAGTGTGGTTGAAGTGTGGGCTTTTGTGAAGGGTTGCAACCTTCACACATTTTGGTTTCGCCTTTGCTAGGCACTGAGGACACTTGTAGCGTCGAGCCACTTGCACATACTCATCAGGCATGTGTCTGACCTTGGCAGCCAATGCCAACTTGGATCCATTGGGGTGTCCAAGCTGTCGATGCAATAAGGCCACTGACTTGAGGACTTCAGTGCCCCCAATCTTGACCAATTCCTTGTTCTGCTCCAAGTACTGCATCTCTTCGTTGGATTTCTCCACCATGTCGAGCATCATGAGGTCAGCTTGGCCACGTCGGATCCAGATTTCCTCCATGGACTGGTAGATGGCGTTGCCCATTCGTCGAACCATGTCGGGCTCATAGTTTTGCATCTTCTTCAAAACTGCTCCACGGCCCATCATCTGAGTGTGCCCGTTGGTGCACTGACAGCGCAAGTTGACAGATTCGCACACCCGTCTCGCTGAAGACCGGATCATGGTGGGCTTCCGCACATATCTGGGATCATCAGGCGATGCCTTAAGTCCAGTTCGGCATCTGTCCAAGACGGTCTCAAAGTAGCCCTTCACCCGCTGGAGTGTGTCAGTCTTCCAAGACATGGCGTCAGCTGGTTGCTCCAGAGTGCAGTCAGCATGGATTGCTTTGCAATCGTTGTGGACGTTCTCGTAGAACTTCAAGTGCGTCTCCTCTTCCAGGTTTCGCATGTCCTGCAGGAGTTTCTTCTGTTCAGGAGTCTTGTAGTTCATGTTTTGCATGGGAGACCACAAACGGCATTCTGGTGCCATGAGCACATGGTGAGGTTTCTCCTCAGCCAGCATTTTGCGGAAGTCTCGTTGAGCTTCCCTGCATTCGAAGTTCCATTGTGGAAGGGAGAATTGATGGACCTCCACGTCGGGGAAGTTCTTGATCAGATACTTGCCCAGGTTGCCTTCGTCGACATAGACTTCCCAGAACTTCAGTTTTCTGTCGCTCAGCTTGCTTTTCTCGACAGCGCTGAACACACATTGGTCGATCATGTCTTCACCGACATCAACTTCCAAGTCCATCTCCTCATCAGAGATCTGCTCGGTGATGACGCTGTCCAAGAACACCTGTTCATCGTCGTCGTTCTTCACAAAGAGGTCGTTGATCTGCAAGACATCCTGCAAGTCGTCAAAGATGTTGATCATGTAGTGCCCGTTGGCCGTCAAGACAGGTTTGATCTCCACACCATCGATGTAGATCATCTTCTTGCCGTAGTCCACCATGACGTTCCAAGCTTCCAGATCAGGTCGTGCAAGAAGTAGAGGTGTGTGACCGGGCAGCAGATGAATCACCAGATCTCTCCATGTCTTGCCAACACAAACTGGTGTTCTGGCACAGTAGTGAGATCGCACAGTGACCCCATCACCGAACCTGAAATCCCTTGAATCTCGAACAACTTCAGCTTCAAGGTCACGCATGGTCAGGTATTTGCTGATCCTCTCCCAGGTTGCTTCTCCACAAACAGTGCGAGTTGCACCGCTGTCCATGATTGCCCAACCAGCTCCTTGGGAGACGTAGTTGATCTCTTCATGCTGGTTGAATTCCCCTGGGATTGGCGTAGCACCATATGGCTCTTCGACCATGTTTGCCTCATCTGGGACTTCTTTGATGCCAGATGCTGGCAACCGATATCGTTTGAATCGAGGACCATGCTGTGAGGTACTCCCACTCGTCGTTGATCGTGCCGTTGTCGATGTCGCTGATGTGGATCCACCTTCGGAAGGCGACTTCCGACCAAAGACAAAACGTCGGGCTCCAGGAAGTGGTTGGTTGAAACTCTTGCCACTGCCCTTGCCCTTGCTCTTACCACCACCTTTGCCCTTTGACTTCCCTTTGGATTTGCCTCCACCGCCAGAGTTGCGGCCTTTCCCATAGGATTTGCCACCACCCTTGCCGTAGTTGTCATTCATGTCAATGGCAACCACCGGGTAGAACCCACGGGAGAGAGCTAATTCCCTCATCTTGCGACGGCTGTCCAAGTAGTTGATGCAGGCATCCTCAACCACCAACGTTGCCTCGTCGAGGTCCTGAGGGATCTCATCGTCGGCCACAGTGTCCTGGTAGTAGGCATCATCCATGTAGTCGTCATAGTAGTAGGTCTCATAGGCCTCGTCATCATCCATGTCGTTGTCAACCATGTGGACGTCATTGCGGAAGGTGGTGTCCTTTGCATTGGGCTTGCTGTCACCGCCAAACATTCTAGTCAGGGATCTTGCAACACCATCCACGGTCAGATTGCCATTGCACATCGCTTTGACCTGTGGATGTGTCCACCGCGGCACCCCCGATCTCGTCAAGAGATGCCATCCTGCAAGCAGAGGTGGGACGTCAACCTGCAAGTCCTTGAGCTTCTTCAGCATGGTGGCGTGTCTCACCAAGTAGGCTTGTAGCTCTTCTTGGCGTTCTCTCTGAAACTGCTCAAAGAATTCCTGGCACCGTTCTGGTAGTTCAACTTCTTCTTCATGTTGAAACAAGGTGTCCAAGACCTTGACAATGGGCTTGAAGGGGTCGTCCGACAGCTCGATGTCGTCGTAGTCGATGCTTTCAGAAGCATCCCAAGCCACGTCTTGTAGCTGAGAAAGCACCAAGAAAGCGCCCTCCACAGCCACTGATGCCCCCCGTCGCCGACATTGTCGTGAGAACAGGTCCAGTCTTCTCCTGAAAGACCGGTAGGTCTTTTGACTAAGCCCCTGAGCTGATGGAGCTGCTTTTGCAAGGCCTGAGTCAAGGCCGCGTTCGTAGCTCTGTTGCCCAGGTGCTCCTCCATCTCCATTGGCCGTCAACGCAGCAGTTGCTGCAGGCGGCAGTGGTTGCGCAGCTTTGCTTGCCGCTCCATTTCCACCGTTTCCACCACCAGGCATGTTGCCAAAGAGCTCGGCCAGGGCGATGTCCTCCGGCAGGAAGTAGAAGCGCCGCGGCAGCCCAGGATGGGCTCCGCTACCAATATCGATCTAGCCCAGGTGGTCCAACAGGATGTAGAACCCAAGCCACCCAAGACAAAGACCAGCCAAGCAGCGCCCGAAGTCTGCGTAGGCAATCTCTCCTTTTCCACCAAACAGCGTCGAAGCGGTTGAACCGCCAGTGCCATCAGGTAGCCCAAGGGCGCCCTATGCGCAGCATGGGCCACATATTGCGGACATGATTTGTCCTTGGTAAATCGACCTGTGCACAACAGGTAATGCAAATGAGATGGTGTGAACCTTACATCGACAATATATATATATATATATATAAGTTTTAGTCCTTTTTCAACGCAGTGTGAATGATTTTATAGATTCATTTATCGTACTTGGGACTCTCCCAGCCTAACGTTGAAGGTGGAAGTCGTCTCCTTTGGCTGTGGATGGGATGCCGCCATGACGTTTGGGGCCTAGGAACCCAACTGTTGGGACATTTTCAGACGGGAACCAGGGGGCAGTGATGAGGTTGAACATATAGGTGAACTTAGGAGACATATTAAATGAAATATGGCGACAAAGTAACATTCGCACATGATATCATGAAAATTGGCTGTAAGTTTATGGAATGAGAAACCATTAAAAAAAATGGCTGTTTATATATGCAATTGTTGTTGCTATTTTTTGGCGGTCGCCAAAGCTGTTCTGCGTAGCCTTGGTAGACCAAAGCGTTGCTATGCCTAGGTTTGGGATCGTGCTTCACCTGCTACTCTTTGTCACCATCATATGGAGTTGTTTCAGCAACCAGTGTGGGCCTCAGGGTATGCTTGGAACATCATCTATTGAATCTATTGTGTCTATGAAGTAGTTTTGCGACAGCTACTGGCACGTGCATAATCAAGTCCCCAAATGTGAGCAATTCACCGGGCTTCAAAGCCCGGCATGGGAAAAGATCACCCGCCAGATTTGTTGCACCCAGGATCTATCACTGTAGCGCTTTCTGCTCCTGGACGAAGAAGGCGCGCAGCTTCCAGTCCCACTATTTCCGGTCCATACGATCGATGCCAGAGTCCAATCAAGATTATAGAAAAACTATTGAATTATTGCCAATTGTTGCCAATTATTGCCTTCATGCTTCCTGGCTAAGTTGGTGTTCTATGCAGTTTGCTCAGGTAGAGCCCATTGTTGAGACTGACCCGGAGGAAAAGGAGGAGTCGGTCTGGAGTTCGGTATGCAAAGAGGGTTGAAGTAGTTTCTATATACATGTTTCTTCCACGTGTGCCTTTGATGACCTTATTGGGTGCATTCGATCCTTGCCTGTCCTCTACTACTGAGTCACATTGCTGTTGTATGCTGTTGTCACCATGTATCCCCGTGTCCACAAGCGCGCAGCAATCAGACCGATGACAAATTTTATTGACTTGCCAATCATATTCGTTCAATAGTTAAAGTTGTGCGTGCTTCTGCTGAGTAGGAATGTTGGGACAAGGGGGTGTACACTGAAATCTATCAAGTCCAGCTAATCACTCAGGATATGTGAGCATCTTTGATTTACAGTACATCCTGTGTTTGGATTGTGTCTGACTGAATATACACATGCTATCAAATTGGATACCATCTATGAATCTAAGAACCGCGCAGCAACACATATATTGTCATTTTGTTTGGAGATGGTTGGAGTGTGAAATAAGCTTCTCATCCAATCAGGAAAGCCAGAGTACATTGCAAGACAGCACCATAGGAGGCGTTGAGACGTGCTGCAGACGTTATTGAACTCAGTTGGGCATGAAAGACTACCTGCAAAGCATTGCAAGATCGGAACCAGGACAAGCATTTCCTTTCCATAGCATTGGGTTGTAGTTTGCACCAGCCTGCCTTCAGCATCTATCAACATGCGATTCCTCATCCAACCAATCCGGGCACCAAATATGACGCCTAGGCCATCCGGAGGATGCCAACCGTCGCTACCACTGGAACCCCATCTGTGAAGGTGCGTGAGAGCTCCGGGTGGTTGATGGCTCTTGTTGCTCGATACTTATTGGATGATATTAGTATATGCTTATACGATCTTATACCATCCAATATGCTGACTGTATCACAGTATATCAACCATAACCATCTTACTGTGATGCCACAAGTCTTTGATTGAGTGTGTGTGTGTGGAAAGCCCTGAATCAAAGGGTATCAGCAGGGGGCCATCCCTGTCATCATTGGTGGATGGCCAACAAAGAGGCCAATGATGAGAGCTGTAAACGTACCTGCGAATTTCTAACTTCAGACATGGCCAGGTGGCTAAGCCATAAACCACCCATGCCGACATGACATGATAACATGACATGACATTATTTCATTTCATCTCATTTCATCTCATTTCATCCTCTCCCTTCGGGGTGTATCCAAGTGTGTCTTTCACGAGCCCGGATCTCTGATAAAGTGCCGGGGAAGCTTGGTGGTGCGTCCACCGAGGATACCAGATTACTTTCAAAATTTCCCAGACATCATGTTGCCAGAAGCAGATTCCGCACAAGCATCCAGATGTTGCTTATCAGAATTCTCCAGCAGAAGCAGAGTCCTTCAGAAATCGCCAGATTATATTTCAGAATTCGCCAGTATACAGATTTTTCATCCCCAGATTTCAACTTGTCATGCACGATTCATGTTCACCTAGCAATCATGTCGCAACCAAGCACTGAGAGAAACAGCACCATGCCGTTACCAGCCTTTTTTGTCGGTCGTTGGTTGCTTGCTGAACAGCCGGAAATTCTGATGCAGTGGTTTGCTTTTGTCAGCCGGAAATTGCACTGAACGCCTTGAAACTTCCTTTGGTTTTTGTTGGAGCAAGCAAAACGCCACACCTCATTGGTGACACCCACGACCCATGCACACAGACATTTGAGCACCCCGTTCCATGTCACAACCCAGCACTGAGGGAAACAGCACCATGCCGTTGCCAGCCTTGTTTGTCGGTCGTTGGTTGCTTGCTGAACAGCCGGAAACTCTGATGCAGTGGTTTGCTGTTATCGGCCTATTCCGTGGAACTTCAGGTTTTTTGTTGGGGCAAGCAACACAATGCCACAGACATTTGAGCACCATCTTCCATGTCACAACACAACACCGTGGGAAGTGGGAAGCAGCATGCTACATTGAGGACCATATTTCTGGTTCGCAAAATCGTGCCCAAGCGGCTTGGTGTGTGTGTGTGGAAAGACCTGAATCAAAGGGTACCAGCAGGGGCCATCCCTGTCATCATTGGTGGATGGCCAACGAAGAGGTCAACGATGAGAGCTGTAAACGTACTTGCGAATTTCTAACTTCAGACATGGCCAGGTGGCTAAGCCATAAACCACCCATGCCGACATGACATGATAACATAACATGACATGATTTCATTTCATCTCATTTCATCCTCTCCCTTCGGGGTGTATCCAAGTGTGTGTTTGATCGGAACTTGATGCTTGTCACATGTTTTTATCGTTTCCTTTTCATCAACCAGGTTTCACCCTATGGCATGAAAAATCAATCATGGGAATATCCGGTATATACACATATTTCGGAATGTGGTGAGTGGTGAGATGAAACCTACTTCCATGTACTTCCATTAATTATGGGATTCCCACTTTAATGTACTCAAGTATGGGAATTAATCCCAGAATCAATCTTTTCATATAGGAATGGGATTCCCATCTGCCAGGCCATTGCAGCGGGCGGCGCTTCCATCGAAGAGCCGGACGGCATCCGATCGCTGGTGACATGAGCTAAGCGTCATGTGTAGGGGGCATATAGTAAACCATAGAAATATGTAATACACAATATAGTAAACCCCAAAATATGCCATCCCTGATTTCGCCTCAAATAAGTTTTATGAATCATGCCAATTTTTTCTGATATTGGAGGCTTATTGGTTTTACCAAATGGACTTTCAATACGTTTTCAGGGCGGCTCAACCACCAACTTCCTGAAGTGCTGTGAAGATTATAAGATGCTGGTTGTTGAAAAGGGGTTTGAAGTTCAGTCGACATCCCAGTTTTACAGAATGTTGATGAGACGACCCTATGAAGGAGTGGGAAGGCATCATCTATGCCATGCTGACTACATTACCAACATATATATATATACACGTAGTATTTTAATATGCCTTTTTCATGGATTGTATTTGAGACCTAAATTCCCCCGACACAACTCTTGCAAGATATCAAACGCCGCTCGCTAGAAATGCCATCCAGTCGAGTCTCATTCGCGCAGAGCCCTGTGGCCCTATGATCGAACTGTGGAACATAGCAAGAAGGACTGTACGCTTGAGCCCCCACGTGAACTTACGAGAACATTTCTTACAAACAGGTTGTCACTCAAGTGATACTGTAGCACAACATCACAAAACAGTAGTCGCCACCTCTCCAACTATTGAAGTGAAAAGACAGCCTACATCTTTGCAGGGTCATACACATTTGACTCAAACTCTGGAATCGACTTCTCAAGTAGATGCAGCATGGCAGCACTAGAGTGGACAAGCCCCATCAAGCACTATCCAACAGACTCTCAACTCTTTGTTTTACATGGCAACTCTTAGACCGGCCTCGCCACTGTGAGCAATACGCTGCAGCTGAAGGCGCATAGAATTAAGGTCACTGAATGAAATTAAGGCATTTAAGACATGCATCTTGCATCTGCATCATCTTGCTACCATGAGATTCGATGATGTGGATGTAATATGATGTAATGCGCATGGTGCGCTGCGACCTCACTGATCTCTTGACTTTTTTGAGCGGGCAAAAACTGGAATTTTGGCCAGCTTTGGTGGATGGGATGGCTTAAAGGCATGTGTCCAAGGGGGTTTTCCCTCCAACCTGTATGTTGAAGACATTTACTTGATGGCGAAAACATGGAAACCAATCTTTGATACCCATAGGCAGGATTTGTTTTCCGAATTTGTGATCCACAAAACTGCTGCAGAGGCAATGTCTTGGTCCGGGCCACAGAGGAGCAAATACTGGAGCTGCGTGTTGTGGTCAAGTTTTCTGGAGACTTTAAAACATGTTGAAGCATGTTGAAACACGTGGACAGATGCAAAGCCCGTGAGTCATAAGCTGTTGATCTCTGAGGTTATGTTGCGCCAGCAGTGAGGATGGGGCTGCATATTTTGGGATAGTGGAAATTCGGTAGCATCTTTGCTTGGGAGAAGTGCTTCCCGGTCCTTTGGCTGAAGATGTAGTTTGTATTGTGTCGAGCTGTCCGATATCCCTCATCGATTCACGAACACAACCAGCTTACACCCAACATCATCAGAAATGACAGCGAGGAGGTATCGGATGCTATCGGTATCAATCAACTGACAGTATATTTCATTGCTGGCAGAATGCATGTGTGAAGTATGCAATGGCATGAGGTCAACGGATGTGATACTCTGGTTCACACACTTTGAATTCAAGCATGGTAACTGGTGTCCGCACGAACTGGGCAGGATGGCATTTGCTCTGGAACTCAAGAAGGCGACAGTATGCGACAGTAGTATCACTAGAAGCAGAGGGAGCTGTGCTGTTGTCAGCCTTCTCTCCTTGGTTGTGGTTCAGAGTATTGTGGTGGTCCCGCGTTTTTGTATCCTACCCCTTAGATCTCAAGAATCCCTTTGGACAAGACATGACCACATTTTCCATGCTTTGTCCCATTCTCGAACATTACAGCACAGCGGGGTCATTCTTGGCGGTAATGGTAATGATTGAGAATCAGCACGTCTCAAGGGCAAATGTTTCGTGATGATTTGTATGTAGCGCGTTTTGTCCTCGTTTCATGTTTTAGAAACAGCATGTCATGTTTGACTTCGAAGAGTTGGTGTCTGGACCGGAGTCTTTGACCTTTAATGATCAGACCTTTCCTTTCAGAACTTGTGAGGCAATACCATGATCATCGGCTACACTGGCTCAGTCCGCACGGCCCAGTCAGTGGACAGGCAATTGGACCGTGTTGGACCATGTTGGATCCACTTCACCTTGACTCAATTTTTCTGAGGCACCCATAAACGAGGTCAAGGGCGAGGTGCCAATGGAACAGATGGAACAGATGGAACAGATGGAACAGGGTCCTCAGCTGTACAAATTTTGCATACTTTTTACATCTTTTTACGATTTACAATTCAACTACGGCCTGCAGGTGAGACTGGTGGAAGTGAAACTTGATCTGAGCCGCTCGGCTGACATTGCCATTAGGATCATCAGGGAAGAGATGGCTGCCATGGCTGTTAGGTATCATTTCAGTGGTAAAACAAACATGACCTTGCGCCAGTAGAAAGAGTATTCAGGTATTCCAGCCAGATGCTTCTCGATTTTTTCGTTGACTGAGATCCTCTATGATTCATACATTGACCTTGGGTGATCAAAGATGCCAACAGACAATCCCCCATTTGTAGATGTTCCCATTGAAACCTCCGTTTCGCAAATGGATTTAAGCCTTGGATTTCCCGTTGTGACCCGCCATGGATGACACCAAGGCCTAGGCTCCAATGTGGGCGTAGCCTTTGATGTGCAGGACAAGAGCCACCCTGTGGTGAAGGAGGTGCTACCTCGATCTACCTGGTACAATCGTGTTGGATGATGCTGATCTGTTGGATTGATATGGATTGATGGGATATGATGGGATGGTGTAGAGAGCAACCAATGGGACTGGTGTTTTTTTTTTTAAAATACATCCAACAATTTAACATACAGTCTTCCAAAATCGATTGGATGATGTGGGATAGTTACGGACAGTTCACGGTTGAAAAGTCGCTGTTTCAACCAGCGAGCAGGTTTTCGGCGGCTTGCTGGAGATGTGGAACAGCTCCTGTTTGCCAGAGCAGGAAGTGAAGGCGTCAGATTTCAGTTACTGTATGTGTTTAAGCTATTGCCACGTTTGAAGCCGATGCAACAACAAATTCTAGAACATAAACATAGCTGAAGGATGCGGAAGGACATGATCACATTGGTACTGTGCCTCAAAAGTATCGCTTGTCTCCTACACAATCACCAGCGAAATTCAAAGGTGGTTGTGCATTGATACACATCCCTTGGGTTACCAGGTCTTTGATCGACTGGTGGAAGTGGACGGCAAAAGTGGTAGCAAAATGGATCTCTGTGACCGTCTCTCCGAACAAAAGGAGACCCGCTCCTGTGCTGTGTGCCGTGTTAGACTCTGGCCACCTGGTGACCTTGGTGATGCTTCATTTTCACACGACCATACGTGATGATACGCGCACAACATACCGTTTTCATCCGTGTTCATCCATTTTCATATGTTCTGTTCACCGAAACTCCCCTAGTAACAAGAGCAGCGACCTTCTGGGACAAATCTATGACTTTTCAGCGCGGAGGATGCTATGACGGGGACTATGGTCTTGAAATTTGCCCGACCCAAGGCACGGGTGTGGCTGGGATGGGCACAACACATGTAATGATTGGACGGCTGGATTCGGCTGGATCCCTCGCGAGTCAAGACACGACCTGGGAGACTGAGAAATATTGAGAAATGGCATGTGTGAGTGTAGCAGGCGTAGCATTACGGTAGAATTATCAGTGTGATCGCTGTGATCGTGATTATTTGGTTGCAGACACCTCATCACACCTATGACCAAAAATGCTTTGCTGTTTCACATCCTTGTTCAAACCATGCTGCTCAGCAGAACGGAGGAGAAGAAAGTGACTCTGAAAAAGAAAGAAGGATTGGGTTGAATTTTGGGAGGTCAAGTGCCATTGCCATTTGCTGCCAGCATGCTACCAGATCCATGTCATCTCAAAAAGCGTTCAGTCCGCCTCCAAATCCTTCTGTTTGACTGCCGTGTGACTTTGGAACTCGAAACAGCTCGAGACTGCTCTGGGAGTATATTCGGAGTAGAAAGCACGGTTCTACAAACTCTGTGCCCAGTGTTTGGACACATGTCTATATAATGTTTATCAATGCGAGGCAAGGATTTTGGAGTTACTTTAAACTACTACAAGTCTTCGATGAAGGTGATCATCGCAGGCACCGGATACGTCAGGCTTTTGCCATGCTTTGAATTTAGGCAGTCAGCTCAAAGCTTCCTACTTGTGATTCATGAATATTCATCAATATTCATGATATCATATTTGGAAACTGCCGGAAGTGCATTGATGCTGTGGTTCGGCTGAAGTACACCAGCAGCCGGGCCTGGGACCAGGTGTTGAACCTAATGGCATCACTGCCGACTGGAATGAACAGCATCCTGACACCCCAGAGCGGGAGCTCAGAAAGCTCAACAGATCGGGCCGGACTAACAGATTGACTAGCATCCAAAGCCAAGCAATCGATATTTATAAGATATAGTTAGTAAATGTTAGTAATATAGATTCTAGATTTACTGTAACCACGCGTCGACATCACATGAACAAAGGTAGAACATAGATTGAAAATGTACGTAGCTTCTCACGGTATCTCTGTGACTTTGATCTTTGCTGCACCAAATTGCACCAACCTTTGATTTTGCATATCAGCCCTATGAGTGTAGCAAGCGATTGGTCTTCCTGGAACTATCTGGAACTCCTGCCCAGGTGTTGGCCGACGATGTGATTGTTGAAGTGAACGGTCCGGGGCACAGAAGCTTAACAAAGAAGCTCAGATTGGGTTCCTGAGAGACTGAAACTGAAACCATCAATTTCCACAGCAGTTTAGCTTAAATGTTGCAGAGACAATCTGATGCATCCAAAGAAGGGTGTAACTGAAGTCGTGTCACACACTACTGTAAGTTGTGGTTGCTGCAGACGCAGCCAGAAAGCACAGGGGCCAACCAAATTGCAGTTTCATGCAACTCCTATATGCCTATATGTCCTTGGACTACCTGGAGGCCGTGTTTCTCCAGATGGAACATCACGAATATCATGAGCATCAGCAAAGCATCATGTCATGATGTGCCATAACTATCCATAACTGCCATAACTTCCTTGAGAAGCTGTTAGAAAAAGTCTCGGGTGAGGAGAGCTATGGAGAGCTGAGACCCACTCAGATGCCACTGTATGTCTTGAGGTGTCAGTGGGTCGCCGATCAAAATGGTGTCAGAGTTGAAGAAAAGTGAAGAGCCAGAGCTCACGGTTCTGCAATACTAGCTGACCATCCGGCCAGCCGGCCACCTAGGGTTCATCAGCACATTAAGATATGTGAAGCAAGCGTGCAGAGGTGCAGAGGTGATGGAATGTCCGTTGTCAGAGCCCTTACATATTATATAATTATATATATAATATTAGATTTATATTATTTAAGAATTTTAGACAGTTACTACAATGCAAGCATTTTAACATGCACGGTCCAGGTAAATCATATACATAAGCTGTTGACCAGCGGCTGCTGTTCTTTGGGGTCCACCAATTCCATGAGATCCTCAGAGCAAACTCTTGGATCGTGGTACAATTCACAAATCATCGAAGGATCAAGGGTCAGCCGCGATACAATGATTGCTTTCCTGCAGCTCAGAGACATACATCACTATTCTGCCATTTTTTCCTGGGCATCTGACGAAGTCAGAAACCCTTTGCAAGCTTCTTTCTGGCAGCAGATACCATGCTGCTGATAGAAGGTTGTGCTGTGCTATTCTGTGCTTCAGGTTGACAAGTCGACAATGATGTCCTGGACTACTGTATGCCGCTAGCAATCATGTTTAGAAACTGTAGCTTAATTACTATTCCCGACGCTGACTAGCGAAGTACAACAGCATAACAGTAAAAGTGTACTGCATGATGAAAAGAATGGAATGCAGGGTGTTTCGATGATCTTGCCACTATTACGATCACAACATATATATATATAATATAATATAATATAATATAGTATAATATAATATAATATAATATGATATAATATAATATATTATGATATAATATAATATAATACAATATATAATATAATATATAATATAATATAATATAATATAATATAGTATAATATAATATAATATGATATAATATAATATAATATGATATAATATAATATAATATGATAGAATATAATATAATACAATATATAATATAATATATAATATAATATATATATAATATAATATATAATATAGTATAATATAATATAATATATTTAATATGATATAATATAATATAATATATAATATATAATATATAATATATAATATATAATATATAATATAATATAATGTAATATAATATAATATAATATAATCATCACATCTTCATAAATCTCTCATTATGTATGAGATAATATCACATATAATACATATCATACTGTATGGATTCATTTGGTTGGGCAAACCGGCAAACCCTTTGGTTTTCTGAATTTTGTCGACGAGCCTTCGGGGCCAGAGCAGCAGCGGGTGACTTGTGGGCTGCGTGCATGAGACGCCCTTGACAATGACATCGAAATTGTGTGCAAAAAGAGTTGAGGTGGCTCGGGTTGAGCTCCTAGAGCTGGAAAGACATGTTGTATTTTTTTTGAAACATGTTGTCATGTTGTGTCACTTTTTGTCACTCCAAAGACTCCAAGTATCTCAAGCAAATTGGACCGCTCTGCTCGTGTGCTTGTCAGGACCGGCCCTTGCAGCTGCTTTGCAGCAGCAGGAGCTTACGATGCTTACGGGCCTCTCATGGCCCAGGGCTTTCCACCGATCAAACAATGGTAGCGGTTGGAGATGGAGCTATAAATGAATCAGGGTGATGTATAAACATCCCGGCGGACCGGAAAGTGAGGTCGTGAAATACT